ATAAGTGGCTTCTGAAGAATTAAATTTCCTAACTAAAGCCTAAGTTAATCAATTCACAAATAATAGAACTAGAAAAATCAAATAGGAAACACGATGAATCTACACAACTTGGCAAAATTCAAAAGAATTGAATCAAGCGATATTAAAAAAAAAAATACATATTAAAAAAACTTTTGTGCATTTTTTCCGCTCAAGACAGATAGATAACAAAACCAAAACAAAAAACCCAAATGGAAATAAATATTTTCCAAAAAAAAAAAAAAAAAAAAAACCCAAATGGATAAATATTTCCAGTGATAAAAAGAATGAGAGAAGAGTCAAATTAGAAGCAATTGTCGCATGCGTTGATTTTTTTTTTTTTTGCTGGGTTGATGAATGGCCACTGATGAAGAGCCACCAGAAAGATAAATAAGATTTTCACAAATGATAACAGTCTCTTCATTTGCTTTTCTGTTTTGTATTTTTGAATCAATCAAAACTGTTCTCAAAAGTGTTTCCAGATTGTTAGCTCAAAACATAGATTTTAGAAAAAAGAGAAAAATAGGAGAGGAGCGCGAAGAATAATGTTGAGGGTGAAGAAAAGGAGAAAAACGTAAAAATAATAAATTTGGCGTAAAAAAATAAATGTAATAGGAAAAAGAAATAAATTATTAAGTTTATCATCTAATAAATGCTCTTAAAATAGAGGATATGATTGACCGTGTCTATTTATTTTTGACACATCAAATAAATATTAGTATTGGAGAGAGTTTTTTTAAATCTTTCAATTTTTTCGATGTGGCAATTAAATTAGAACAATTCAAAGTAGCGTCAACCCACGATAAAATTAGAATAGATATCTTTTGCTTTCTACTCGCATAACTTCATAGCCTGCGTTTCTATCAATCATATAAACGAATTTGTGTAGTAGACAAATTCATTTGTCTCAAAACAAAAAAAGAATTCGTGTAACATTAATATCAACAAAGAAAAAATGAATAGTAACAAATAGGACAGAAAAAGTTCAATCATACGGCACTCCTACTTTAGAAATCAAATTACTGCTAATTAAAATTTTTATCAAATATCCTTAAATTAATTATTAAGTGCAAATTAGCAATTAATCATATAATTCAACTAAAAACAAACGTTTTTTTTAATCAAAGATGAGTGGTTTGATCGAACTATATAGGAATTTGTAAATTATTATTTTTGATTGGTATCCTATAATTTCTCATATAACTGTAATTTCTTTTTTACCCTAAACAAAGCTATATTTAGGATTAATAATGATTTGTGCTAAATATCACCAAATTTTCTTCTTTACTCCTTGTGCTTAGACTCTCTCTCTCTCTCTTTAAAGATAATAGTAAAAGAAAATTGTTAATTTTCTATATGACATAAAAAATGCTACAGAACAAAAGTGCTGACCTAATTGCATATGTAAAAGAAATGCTAAATGACAAGAATTGACAGCATAAAAACGACAGAGAGTTTTATATGCTTGAAATATTGTGATTATTATTATATTTAAAATGATTTTTAGAATAAATAAATAAGATTATTAAAAACTAGTCAATTTCGTAAGTATTTACATGTTTTACCATTTTGTTTGTTTTTGGTAGTAATTTATGTAGCAAGTTTTGACACTCAACTATTGATGTTTGACTAAATAATACCAACAACATGAGATTTAGAGATTAAGTTACTTATTAGAGTTGGTCTAATCTCAATTTAAATTTTGAGAAGTGTCTATAGTCCTACTTATGGATCAAACTAATGAAATTAAAGATTTTTATTGAAAGGAGAATATTTCTAACCATACACTTGAAAAATGAAAGAATAAAATCGGAATACGTTTTTAAAAAATTCGACGGATAAAGAAGTCGTTCAAATAATAGTTACGTGTGAGCATTTGGTTTTATTTGATCTATTTTGAGAAAACTTTCAAATTGAATTAGAACAAAAAATCTAGGTAGATTGAAAAATGAACCAAAATGAATAAAATTGCCCATTTTTTAATTAAAACTGAACCAAAGTGAAGCTGTATTAATTATATTACTTTTCACTTAATGTTCATCTGATTGAAATAAAGTTTAGTGCATACTTAGATAAGAGTAAGGACGAGGCCAAGTTGTAGTGAAGGGGCCAATTCCTTTTGTGAAAATTTACAATATAAAAACCAGAGTAACGATTAGTTGAAATTGAATTCTCAATTCAAATTATTGAATATAAGAATGTTTTCAAAATTAATTGTGAAAAAATATTGAAGTATGAGGATTGAATCACTTTACTTTATTATGTTAAAAGTTTCTCCATACAAATTTTAGAATGATGATTGAATTACTTTAGTGTCTCTTTATATATATTAAACTAAATTAAATACTTTTTTTTTAAAATTTTTTATATACCCTTTAAAATAAATTTTTTATCTACTTAATTACAAGATTTTGTAGAAATTATAAAAATTATAAAAATTAAAGGGCTTATTTGCACTTGTCGTCCTTTTTTTTAAAGATAATATATTAGAATTCTATTAAAAAATTTCAAATCAATATAAATATTACAAAGAGGATATGATCCCTCTCCTGAAGAGTAAACATAGAACAAAAACTATTATAATCAAAATAATTGATGTTTGCTAATTTAAAAAGAAATCTTAATCAAAATTAGAGGATGAACTTGAAAAAAACAAATAGATCTTCAAAAGTGGTTGGTTTAATAAACCCGTCGAATCTTCTATACATAGCTTAATTATCCATGAAACAGTTGTTTATGACGAACGCAAAGAATTTGAACCACTAAATCCAATAGAGGAACAAACTGCACTACCATCATGTAGTTGAAAAATTCTCCACAAATTGCACACATGTTCAAATAAAACCAAACAAATGCAAAAAACAAAATAAACATTCCACATAAAATGGAAAGATCATAACCTCACACAAGATGGAGATAAAACACAAAATAATAGTAGAAACATAATAACATACATCTATGCCAAAATAGATATAGATTTATAACTTATTAACCAAAAAGACATGAAAACTTGCAATAAAACTAAAAATACGAGAAGAGACTGTCATAAGAGATAAAAATCAATTCCCTCCCCGTATCTACACGCTTGGTTTGTGTTTCAATAAAAAAAAAAAAATTGAAAAAAATTTTAATGGTGAATGGGAGAAAGAGAAAGGGAGGGGCGGCAACTACCCAATATCCCACAACTTTTTTCCACTTAACACTTGCACTTGTCCTCCTTGAAATATACCTTATATTTCTTAATTATCTCTATTCAATTTCTCATTTAAAAATACATCAACGTAATACAAAAGGTCGACGACCGGTAAATTAAAAGGCTTATCAATGGCAATCTTAGTTTGTGAGTTTTGGGGCTGGGTTGAGATGTGGAAGAAGACAACAAAATTTGGAATATTAAATGAGTGGACAGATTGCCGTTAGCTTTTTAAATAGCTTTTAACGTTTTGACTGGTCAAATCGTTAAAAGCTACTTAAAAAATTATTTAGTAACGTAGCATTTTGGACCAACTTTTTTAGAGGTTCGGTAACGTATCTTTTAACGTTTCATGAAAATGTACTCAAATAGTTAACAACTACTAAAACAACTAATTTTATCGAACGGACTCTATATCTTTTTATGTTTCTTATGTGCAAAAAGTTTTAAAAATGTGATTTCTTGATTTGTCTTTCCTTTGTTTCATTAATTTTCCAAAGAGTACTTAGGAAGATATTACATACGATACAACAACAATAATAATAATAACAGAGATCTTATAATAAGAATTAGAACAAAGGCAAAACAACAAGACATGGCTTTCTGCCAACACTACATGTTGGTAAAAAGGACAAAACTACAGGACAGAGATAGCATGTGCATTAATTGAGGTTAAGATGTATGAAAAACGACATATCATACGAGTGTAAACGCAAAACGACATTTTATCTTTTGTTTGGTAATTTTCTCTCTAAATATGTATACAGGGAGTTCATGTCTATCACCTAACTTGAATTGTCCTTTCTCATTTAACACTTCTACATAAACTTAATTGTTTGTTTCCTTCAAACTAAACTGTAGTTATCAAACGCCGCCGTATACATTTTATATTCTAGAATCGTGTATGATTTAAATGGAACTAAGGTGGTATTCAATTAGTATTCTTTTTTTCTATAAATATAAATTCTTTTGGAATATATTTTCTTTATTCATAAATATAAATCAAGAATATTAAAGAGTAATTAATGAATTTTTTCGAATTTTACCTTTATATGTATTAAAATGCATTAATTAATAATAGTGTGAGATAAAATGTAATTTAATTTAGTCAAATTAATGAACTTTTAGTTATAATATAGAGAAATTAATTACTTTCTTAATCACTCTGCAAAAACCTTAAAACGACTATATTTGTCCGGCATATGTGCTATTAAAACATTTACGATCCAATCAAATTCAATTTTATTAAAAGAAAATTATGCCGGTCGTTTTAAATTATGTTAATTTTATTATCAATAAATAACTGAGCATAATTCGTAACATTAATTAAAATTAAAAATTCATTAATTCATTAACTGTTATTATTTATTATACCTAAGTTTAATATAAATTAATAATTTTTATTATAAACATTGATTTTAAAATTATCGAATCCTATGCAGCGTAATCAAACTTTCGGAATTTTAGGCACTACTAAAGTTTTGTAGGAATTTTATAAATATATCTTCTTTATATATATATATATATATACACACACACACTAGCTACTGTTTGTGCTATGCTCAAACTTTTAAATAAGAGTTATATATATATATATTTTAAATTTTTAATAAGTTCATACATGATTTATTTTATTACCCTACATATATGTTTTACCTTTTTAACATTTTTGACATCATCTCCTTATCACCATTAGACCATAAATTATTCCTCTATTGTCTTCATAATCACAGCTCTACTCATGTGTATGAGAGAAAGAGAGAACAGAAAGCAAAATAGTTAACAGAAAATGGAGAGAAATCAAATAGCTGTTGAAATTCATGTAATAGCTCTTCCTTTCCCTGCACAAGGCCATATTAACCCAATGCTACAATTCTCTAAACGCTTAGCCTCTAAAGGACTCAAGGTAACCCTAGTCACCTTCCTTGAAAATGAAAATTTAACAAAATTACCCAAACACAGCTCAAATATTACTATCGAGTCCATTTCCGATAACAATGCAGTAATTTCCACGGTAGAAGAATACTGGAAAAATTTCAGTTCAATGGTAGAACAAAAACTTGTAGAAATGGTTGAAAAACAAAACAAGTTCGGTAAACATATGAGAAGTTGTCTTGTTTATGATTCAATTATACCTTGGGCTTTAGACATAGCCAAACAGCTTGGTCTCTCTGCAGCTTCATTTTTTACACAGTCATGCGCTGTTTCGGCCATTTATTACCATGTTCGTGAAGGGAAGATAAATGTTCCAATAGAGCAGGACTTTGTTTCATTAGAAGGGATGCCACAACTTGAGAGCCATGACCTACCTTCTTCTCGTTACAATTCGGAGGACCAGCCAAGCTTCATAAGCTTAATGACTGGTCAGTTTTCAAATTTGAAGGATGTTGATTGGATTGTTTTTAGCAGTTTCAATAGCTTAGAAGAAGAGGTAATTGCTAATACTTTATATTCATTTGGTTTATAATTAGCAAATTAGTCCTTTATAGAAGTATAATAGTACGTATTTCTTTCAAATGACAATTCAGGTTATGAACTGGCTGGCAACCCAATACCCAATCAAGCTAGTAGGACCAACAATTCCATCAAGGTACTTGGATAATAGATTGGAGGATGATGATGATGATGATTATGGCCTCAGCTTGTTCAAATCCAATACCAAAACTTTGATAGAGTGGCTAGATTCAAAAGAAACTAGTTCAGTAGTTTACGTAGCGTTTGGAAGCTTGGCTGCCTTGGGGGAAAAGCAAATGGAAGAAGTAGCAAACGGCTTGAAAAGAAGCGATTACCATTTCTTATGGGTAGTTAGAGAATCTGAAGAGAAAAAGCTTCCACAGAACTTCGTCGATGAGACCTCTGATAGAGGTCTAGTTGTGGGTTGGTGTCCACAGCTAGAAATTCTATCTCATAAGTCTGTAGGATGCTTCATTACTCATTGCGGTTGGAACTCAACGCTTGAGGCGTTAAGCTTGGGAGTACCAATGGTGGCAATGCCTCAGTGGGGAGATCAGCTTACCAATGCCAAATTTGTTACTGATGTGTGGCGAGTAGGAGTTAGGGTAAAAGTGAACGTAGAAGGACTTGTAAGCAAGGAAGAAATAGATTGGTGCATAAGGCAAGTCATGGAAGGAGAGCCTGCAAATGAGATTAGAAAGAATTCGGAGAAATGGAAGAATCTTGCTCGAGTAGCAGTTGGTGAAGGTGGGAGTTCTGATATGAATATTGATGAGTTTGTAAAACAACTCCAATCTTATTGGAACTAAATAGTCAAAGCTAAATTAATACAATGCTTGTGTAATAATCAACTAATATTATCCTGTTATTTCAGTTTTAACTAGCTCTGCGTTCTGAAACTCCAATATTACTCTAACTAATAAGGAAAACTGTGGTAAGAAAATACTCTTATTTCAACAAAATTTTATTTTTATTAGTTTGATTCACGAGTACGACTATGGACCTGATCTAAATAAATGAATCCCAAATGATAATAACTAATGATAAAACTTGTCTACCAAATCAATCTATAAAGATTTTTTTGAAAAATTATTTTTATTAAATATGCAATGAATTTGAAAAGAATTAGATTCATATATTATTGTGAATGGATTGAAAAGGTTTTTTTTTTTTTTTTTTTTTTTTGAAAAGAATTAGATTCATATATTATGTGAATGGATTGAAAAGGTTTTTTTTTTTTTTTTTTTTGAGTACTGCATGAGGTTTTTTTTTTTTTTTTTTTTTTGAGTACTCATGAGAGAATTCGAAATTAGCTCTATTGTAAAATCATATATACACTTACTTACCAAAATTCGACTCAGCCTGTTCAATATATCTACATATGACTTTCTACGTAAAAGTATGTTTGATCTACTTAAATACGTAACCAAACCCCCTTTTAAATTAATTTAAAGTAACCGATATAGTGCAATAATAATATCATGTTACCACTATAAATGAAATGATAATCAAACAAAAATAAGATACGCTAAAGGTGAGACTAAATAAAGATGGTAGAAAAATGGATAAAATAATAATTAAGACACTTGATATTTTTGTTGGATTGTGATTTCAATCATTCATATTAATTAAGACACTTCAATATATTTAGTTACCAACTTTATAAAAAAAAAATATACTAAATCAATAAAATAATATATTGTATGTCTAATAAAAATATGATATTACAATTAAAAGCATAATGGAACCCTTTCAAATAGCTCAAAATTATCTCCTTATTGCTTTATCACCTAAGGAAATAGGATTTTAACATGTTCCATTAAATTATATAGTTTTATAGTTCAGTTTTCTTCTAACTATGGAATTTCAAAAATAGTTTTGAAATATATAATTTAATAATTTTATTAAAATTAAAATATACTAATAAAAAGTAAGTAATAAAATAAAAGTTTATTATATGGATAAAGATATGATTTCTTTTTTCATTTTACATTTTCATTGCATATTCCATTGGTCAATATTTTAAAAAATACATTTCATTTTATTTTATTTGTCCGAAATTCCATTTTGAATTCAATTTCGATTTGAAATTTCAATTTTAATTGAAATATTCCAAACCAAGTTCGACTGCTGCTTGGGAAATTAAAGTGATTGTCTCATTCATAACAGAAGTTTAAAGAGATTTAAGGATCCGTTTACTCTTGAAAAACAATCAATATGTAAATTGGTTAATATTTAATTATGGAAATATGACATATGATACCAAAAAAAAAAAAAAAAAAAAAAAAAAAAAATAATGATACCAAAAAAAAAAAAAAAAAAAAACATTAAATTGTAAATATGAGTTAAGAACAAAAAGGCAAAAGACAACAATGTACATTGGTTTTCGCCACACTACATGTTGGTAAAATGAACAAACCTAAAAAAAAAAAAAAAAAAAAAAAAAAAAAAACATTAATTGTAATATGAGTTAGAACAAAGGCAAGACAACAAGACATGGTTTTCTGCCAACACTACATGTTGGTAAAATGAACAAACCTACAAGACATAGATATCAAATAATTGAGCAACACAGTTAAGATTAAGATACATACTAGACGACATAACATTGGGTGCAAACACAAACGACATTTCAATAATCTATGGCCATCTGTGACAATTTGTTTGGTCTTACATACAAAATTATCTTTTCAGCCGAATGTATATATGTTGGTGTCTATTATTACCCAACTTAAATTGTCGTTTCTCATTTAACTCTTGTAAATAATTTTTTTTTGTTCCTTCTAGTAGGAGTGTAAGATTGGAGGGAACTTGAATGTACTTGTCGAAGGCCGCCATATATAATTCATGATATATAAAGTGTACCAATTACTCCCTCCGACGCATATATAATTTTTTGTCCTACTTTCATTTTTCATCCATTATTCCTTTTTTCGAGAGTAAATAATATTTAAGTTTTATTATTTTACTTTTATTTAATATGCTGTAAGGTTTTTCAAAAAAAAAAGTAGGAGGGTGAATTATTTGCCTAAAATCAACTTTCTTGGCATCATCTTCATCTTTATATCATTATTAGACTGCAAGTGGTTCCTCCATTGTCTTCTTAAACACAGACCATATATAAATGCCTCCATTGCATATCTATGTACAATCTAAAGACAGAGAAATGAAGACTGAACAGTACAGACCCTTTACTGAAACTCATGTCTTAGCACTTCCTTTGCCATTCCAAGGCCATATAAACCCAATGCTTCAATTCTCCAAGCGTTTAGCCTCTAAAGGGCTCAAAGTCACACTACTTACCTTCATTGACAACCAAATAACAAAAACCAAAAATGGCTCTGTTAATATAGAGTTCATTTCTAGTGATGCTAATGAAGAAGATGACTATTTCCAGAACTTGAAGTCCATAGTATCAGTAAAATTGCCAGAAATCGTCGCTAAAATTAGCGAGTCTGGTTTCCCTGTAAGTTGTCTCATATACGACTCTATAATGCCTTGGGCTTTAGACATGGCAAGAGAGCTTGGGCTCTTTGGTGCTTGTCTCTTTACGCAGTCTTGTGCTGTCAGTAATATATATTATAAAGCTAATGAAGGGAAGCTCAGAACTCCTGTTGAGAAGGTTCCTGTGTCGATAGAAGGAATGCCATTGCTTGATCTTTATGACTTGCCAAGTTTCTTTTTTGATTTGGAGAATTACCCTACTTCTTTAAACCTTTTGACTAATCAGTTTTTGAATCTTGGGGATGCTGATTGGGTATTTTTCAACACTTTCAATGGATTGGAAGATGAGGTATGTTGTAATCATCCAACTTAATTTGTAAAAATGCTTTTAATAGTATTTTTGATGTATTTTCTTAATTACTTATTGCTAAAAAAGTTAATCAATTTTCAATAGGTGATAAACAGGATGACAGCAAGGCAATTCCCAATAAAACCAATAGGACCAAGTATTCCATCAATGTTCTTAGACAAGAGAATACAAGAAAACAAAGAATATGGTCTGAACCTCTACAAGCCTAATATAGAAAGTTGCATGAAGTGGCTAGACTCAAGGGAAACTTTCTCAGTAATTTATGTGTCATTTGGAAGCCTATGTATAATGGGTGAAAAGCAAATGGAAGAAATAGCATTTGGCTTGAAGAGAAGCAACCATTATTTCTTATGGGTAGTAAGGGAATCAGAAGAAGAAAAGCTTCCAAGCAATTTTGTTGAGGAGACAATGGAGAAGGGCATGATTGTAACTTGGTGTAATCAACTAGAAGTTCTAGCTCACAAGTCTATAGGCTGCTTCATGACTCACTGTGGGTGGAACTCAACAATGGAGGCATTGAGCTTGGGAGTGCCAATGGTGGCAATGCCTCAATGGTGTGATCAAACTACTAATGCAAAATTTGTTGCTGATGTGTGGAGGACAGGGATTAGAGTTAAGGTAGATGAAGAAGGAATCGTCACGAAAGAAGAAATAGAGATGTGTTTAAAGGAGGTTATGGAAGGAGAGATCAGAAAAAATTGTGAGAAATGGAAGAAACTTGCTAAAGAAGCAATGGAAGAAGATGGAAGTTCTGATAAGAATATTGAGGAATTTGTGGCAAAATTAATGGCTACTTCACATATTACCAAAATGTGAAAGTCCCTAAATATGTTTGTTTATATATGAAATCATTACATGTTCCTATAAATAAGAATTTATTTTCTTTATATATCAACCAAATGTAAAAATCTATTTCACTTCATAATATAAAATGTATTGTGTTTTCTCACATCTTAACTCAATAAACTCTTCATATTGTTCCTTAAATTTTTTTTTTTCATACCATATATTTTTTGCGGACTGGAAATTTAATACCAACTCTGGAAATTTATTCATAATAACAAACTCTGTTAGTTTAATACCAACAGAAGAAATTTGGAAAATGGAAATTCAGGGCAAAGTCCCGATTTCAGACAAAGAAAGGAGAAAAAAGTTAATCTATTTGGGTTAAAGAAGGTTATTTTGACTTCCTTCGGTTTATGTTAACCCAAGGTAAAGTAGTGGATTCCATATTAAATATTGTTTCAGTCTTTTTTAATGTCTGATTTTTAAATTGGGGTGTCAATATGTTTAAGTTTTCAGATAGTGTGTTTGGGATACAAATGTAGTTTTAGGCGATTTTGCAATGACTTGCATAGTTGGGATATTTTTATAGTTTAAGTTAATTTTGTAAATTGAAATGTTTAGTTTAATTTACAGTTTAAAGTTTTTAATAAGTGTAAATTTATGAGTTAAAGTATTCAATAAAAAAAAAGTAAAAGTTGAGAGTATTAAAAAAATTTACGTACAATAGGTGAATTTATACAGTTGACAATTAGTTTTCTAAATAGAAGTATTACATACTATCCACCCCCAAAAAATAATTATTTAATTATAATACTACAAATTAGAACAAAGGCAAAGCGACATGACATAGTTTTTCCCAACAGGTATGTGCACGGAACAGCGGGAATCCCGACCTATTCCTTAAAATTGTCCAGGATTTTTCATTCCGAAAATATTCGAATATCAATTTAATAGTTTCGTCATGAATTTCATTTTAAAAGTAATTATGAAATTGGACTGGTTATTTAATTAAGATCAACGTACACCAACCTAAATTTCATTCTATCCTGTCTCATTTTTCTTTAAATTATAGGTTTCTCTTTTTGTTTTTATGAATTTCAAATTATATCCATGAAAGTCACTTCATCTTTTTCATTTTTTATTTTTTTAACCACAATTACTTGTTAACATAATAATTATATAAATAAAATAGTATGCATTTTTCTAAATATAAAACGGATCAATTAATTAAATATATTTTTCAATAAAGTTTTTTCTCTATTATTCTACCGTATTTATTAAATAAATCTTTCTGAATAAATTTTTCTATTAAATAAAAAATATATAAAGATTAATCAAAGAGAAAATATTAAGTATAATTAATATGATTATTGGATTTTGATTATGCTTAATGTTATTATTATTATTTTTTATATGATATTAATTTTAAAAAATAATTTTATTAATTTTCTATTAAATAAAAAATATAATAAAGAATTAATCAAAGAAGAAAATATTAAGTATAATTAATATGATTATTGGATTTTGAATTATGCCTTAATTTTGTTATTAATTATTATGTTTTTAATAGATGATTAATTTTAAAAAATAATTTTTATTAAATAATTTATTTTTATTAATATAAAGTTAATATAATCAAATTAATAATATATAACAGATCAGTTAACAAGTGATAAGGAAAAAATAATTTTATTAATAATTATTTTTATAATATAAAGTTAATATAATCAAATTATAAAATATAAATACAGATCAGTTAACAAGTGATAAGGAAAAGTTATAAAACGCACCTAATAAAATTAGCCGGTGATCGAATAAAATAATTACATTCTAGTCAAAATCAGTTACTAATTATCTGAAATAGTTGAAATAAACTCTCCATAAAATTTATGTATGTGCATTCTCTTTTATTTTTATAATCTCTTTTTCTATTTGAAATTTAGGAAAACAATAAAGGAAAAGAAAAGGATATAATAGCTGTCATACATTTTTGGCATCATCTTTCAATTAGAGGTAGACCACAAGTCATTCCTCTCTTCTTACATTCTTAAATACGGACCATATATGTATCACTCTATTGCATCTCTGTGTAGTCTGATAACACAGAAATGGGGACTGAACAGTACAGACCCTTTACTGAAACTCATGTCTTAGCGCTTCCTTTGCCATTCCAAGGCCATATAAATCCAATGCTTCAATTCTCTAAGCGTTTAGCCTCTAAAGGGCTCAAAGTCACACTACTCTCCTTCATTGACAAGCAAATAACAAGAACCAAACATGGCTCTGTTAATATAGAGTTCATCTCTAGTGATGGTAATAAAGAAGATGACTATTTCCAGAACTTGAAGTCTATAGTGTCAATAAAATTGCCGGAAATCGTCGCTAGAAATGGCGAGTCTGGTTACCCTGTAAGTTGTCTTCTTTATGACTCTGTAATGCCATGGGCTTTAGACATAGCAAGAGAGCTTGGGCTCTTTGGTGCTTGTCTCTTTACACAGTCTTGTGCTGTCAGCACTATATACTATAAAGCTCATGAAGGGGCGCTGAGTACTCCTGTTGAGAAGGTTCCTGTGTCGATAGAAGGGATGCCATTGCTTGATCTTTATGACTTACCAAGTTTCTTTTTTGATTTGGAGAATTACCCTACTGTTTTAACTCTTTTGGGTAATCAGTTTTTGAATACTGGGGATGCTGATTGGGTATTTTTCAACACTTTCTGTGAATTGGAAGATGAGGTATGTATATATCATCGAAATTTATTTGTAAAAATGCTTTTAATAGTATTTTTGATGTATTTTCTTAATTACTTATTCTAAAATGTTGATTAATTTTCATTTTAGGTGATAAACGGTATGATAGCAAGGAAATTCCCAATAAAACCAATAGGACCAAGTATTCCATCAATGTTCTTAGACAAGAGAATACAAGATAACAAAGATTATGGTCTGAACCTCCACAAGCCTAATATAGAAAATTACATGAAGTGGCTAGACTCAAATGAAACTTGCTCAGTAATTTATGTGTCATTTGGAAGCCTATGTGTAATGGGTGAAAAGCAAATGGAAGAAATAGCATTTGGCTTGAAGAGAAGCAACCATTATTTCTTATGGGTAGTAAGGGAATCAGAAGAAGAAAAGCTTCCAAGCAATTTTGTGGAGGAGACAATGGAGAAGGGCATGATTGTAACTTGGTGTAATCAACTAGAAGTTCTAGCCCACAAGTCTACAGGCTGCTTCATGACTCACTGTGGGTGGAACTCAACAATGGAGGCTTTGAGCTTGGGAGTGCCAATGGTGGCAATGCCTCAATGGTGCGATCAAACTACTAATGCAAAATTTGTTGCTGATGTGTGGAGGACAGGGGTTAGGGTTAAGGTTGATGAAGAAGGAATCGTCACGAAAGAAGAAATAGAGATGTGTTTAAAGGAAGTTATGGAAGGAGAGATCAGAAAAAATTGTGAGAAATGGAAGAAACTTGCTAAAGAAGCAATGGATGAAGATGGAAGTTCTGATAAGAATGTTGAGGAATTTGTGGCAAAATTAATGCCTACTTCACAATAGGGTTGTTCATATGTGTGTGTATAGTTACTTTAATTAAAATACATTAGCTAATGTACAAGTTATGTGAATCAATGACAGAGTCACGCACCAAAGTTAGGAGACCATAGGAAAATTTTAAAGAATTGAAGGATTTAAATAAAATAAATTAAAATTTTCACTGTTTTACAAAATAAAATTTAAAAAGATTTTTGGGCTAATAAAACCTTCCATTTCAGCTAAAGACCGATTTAATACCCACTTGCCACCACCAGTTCAAATTAAGGGTATGTTCACCCATATAAACTTTTAGTAAATATTCTATTAGCCCTTAGCTAATAGATATTTATATAGTAATTTAAATTAAAAAAATATTTGATAAAAATAATTATTTAATTAATTATTTAATTTAAAACACAAAAAATATTAATTATTTAATTAGTTAAATTAAAAAAAAACGATGGATATGTTTGTAAAAAAATTTAATTCACTTTTATAAAATGTTAAAAGTTAATAAAAAAATATTAAAAATTAAATTAGAGAGCACTTAATAGAAAGTTATATTATCGAACGGTACGGTGAATAAAGATAGAGTTTTAACTGTGAGGTTGAGGGCGAGGGCCAGACACCGTACATCCGCCACTGATCTAAATGATGTGTCTTTAACTATACAAGAATCTTTCGTGAATTGAACACTATACACAGAAATTCAAATATTAAAAAATACTCTTATGTCAAAATTGATTAATTTCCCAAGCTCAGAATAAATGCCAAAGGAATTCATTCAATCAATAATCCTGTTTGTGATTTATTTGTTCAGACGTGGTTGTCACTTTCATTGTCAGTCTCCTCTTTAAACTTCTTTTCTTTAAAGACCTCATTGCTTCCATCACCATTTGAAGAAACAGAGATAATATTTCAACCTAATGTCTTTGTTCTTTTCCTCCCACTCTCTTTTACATAAAAGTTTTTGTTCTGTAGCAAATAACTGCTTCAAGAATGATGTGAACACTTGAGTAACTTGCATTATATATATATATATATATATTTATTGAGAATGCCTTATCTAAATTCAGTGTGTGAGGTCATCCGATCAAATCAATGAAATTTTTCTTTTTTTTAAATGAAGTTATTGCTGACCATGTACTGAAAAAAAAAAAAAGGATAAACTGTGAATAATCAGGCAGCGGAGGCAGAATTTGGGCAAGGCTTATCCATATGTACTTGCTTTCAATACTAAGATTGGTAGCAAGCAGTAAATTCAACAAGACGGGCGATACAAGCTGGCATGATCTCAATCAGATGCACAGAATTTATTTAGGGCACTAATTTTTCATCTACATAACTAGAAAGCCTAATAATAAAGGCTTAAACAGTCTTTTCTGTATACATGTATGTATATATTTTCTTCTTGCCTATCACCGTAACTTTTCTTTACAGCAGTAGAGTAGTAAAAATATGCAACCTCATCAAGATAATATAATAGATGACCTAAAATAGTTGTCCCCTATATAAATATATATAAATATATATTCTTGGCCTATCAACCGTAACTTTTCCTTTACAGCAGTAAGAGTAGTTAAAAATATGCAACCTCAATCAAGTAATATAAAGATGAACCTAAAAATAGTTGTCCCCTATATAAATATATATTAAATATATATATATATATATATATATAATAGAAAGGTAATTATAGAGGCCAAAAATAGAAAGGTATTATAGAGGCCAAAAATTGACAGTTGGAATTTGAAGCATTCAAAAAAACTTACCAATGCTATAGGATTAGTTGACTGAGCCTGATTAAAGAATATATTAGACTCAAAATCAGGAATTATCTAATTACTCCACTACTCGGCGTTATTGCCATCATCCGTGCCACTCCCCAACTTGACAATATCTTCAACGAGAATCTTCCCATCTGTTCAATGAAATTAATGACAGTAGCTGTTACATTAGATAAACATATTATAGTGGAATAATTAACTTCTTGACATAAGAACAGAAAAAAAATTATCGTGATTAACAGGGAAAAAGTGAAGCGACAGATTTAGCAAGAATTTTCTGGCCCCTGCTCTGTTTCCCGCTTTACAGTTTTAACTGTTGTTCCAAATCCTGATAAGCAAACCTGTTAAACCTATATAGCATTTGCTTCGGGCAACAAATAATTCACTTGTAATTTTGGTAACAATTCACTTGTAATATTAGTAGAGGAATATTTTTTATGAGATGGGGGAAGTTTTTGTTTGTTCAATTTTCAAGTAGGAGAAACGCCATGTTTAGGACAACAAAATACAATGTCAACCGATGCACATACACAAGTGTGTATATGCATAAATATTGAGAGAGTAGAAAGAGAGGACTGATTGGCTGACCTCCATCTTTGGAAAGATTGCTGATGAGCTCTTGAACACCTTCCTTGCCTAATGTATCCTTCAAGTACATAGCAGCAGCTGCCACCTCTTCGGGACTTACTTTGCCATCATAATCCCTGCACACAAACAATTTAACCAAATATGACTTGTAGTTTTAGATTGTGGAGGCAGTTACTGCCACAGGTACAATTCAGATATCATGTTAGAATTTGACTGAAGTTTGATGAATGAAAGCGAAAAGACATAAAATGCTAAAAACCAAAACTTCCAATCCTAATAGTTACATACTTATCTTCCATTTCTGCAGGTGATTCGCCAATCACTTGGAAACAACAGATAAAACATGAGAAACGGATGTTTGTTTCATAAAAGTTCCTTTCAATTATTATTCATTTAATATCAAACATATTTTATTAAATTCTTTTTCTGAACTTAGATTTTTCGATGATTGTGAATTATCGATTTGAGCGACTCTAGTAATAACTTTTTGCAGCAGTTGCAGAATAGGACTAATCCAGTCCCATTTAGGCCCATTTGGTGAAACAATTTCTTTCTGTTACTATTTCTGATTCCATTATTCAACACCCTGACTGTTACCATAACTTTTATTTTGTGTTTATTAATAATCGAAGCAAAAGTAATGACCACTGAAATTTTACATAATTAAAATGACTATTACTTTAAATAATTATATGACCACAACTACCAAAGTGCACATCAAACAACCAACAAAAATTTAGAATTCTCATTGAAATTAAAAAAGAGAGAGAGAGAGAGAATTAATAATAAAATTACACACTGCCAATCAGCTAAAGAAAAACTGATTGTTCCACAGATTAATGCCAAAAAGATAAACAAAGGAAGAGGCATCTACCGTTTAAAGTACCATCAAACAATCCACAAAATTTAGAATTATCACTGAATTTAAAATGATCAACAAACAAAGATAATTAATGATAAAGTTACACTGTCAATTAGCTACAGAAAAACTGATTGTTCAACAGATTAATGGTACAAAGATAACCAAAAGAAGGGGCTTTTATGGTTGTATTCAACTCGATGTTTAAGGAAAGATCTCAATGTTATATTTTCATTCCATTTCATTGTGCATGTGACACACTAACACCACTGATTATGAAGCAAAATTATTTTGTCATTTTTTCAAGCATGTACAGAGAGAGTTATCATTTTACCTTCTATTTGAAAGACTTGCATATTTCATCAAAATTTGAATGAACAGGAATTACAATCAAACACTCAAAGTAGGGACAGAGCTATCAGATTACTATTTCAAAAAATTCACTAACAAAATACAAGTAGGGGTTTATGCCCTAGCAGCCTATTGATTGATAGACCACCTCATAATGCAGAAGGTCCAGGAATTCAAGCTCTAACAACTCCCTCCCCTTAAAAGTTCCGATGTAACCAAAAGAAAAGGACCAGGAAAAGGGGGGATGGCGGCAGCAGGGGTGGTTAAAACTACAACTATGTTGTTTATTTATGTTTGCATTCACCCACACTCGTGCATGCACATATGCATATATTAAAATAATTGTCTTTCCTTGCTATCTGGACAAGAAAAATAGCAACCCTTTTATACTAACTCCAAAGCAAACCTCATTCTATTAGCCCTGATTTTTGTTTTCCTCCCTCATACATAATAACCAGCAACAATATCATGCTCTAATGGCCACATACTCTACTTCGATACTACAAAGAAACCCTGAGTTTAAGACTGCACAGTAAAGTTTCCAATTGATGGCTGATTACAAACACACATAATATAATAGAGTCTATATATCTTTAGCTAAGTAGAGGACATAAACACATGTAAAACTGACATTCTAGTGAGCAAAGAATAACCAAAAAGATAAAACACCACAAAAATGATTCACCTGTCCAGTAGTCTCCAGTGATCACCAATTTTGGCATCCACATCGTCTATTTCCTTCTCAAGATTTTGCAGCATGGCATCAACCTGGAGCATGATAAATGACCCATAACAGTCAACAGCAGCTAAAATTTGCAAATAGGAGCTGAAATGGTAATTGATTCTATGAGTTCACCTTTTCTATTAGTGCAGAAGAAACATCATCATGTTCATCCACTTCAGAAGCATGATCACTTTCCTCCCGCGCAGCTATATATGCCCTAATGGCCTCTTTTTCACCATCTGTACCCTCTTTCTCTACCATGCTATTGTAAAGCTCTATCTGAAGTATATTTTACTAATTAGAAAAAGTTCGAAAACCTAAAAATAATGCCCAGTACCTAGAAACCAGATCATTGACTTCCCAAGCAGATCAACATTCAATACAAAGCACATGGAGAGAAAATGCCATTCAGTGTAATAGGAAAATAATGAACAAAATCTTCAGAGATATTCCAAGTTCAAAATGCATACCTCCTTATTGACTAGGCCTAAGAACTCTTCTCGTTCTCTATTCACTGACTGCAAGATTAGCAAAAAATAAAAATGAGAAGACTAAGAATATCACGACACTTATTAGGAAAATAAGAAAACAATTAACAGAACATAATTTTGTTCACTAGAAGTCCTTTATCCTGCTAAACCATGGGAAGTTAGGTTGAGCCTTCCCTTCATCAAACGCTTTTGAGGGTGCACCCAACTCCCCACACCTCCCCCACCCATAAAAAAGGAAAGCATCATGAATGGTTAAAAAAAAATTAACAAAATTTTTAACATTAAAAACTTCGAAAATCTGAGTCCTTACAGATGCGGATGCTAAAACTGCTAGTGCACGACTAAGTTCACAAAGATGCTCTTGTTTCTCTAATGTTCTAGCTCTAGCTCGTTCTTGTGCTAAAAGTGCTGCTGGGGTAGTCATCTCTTTGAGTGCCGAATCTTCTTCACTAGCTTTCGATTCTTTCATCCTGGCAAGCTCTTCTTCCTCTTTCTCCTCCTCTTCCTAAAATTATCAATTCAAACCAACATAAGTAACTCAAAAGATGCACTTAAGTTTCAAGACGCTTTAAGGCTCCTTTTTGAAAAAGTGAAGGGTGCAAGTCACACCAGAACCCAAGGTTTAGCCATTTAATTTAAGACTTGACAGACAGTACTGAATATCCCTTTTCAGCTCACACCAAATGAAGCAAAATGATGCATCAAAAAGTAAATACCAAAATGTTTAATTTTTGCCAAAACACCAAATATACTGTTTTAAATTTCAAACCTTGATCAGTTCTTCCTGCATCTCAAGGTACTCCAGCTTCCTCCTCCTCTCTGAAACAGAATCTTCTGATGGCAAAGCTGTAACACCAACAGTATCCACAACCTCATCAGGCAGAGAAGACAGTGTTGCTTGCATAGCTTCTTCTGGTTTCAATTTTCCAGACACAGTAAATGCTCTGCATGTGGTTTAAGACTAGAGAACTCAGACACAATTTAATGAAAATGTATGGGTGAAGATAAAGCCTTAAATGAAGAGGGGGATGGAGTTAGGAAAAAACAGGAACCTTTGGATACCTTGAAAGGATCAAAAGGGAAGATGGAACAGAGTGATTAAGAGACAGATCCAACCAATCACGAAGCTGCATATAAAAGGCAACAAGTTGAAAAATTAAATTACATATAACTTTAGTTTAAAATATCCCAACCCCTAGCCAGTTGGAGTTCTTTACCAACATCACGAGTATACTGTACTTTTGCCTATAGACCATTTTCTAAAAATAAGTCCCTAACTTTAGCCTCATTAAGAGAAGGAATGCTCGAATTATGGAATTATGAAGAAGTGAAGGTTAGTTAACTCATCATGAACATACACCAATGTAAGGTTTACCATTCAAATATGAAAATGCACCAACCCAGTGACTAGATATGCTGTTTGTCATAGGCAAACATAACATTATTGCCCCATGGACAAACTAGCTGATTATATCCTGGAGAATCATGTCTCAAAAAAATATGCAAAAAAGGCTAAACCCAGATACCTGTTGCCGCATTTCTTCAACAGATAACAAACCCAGCATGCCTCGCTCCCTGCACTCTTCACGAAGTTCAGCCTCTGAAAGAGACTCCACGCCCTCAGCCTGAATCAACTTATCATCATTCTTGATCCTATTAGAAAAATGCATGATCATCAACATTAATAACACAATCTATACCTATCAAATTGCCAAAGAACAAGAAGTAAGGTCAACTGCTAAACCTTAATTCTGAACAATGAAAAGATATTATTGGAGGACTACGATAATAAATACATTGAAGATCACATTACAAAGAAGCATAGAGATTAAGGTGGTTCCCACGGAAAAAGATATTTTAGGCAACAAAGTGGCACAGAAGGTGCATGCATCCTTCTCAAACTCAATTATGAGGAACCAAAAATATATAAACAAGATACTTCACTATTTTACTCTGGAAGTATCAAGGAAAACAGCCAACTCAAAGATTCATAAAGCTTCATACGCAGGAAAATTAAGTACAAGGGACATAGAAGATCAATTTCACAAGACCACAATCAAGCAAGAACTAACCTTCAAACACCCAAACTTTGGCAATACTTTACTGTCACTTCAAACATTCATCATTTGACACTAGAAGAGGATACACAAAAGTACTGACGCATTCAAGGGGGGGAAAAAAGATCTCACCTTTGAAGTCTTTTACGAAGCATAAAACGCAAGTATGCATCTGTTCCAAAAGGACTGATTCCCATGTATTTGCACATGCTGACCAACCGAGGCCTGAAATGAGCAAAATAAAGCAAAAAAAGGAAACATATCACTTAAAAGCAAATACCCAAACAAGGGAAATAATTAGATGACTTTAAATGCAGAAGGAAAACTAGCTGCTGCCTGACTACACCAAAAACCAACCTGCTAATGTTATCCAAGGTTAGTTCATCATTGAACAGTTTTGCAAAGCCCAAAATCTCATCATTAGAAACCCCTGCACCTCTTCTAACCTGCATAATTATCACATGTTGCATTGATGAAAATGAAAAAATTGACAAGTAAAAACTATATTGGCCAAAATAAACAGTTTTTACCCTGTTCAAAAACTCATCAAGATCCTCAGCAGTTTTCTTAATTTCTCCACTCCGTGAGTTTTGGACTTCCTTTGCCATTTCTTTGACGGTATCCTGGAGAAACTTTGCATATTCTATTCTTGCATTCAGCCTCCTTTTCAGTGCTTCCTATGCATTGAGTAATTGACAAGAAAACAATAATCCAGTTAAAAAGGCCGAAAGAACCTCCAACACCACCACCCCCCCCCCCCCCTTGACGGTATCTTTCTGGAGAAACTTGCATATTCTTATTCTTGCATTCAGCCATCCTTTTCAAAGTGGGCTTCCCTATTGATTTGAGTAATTGACAAGAAAACAATAATCCAGTTAAAAAGGCGAAAGAACCTCCAACACCAACCACCTTCGGCCCCGCCAAACCCAAACCCCAAAAAAAAAAAAAAACCCAAATTTAGAGTACCATATCAAGCATAGTAGGGAAGCAAACAAGTTGAGTTTAATAAAACAAAACTGAGCAAGTTCCACACGTTTCACCTTTCATAGGAATTTGTTGAGGTTAAGTGTCCCATAATGAGCTTGATCATGGCTTGGAATAAGTCATGAGCAAACAAGCCAAACTTAACTCCTCAGTTCATAAGATACCGCTTATAAATATAACATTCAAACACAAAATTAAACTATTACAAAAATATTAACTAACTTGAATTCAAGAAACTCATAAAAATAAATAGTAGACTTTATTTTCCAAACAACAAAAAAACGCTTTTATTTGCCCAAATATGCAAAAACAAACACATAATGCACCTAATAATTAGTCAACAAATTTACTGACTTGTTCCTGAATAACCAGCTCATCTTGATCAAACTTGGATTATCTGTCAAATGATGCCAACGGGCATCAAACTTGAGAATTTCATCAACCTGAGTTCCTTGTTTTTAATGAGGAACTCAGTTTGTTTTTAGCCCTAGTATTTAGATATTGGTAAATCTGTATTTGCATAATGTGTGTTGTTATCGGCAAATGCATTCACAACACAGGTCATAAGATTATATATAATAGTGACGCCCCAACATAAGAATGTTCCATTCTATATGATTTGACTTTTGAGCATGCAATGTACTATAAAAATGACCTCATTTCATTCTCCAACAAAGCCAAATAAGACTGCCAGACTCAACCACTGAAGGAGAAGAAGAGAAACAAGTTAAAAACTACAATAAAAGGTGATTGACCATCAAAATATGTACCTGTTCCTTCATCTTATCCTGAAAGGTTGATGGCAACATGTTGGGGAATAGTTTCAGGAATACGGGTAGCAGAAATTCCATGAATGGAACAATTATAAAAACAGCAAAGGGGACTAATCTAAAAATGTCTGCAGTGGTACGAGTTAGCTGTTGTCTCTCCCTTCTTGATAGACTCTTCCCACCAGCAAGTTTGAATAGCAATCTTGAACTGATCCTCACATCAGCCCATAGAAGCTTAAATCCTAACCAGTAATGTTTCAATGTTGAAACAAATTCATGTTTCAAGTGAGTGAGTTTCTTTCCCCAATCCTCCCTGGAGAATGAATAGCAAATAAGCAAACAATTTGAAAATATACAACCTGCAGACAGTAATGATAAAACATCCCAGAGGTAAAGTTTTTAACCTGCTCATAGAAGTTACAGCCCTTAAAGCAGGACCAATCCCCAGAAGCATGGCCCATGTTCTTTGTAAAATGAATTTAACAGAATTTTGAGATTCATGCAAACGTTTGGCTTTTGCTTTGGCCTTTGCAGTACTCAAACCTTCAACAGCTTGATCACATTCTTCAGGAGATGCTTCCTTTCTTTTTCTAGCAGCTATTTCTTCATTTCCCTCATCATCACTGCCCAAATCAGGTTGCTTTGCTGTTGCAGTGGATGCATTGCGAACAGAAACTGAAATTGACCTTATTGGACAAAAAAACTCTGACCGCACATATCCAGGACCTGAAACGGCAGTACTATAAAACTTATGCCTGAACTGTCCTACACCTGTAAAGCCAAGTAATTCAACTCTTCCCACTATATTTCTTTGGGGTTCCTTTACATAATTAAAATTTGAAGAGGATTGGTTAGCAATATAGCTACAGCTGCTTGGATCCAAATTCTGAGCAGCATGTCCAAGAGATTGGATGGTCTGAATTGAGCGAATGTTGATATTCAAATAATCAAAAATGAATCTTTTCCGTCTCAAAATTGCTCTGGAAGCCATTTTTCAGATATTCCCCCTCTTCAAGAAAACTGCAATCGCATACTCAATTATGCTGGCACACAACAGATTCACAGAAGAATTTATAAAAAGAAAAAAAGAAAAACAACAAAACATATATGTCCTAAATTAAACTATCAACAACTAAAGCATTGTCGAACTTCATAAACAATTTTCAATTCACTTCACAAAGGAGAGAATTAAAGAGCTTATGATGGCTCAGTAAATGTATATATATATATATATATACACACACACACACACACACACACAAACATATATATCACTCAGAAAGCCGTACAATATACTTAAATATATTCAAAACAAATAATTTCATTAGAGTTTGAAAAACAGAGCGCAACAAACATGGCATATTTGAAGCAAAATCAATTCCGCCGCATACTATCCTTCATCCAACCAACCAACAAAAAGAAAACATAGGAACGTGAAAATCATAAGAAAAAGACACAAGAAAATTTTGAAAAAAAAAAATAGAGAGCAAAGCATATGGTGTAGAATAGATTTTCCCGCTAACCAAACAATGCCAAAACCTTAATATAGAACATGCCTACAGTTTTGAGTCGAAAGAGAAATCCACCTGGAGTGAATTAGGAAAGGAAATATTAAAAAAAAATAAGACCGGTACTTAGGCAGCGGTCTTTACATTAGAAAGGATGGGAACCTGGGGGAAGGGGTTTAAGAAGGGGATGGGGAAGGGGTAAGTTCATGTGTGACGGAGCTGCATGATTATAAGTTGGTAGTAGCCGTTCGATTAGAGTGTTTGACAATGTGGGGTCTAGAGATGTTGCGAAAGAACTGTTGGACCAATAGCGGTTTAAAAATATATATATGTTTTTTACTGTGTTAATGATAAAAATAACTTCAAACTATTCCTTTTAACTTTTTATTATTCTTTCACAATTTTTTATTGTTTTGTTTATAAACCACCGTGTCAGGACTCTCTTATCAGATATCACAGACATAATTTTTTATTATTACAATTTTATATATAAAAATTTAACAATACGTTTGATCAATCAATTCTATAAAATTTTATGGAATTCATTTAAAAATTTAAAAATTTAAAATTTTGTATTTAAAATGAGAAAAGATATCAATTTTAATTCTATGAATTGAATTATTCGGGTATGCTTAACTCAAATTCCATTTGATGAAATTTTAAAATGAATTCCACGAAACTAAGTCATTGAAATTTTCATTGACAAAATTACCTTCAACTATAAATTCAATTGTTTTTACTCTTTTTTTCTTTTCTTTTTCTTAGAAAATTCCCACTAACGTTCTTTTTTTTTTCTTGAAATCTGGTAATAACTAGTAATAATGTTTTATATTTTTGAATTCACTACTCTTTTTTATGACGTGTGTTACACGTTAATAATGCTCGTTATATTTTTATTTTTTATACTCTTTTAATTTTTTATTTATTAAAGCATAAATTTTTATTTAGATTACAATAAATACAATTGGTTAATTTGTATTAGATTTTACCATATAAGCTACTTGCAATGTTATTTCTTATGTATTTGATTCTATTTTCATATCATGAGATGGTCTCTAAACAAAGTTAAATCAAATCCTTATACCTAATCATTCAGTCCCTAACTTATAAATACAAATTCTTAAAACTCTGATAAGTGTTCAAAAAGAAAATTAAGCTATCACTCAGTCTCTAACCATTGCGTTTAATCCCAAACCAATATCTATATACAGCTATAATGAAAATTAAGAAAATGATATGAATTAATAATGGTAATCATTTTGGCTATAATGATAGTATTACTTACTCAGTGCATTAGAGAAAGGAATATATGAACATACACACAAACTCTTGAAATCCAAAAAAATGACCGAAAATAAAAATATACAGTTTTAATTTTTTTCAATTTCATAAATTTTTTTTTTCAAGTCAAATATATTTAGGATATAAAAGAAAAAATATCAAGAAAATTAAAAATATTTAATCAAGAGGCCATCTATTTATTGCAATGTTTTATATTTTTGAATTCACTACTCTTTTTTTTAGATGACGTGGTGTTACACGTTAATAATGCTTCGTATAACGCTTTTTTTTTATACTCTTTTAAATTTTTTATTTATTAAAGCATAAATCTTTTATTTAGATTAGCATAAAATACAATTGTTAATTTGTATTTGAGATTTACCTAATATAACAGCTAGCTTGTATCATGCTTATGTCCTATGTATTATGAATTCTAATTTTCATATCATGAGTATGGTCCTCTAAACAAAGTTAAATCAAATCCTATATACACCTAATCAATTCAGTCCTACTTATCATACAAATTCTTAAAACTGCACTGATAACAGTGTTCAAACAAGAAATTAAGCTATCACGTCAGTCTCGTAACCATTTCGCGTTTAATCGCCAAACCAATATCTATATAAACAACTCTAGATGAAAATTAAGAAAATGATAATGAATTAATAATGGTAATCCTTTTGGCTAATAGATGAATAAGTATTTACTTACTCAGTGCAATTAGAGAAAGGAATAGTATGAAACATACACACAAACTCGTTGAAATCCAAAAAAATATGACCCGACAAATAAAAATATACAGTTTTAATTTTTTCAAAATTTCATAAATTTTTATTTTTTTTTTCAAGTCAAATATATTTAGGATATAAAAGAAAAAATATCAAGAAAATTAAAAATATTTAATCAAGAGGCCATCTATTTATTGCAATGTAGATATAAATCTCTTACTAAATTAAAGTGATAGTAGTTACTAATTAATTCAATAACAAAAAAAGAAAATAAAAGTAACAAATTTTTATTAAAAATAAAACTCTTTTAAGAATTCAATATATAACAAGAAATAAATTATATTAAAAAAATTACCAATTTCAATTTCAAAAATAACTTTGGAAATGCTATAATTTAATTAAATTTGCTAGGTTTGTTTGGAGAATTTAATTCAAATTTGTTTTGATGGGGACAAAAAAAAAAAAAGTTAAGTCAATAAAGGAAAAGTACAACGCAAATCAATGCTAGTGTGGATCCAATATTGGCTTAGTTAATGAGTTTTATTCAACGTTATTTATTTCTCTATGTTCTAAGTTTGCTAAATTTAAATAAAAATGTAAGTTAATTAAGGTAATAAAAAAGATTAGATAAAAAGGAAACATTAAGATCGGCGGTCGAAATAAACTACACTGATTTTTATACAACATACAAAAGAAAAAAAAAAAAAAAAAGTTAAGTCAATAAAGGAAAAGTACAACGCAAATCATGCTAGTATCCAATATTGGTTAGTTAATGAGTTTATTCAATTATTTTATTTCTCTATTGTTCTAAGTTGCAAATTTAAAATAAATAAATAAGTTAATTAAGTAATAAAAAAAAGATTAGATAAAAGAAACATTAGATCCTCTCGAAATAAACTTACAATTTTTCATACAAACATACAAAAAAAAGAAGAACATACTTTTTCCTTTTTATTATATATATTTATTTATTTAAAAATAATTTTTAGAAATTATACAATTAAATAATAAAATATAATTTTTCTTTTTTCGTCTTAACCACAGATATCCCAAGTCCACTAAGTTAGAACTAAATCATGCTCGTAAGTATTTGCTCCATGCATGTGGATCGAAACCTCAACCTTATCTGAGAGAGAAGAGTGTTGAACCACTCATCCAAATACTCGTTCGTATAAAAATGTAATTTTTGAATTGGCTATGACTAAGATTATTTTAAGATATTCTAAATTTTATTGAGGACAATATTAAAAATTCTATTATTCTCCCATATTTCCACATTTATATATAGTATAGATATAGATAAATAGATAGATTAGTAATAACTAGTACAAAAATTGAAAATTCCTACCAAGATTTTATATTTTTACTTTTTTTTTTTTCCTTTTAGTTACTGGTAATAACGATAATTTTTTTTTTTTTTTGTAATCTAGTAATAAACGTTAATTTTCTACCGACATGATTATTATTATGAAACTATAAAAATTGACTATCAATAATTGTTGCCAAATTCAATTGAAAACAGTAATAATTTTTAAAATATTTTTGTAGTTTTCGTATTAATTAATTAAATCAATAAGACTTTTAACAATTAAAACAATTATTATGATGAATGTAAATACGTATATAATTAATTAAAAAATAATAAATTATTATATTATATATAATAAATTATATATAATAAATATAATTTGGTGTTAAATATAATTGGTGTTTTTTATTTATTTTTATTAAATTATTATGTCAAGGGTATTATAAGAAATAAAGATAAATGAATTTTTATTTAAAAATTTATTCTAAACATAATTTTATAGAATTCAATTGAATTTCTTATTTTAAATTATAATATATCAAACATGAAAAATTTATTTATAAATCAATTCTACATGGAATTTATTTAAACATAAATTTTATATTCATAATTTGTTTGTTCCAAACATGGTGTAAGTCTCGATTTATCTATATCTAGTCTATAACTTATAATCTATTTATTTTTAAGGGACCAATAACCCCTTAATGAAATTTGAGTACATTTTATTAGTTGATTTGATAAAATTTATTAAATTATTTTTAAAAATACATATAGATAATTAAATAGTTCAGAATTTTAAATTGTATTTTTTTCAGCAATTTTAAAATTGTATTTTTTTATATAATATAAATATATATATATAAATATGAGTGTTTATAATGAAGGGCATATTATATATAATGCAATAATATGTGTAGCGAATTATGATATCTATATAATAAATAATATGTGTATGCAATTATGATATCCACTATTTATTATTACTCAGGTAGAGAATAGAAGAAGCTCTAACTCGGATTTTGATTAGGAGGAGTAATAGAAAAGCCTGGACGATCTAAAAAATTTAAAAATACAAGAAAAGAATAGCATCAGACTTCGTCTAATTAAAATAAAAAAAGATTATGGAATTAATGTAATGAATTATCTACGTATCTAATTGCAATAACTAGACTAGATTCTATCGAAATTTCGGTAATATCTCCTCTAAAAATTGAACAATCCCCTTATTTAAATATCAATAATTTCATTAGATTTTCATTCAATTCAGATAGCTCGACAATCAATAAAGTCAAATTTTCATCCTCCTTCAAAATAACAATATCAATATTTAAGCTCCAATACTAACTTTATTTGTTACTACACAAGGTTAAATAAATAAGCAAATAAATAAATAAATGAAAATTAATATTAGTTTAACCTTAGATCCGACTAGTATAACTATCTTTTATTTCCTTCACCATTAACTATGATTTTGTAATCCATTTACCGATTCACGAAGCATCGTCTTCATAAAAAATGATAATGGCTAACAATCCCATTTTAATCGTCTTATTAAATATAAATAAATCTTTATATACATCAACCAATACGAAAACTTGAAAATACACTCATTTATATATTAGTGTTTCTACAACAACTCAATGTCACATGATATTGCTGCCAAAACAAAAATTCAAAGTTCTTCTACACTATAATCTTAGATTACACACCATCCAACCAATTTCACTGGTTTCACCGGAGGAGCAGAGAAGCGACGAGTCGGCGGTACCAAACGCAACAGATCGCGATAGCAGCTCCTCGTTTTGCTGCGCCAGTCGAAACAGAAGAGAGAAACGAGAAAGGAAGGGATCGGAGCTTTGTCGTCGTTGAGACAGACTGGAGTCGCCGAAAAGTCGAGAGGGGAGCTGCAACGTGATTTCCCGAACGAAGCAAAGTCGCAGCTCTTCCTGCGACAACTGCACTAGCTTCGCTAGCCTGAAATGGCAGAGGAGAGGGAGAGAGAGCGGCATGGGAGCGGCGGCGGCGGAAGGAGGCGGTTCTGGTCTCAGGCGATCGGGAAAACGAAAAGAAAAAGCAAGGGGGAGGGCTTAAGTCGGCGCTAAAGGGGAAAGATGGGTTTCTAGAATTTGCTTGGTTAGGTTTTTGTGAATGATTTGGTTCAAATCGAGTTTGGTTCGGTTCAAATCATGGTTTTTGTGTTCGATTTCCAATTGGTTTTCACGTAGTTGCAGGTTTGTTTCAACTGTATAAAATACATATTTGCAATTTACTGGTTAAACAAATTGGGTATTAATTTATTAAATTTTCAAATATAATTTTCATAGGGTATTAATTTATTTAATTTTCAAATATAATAAATTTTATAATGCCATTGGTTTAGGATTAATAATTAAAATTTTTAAAAATATAATTTTGAGTTATTTAATTAATTAATTAATTAATCAACTAATATTAAAAAATTATTAAATTATTAAAAATTATCTGCCATTATATTTTTCATGTCTCCTTTTTTCTTTAATAAAGTCTAAAATCTATAATTCAATAAATATATATACGTAGACAATAAACCATGTTATGTTTTTTTTTTTTTTTTTTATACGTAGATCAAAGAACCATGTTATGTATTTTTTTTTTTTTTTTTTTAGGTAGAGAATATAAATTTAAATTAAATGTTAATTGGATGATTAAATTTTTAAAACATAAAAACACACATATTATAAACATTTACTTATTAATGTGAAAAAATTTTATATATATATTATATAATATATATATATATAAATATATAATGAATTTTAAAGAAATAGCAATAAATTGAACTGGCCGGAGGATATTTGTAATCCATTTAACTCAATCACACTTAAAAATACATCTTCATGAATAAAATGCACATGTTCTTCATTACTTGATGACACTTGGATGTGGCAGGAGGATGCTAAAGGAATCTATACAGTCAAAAATGGGTATAAAGTGCTTTACAACCAACTCCCTAATGCTTCCATTTTACTTCAACAGTTATGGAAATCTATTTGGAAGTTCTTGTTACCGCCTAAAGTGTTGAATTTTTTTGTGGCGAGCTCCGAGTAATGTTCTTCCAGTGTGTGCTTTCGCGAACCGAAAACGGTCCTCCATTGTCCAGTGGCTTGTCCGTCTGCAAGACTGTGCTGGATTCAGTCTCAGGTGGGTTAGTGGGGAGCTGTGTCAATTTTCACAAAGTGGTTCACTATTATACAAGGTAGATTGACAGGCAACAGCTTCAAAAGGCCGTAATGGTCGCGTGGCAATGTTTCAAGAGCTTCAAGAATGGCGAGTTGTCAAGTTGTCTTCGATGTGCTATAATGCTCCAGTCACGCCATTCACTGTTAAATGGCAGCCACCAAGTTAAAATTTTTCTTAGTGGTAGGAGTCTGTGGTTGGGCCAAAAATTTTACACTAAAAAACTATATAAAATTATTTTTACTTTTAAAGGAATCACTCAATATCAATCAGTAATACTATATATTTATTTTCGTGCCATAAACCTAACACTCGTGTCAATTAACAATATAATATATTTATTTTCGTGCCATAAACAGACAAAAGACTTATTTATAATACATAGTCATTTAGTTTTAATCTTAATCCATTTATTTTGCATTTAAGAGAACCGTATTATGGTATTATGACTTATTTGTAACGCCCCTAATGCATTAAGTAGGACAGCGGCAGCATGATAGAGAAAAAAGGGGAGAGAAAAAAATATGTAATTGACATATGGGCGGCTGACCTGACGTCTTAATATCTTCTACTTACTCCGCCTAGCCACATCAGCTGTCCAATATCCCTTCCGGCCTTAGTTACTTTACTGTTACAAATATGAAAAGAATTAGACAATTTTAAGAGATAAATTTAAGATGTTGGCCCAACAATCAAACAATCCAGTTCAAAAAAGACAAGAACCAACCAGAACAGATGAATGTTAGAAGAAGATGCGTAGAAAATCATTTGCATGGTATTGTACTTCCATGGCAAATAAATATATCTTTTCATTTCAATTGGTAAATCAAATTTGTAATTTATCATTATATTTGGAACAAATGAACCGTAAATGTAAAATTCATTTATAAATAAGATTCTCATATTTAGTACGTCATAATTTAAAATGCGGAGTTCAATTGAATTCTATAAAATTATATTTAAAATAAATTCTTAAATGAAAATTTATTTATTTTTATTTCTTATAATACCATTGACATGATAACTTAACAAAAATAAATAACAAACACTAATTATATTTAATATAATAACTTCATATAACTAGTAGCATTCATCATAAAATTATTTTTAATTAATGTAAAAAGTCTTGTTGATTCAAGTAATTAATTTGGAAACTAAAAAAACTATGTAAGAAGTTTAATACAGTTTTTAATTGCATTTGAAAACGATTATTGATACCCAGTTTTCATAGTTTCATTGTGATACTCAGTTTTCATAGTTTCATTGTAATAACTACGTTATTACTAGATTTAAAAAAGAAAAAAATTAAGTAATTTTGTCAATAAATCCCTCAATGGTTCAATTTTATGGAATTCATTTAAAAATTCCATCAATTTTAGTAGAATATGATTTAAGCAAACCCAATTCTACAGAATTCAATTCGTATAATTCAAACCTCTATTTCTTGTCATGCAAAACACAAAACTTTGGATTTCCAAATGAATTCTATAAAATTTTATAGAATTCGATTTATACAATGAAGTTTACTAATGTTCTAATAGAATTCATTTGTTCCAAGACGGATTTTCAGTAAAATTTAAGTTAGACGTGACAAATGTCTACAGAGTTTCAAATTTCGTATGAATTCAAACATGTATTTTTTGTCATTGCAATTCTATAAAATTTTATAGAATTCATTTGTTCCAAACGGATTTTCAGTAAAATTTAAGTTAGACGTACCAAATTCTACAGAGTTCAATTCGTAGAATTCAAACATGTATTTTTTGTCATTCCAAACACAAAACTTTGGATTTCCAAATGAATTCTATAAGATTTTATGAAATTCATTTGATCCAAACGGGCTCTACGTGTGAAAATCAATTATCAAAAGATAAGTATTTGCACATATTATACAACCTCGATTTCATTTTCATTCCAATTTAATCTCCCGAGTTTCATTTTTCATTTGGTTTATAATTAGGATATTGTACATTAAGCTTTCAAACTGTCGAAGCTGATGGAGATTTTTCCAACTTTACCCTACTTTTGATTCTTCAAATGGAAGTGAATGCCTCTTATATCCTGCACATGACCCCAAAAAGGGTGACAACTATTCTGTCCATATATGTATGTATTAACATACAGATAACCCTCCAAAAATGCTAAACTACTTTATGTAGAAGGTCTATGCCAAGAACCTTGGCATGGCTTCTTTTGTTTCTAATAAAAGGAAAAACATTGCCACTTCAAACAGATTTAGTAGGAGAAACATACCAAGGAAGCTTAAAAGTGTCCTTCCACCATCCGTGTTTTGAACAGTTGACAACTATTCTGTTCAATCGTACAATGATTTCGGAAAAGGTTGGCCTAGCAACAGGTTCCGGATGCCAGCATTCATCGATCAACCTGAATGTAGCAAAGATTACATCCAAATCGCATGTTTCATCATATTCTTATAATATAAGTAACATATGCACATAAATAGAAGGAATTAAGAGGCTTGGACAACCAGATGATGCTTTGAAAAAAAACCTTTATATTGTGACCTTTCTTAAAGTTCTTAAGGCAATGGGAAAAATCAACCCCACGAACCTAGAATTGTAAGAATTGTTACTAACTTAATTCCATTTAAGAATCCTTTCCAAGTAAACAATATCCCTAGTACAGTTTTATACTCATCTTATTCTATTAACTTCTGTTCAACCTGCAAAAGAGTAACAGGCCATAGCAAATATGATATCTTACTGAAAAACTAAACTTACTCTTTTAGATCAGGAGGATAACTTCTTGCTTTTGTCTTGAAAGCTGGTCTTTGTTTCTCCAAACACATCAACCTGAAAGCCTCTTCAGGAGACTTGGGATGGAAAGGCAATACTCCCTCCATCATCTAAGTGCGGACAAAATACAAAAAGGGGGAAGAAGTATTTAGTATTTACACGTGCTTCTTACCACTAAACCATTGTTGCCTTAATGCTTATATGACAAATCAGATACAGATGTCCTAATTAGACTTCATGGAGTTGCATCAACTTGTTGGCTGCTATTGTATAAGATAATTTAAGAAAAGAAATCTACCTCATATACGATGATACCAAAAGAATATGCATCCACGCTTCTATCAAATATTTCCCCTTGATAAATCTCAGGCGCCATATAAATATCTGCAAATTAATAAAAGAACACTATTACAAGTATAACATAAATTGCACTTTATGGGATTAGATTGGTAAGGAGTCACAAAAAATCCTAACAAATCATGAATTGGTTCTGCTTTAAACTTTATCTTGAAAGCGGATGTTATAGGTGCAAAGTACAAGAAATATCCTATACAATAATGGATTTTGCACTAGAAGCGCTTACTTGAAGGATCAATGGGGGTCCCTGGTGCTACTTTAGCTTTGTCAGGTGAAATCTTAGACAACCTTATCAAACCAAACCCAGCTACCTTCAAATGACCACCATTATCCAGCAAAATATTTCTGGCACCTTACCAAAATTTCAAATATTAAAGAAGTGCACGTCCAAATGTCTAATAACAGAATCTCATGCAATATTAACTTCTTCATTTGGTTGTCTTACTTCGGCTTTAAATCACAATGTATGATTGGATCTGGTTTGCATTCATGAAGATAGTTCATGCCCCTGATATCAAGAGATCAAGTCATCTTAAAAATCATCAAGCTGGAGACAAATGAGAGAAGTATAAAATTGGACAAGGACTTGAAAGCATTATTAACTATATCTATCTGTTGGTGTAATAGTGCAGCAATTATTCTAAATTCATTAGATAAGAAAACATGAACTTTTATTCTAAAGAGTTGAACGTGCCTAGCAATGTCAAGAGAGAATCTCAAAGCTTTGGATGGAGAAAAACGCCCTTTCTTCTGAAGATAGCCTGCTAAGTCACCCTGAAATATGCAAAACATACTGTTAAAATTAAGACTCAAATTCATTCAATCAAAGTGCTGCACTGCCTGCTACTGCGCTACAACATTTCCCTTGTGTAACCAGACTAAGGAAGAAACTGCAGTGAAAGACATCTATGATGGATCTAATTCAACAAATCAAATCCAGATGATTTCTATCAGGAAATTTGAAAAACAAAGGAATGCAAATTTCAAAACGATTGAAAATGAAAGCAATGGTTTAATTGAAGATACAAAAAATGAATAAGAGTCTGGTATATCATCAAGCTGTAAACTGCTATACGATTTGTTAATAGGAAACCTCCTCATACCTGAACTTCTGGACATATTGGATTTTTCAGTTTTTATTGTAATACATCACATAGTACCCGGTGAGAGAGAGAGAGAGAGAGAGAGAGAGAGAGATGCTTACTTTTGCATGATACTCAGAAACAATCATCATGGGTATATTTTGGGTAACGGCGCCTACAAACTGAACAACATTGGGATGCCTTACCTTCTCTAATAAGGTCAGCTCATGTTTGAAAGCATTTCTGTTACACAGAAGAGGAAAAAGAAAAGAGAAAGAAGAGAGAGAGAGAATAATGAGAGAAGTGTTAAAGTCCTGAACAATAAATTCCACAATTTCTTGGAACATGAAATCCCAAATAAGTAACTGTAAAGGAATTCTAGCAGCCATAATAGTACTCAAAATGGAGACAATAACGTTGATTATGTGGAATGATACAAACTTTCAACTGCCAACACTTCATCTGGCAATAATTTAGTGTACCTTATTACAAAATATATTACTAGCATTATTAACTTGAAGGCGAGCATGGAATATAATTGATGTTAATTCAAATAGCAAACTCAAGCAAAACACATCAGACAAAGAAACTAAAAAGAAAAGGTTAAAAAGTATGTCCATCACCTAAGGAAAGTGAACTGCAATTGTAAGATGCTAAAATAAGACAACAATAGGTACTGTTACTGATATCAATAAACATTACATTATTTGACATGAACTGAAGAAAATACTTGGTGTGCTAGTCCAAGTAAAGGAAAAGATCATGATGAAAATATACACATTTTTCAATAGAAACTAATGACAAGTTGATGATGGAAACTGCCATCTTAATTGAAACTACAAAGGATTATCAAGTTGTAGATCACGAGATTCCATTACAAGGTAAATAAATAGAAGTGCCTCACTTTCAACCTATGACCACCACCTGGGATTTCCTTTGACTCTTGCATGCTATTGAACATTCATAATATCTTGAATCTACAGTTAGCTAGTACTTGCTTCCAGGAATATCCCAGATCATGAGTTTTTAGACGAACTCAAAAATAAAAAGGGTTCTCTCCGTATCATGAACGAACTTAAAAGACAAGATGGTGCCTCATGTAGAGAACATATTAATAAGCAGGAAGTGCTTAAAGGATATCCCATATTCCCCAGTCAAACATAATAATAGCAATAAAACATGTAAAAAAATTGAGTTGTATTTGCAACAGGGCTGTATGGACATGAAACAAAGTCTAGTATACAGAAATTTCATCAAAATAAAAAGGATAGGCAAGTCTAATTACTGCAAGCATATATATACCGAATTCTGTATAGGAAATAAATATATATGGTGATATTAATTGCTAATATCAGAAACCAAAGCATATCCAGTCCTGAAAGAAAAAAAAAAGAAAGAAGAAAGAAGAAAGAAGAAAGAAGAAGAAACTAGAAAAGTGAGAACATACATGCTCTCAGGGTCTGAATAGCTGTCCTTATCAAGTATCTTTACAGTAACCTTGGTACCATTCCATTTGGCCACTTGATATGTTCCCTGTATAAAAAATATCCATTAGTAATTCTGATAGAACATCAAGCAAAGAATTACAAAAATCACTTCCCTGCTGCAGAAAATATACATCAATACTTTACAGGTTAAGTAGCTGTAATTATTCAAAGGAGAGACCTTTGGAATTTCCTTTCTTTTCGTCATACACAAAAAAGGCCATAGTTTTAAAGAAAAAAATCAAGCCTATTCTCTTGTTTCAACAGAAAATTAAGGCCTTTTTAACCTACAAGAATACTAAACAAGAAATAAAATTGTGAAAAAACTATGGGAAAAAAAAGCAAGTGGTTATAATAATTTTTTTTTCTTATAATTAAACATATTAATCTAAGTTTTCAAATGATTAAACAGCTTAATCCCAAAGTCAATGCAGCATCACAACTCCAGTAGAACACAAAGGAACACATGAGATAAACTAAAAGCAGAAACAGTATATTATATATTTAAAATACAAATTGCTGAGCGGCATCTTCTTGCAAGCACAGCTAAGTTCAAACAAAACAATATCATGATATTATTGAATAATTCCAACCATTAAAAAAAAAAAAAAAAAAAAAATATTTAAAATACAATTGCTGAGCGCATCTTCCTTGCAAGAGCGCACGTATAGTTCAAACAAGAACAATTCATCGATAATGTAATTGAATAATTCCCAACATTAAAAAAAAAAAAAAAAAGCAGACAGAAATACTTAACTGTGATCGGAAATAAAAAAAAAAAAAAAAAAAAAAAAAGCAGACAAGAAATACTAACTGTGAATGAATAAAAACATGAACAAATTACTCAATAAAGCGAACTTGATATTAACAACTACATATTACAGAATAGACATTCTCTTAGTCACAAGCTATGTATGTCAAACAGGAAAGGCAACCCTTATCTGTCATTATATCTGCACAAAAAAGAAATGCATGCTCATCTAGATAGCTAGGCAAAGCATCTTGCCTCCTAGAAGAGAAATAATTCCAAAATAAAGAAGGATTAGTAATTAGTTCTATTATCAGTTGTAAAAGAAAGGGAGGCCTCAGAAGTCTTTGAATCATCATTTATCATTGATTTTTGAAAAGCGCCCATTACACAACTTGCCCCAAACAAGCATAATTTTACTGGAATCTTGAAGGGAATAATATAAGACTATACCTTTGAGATGCCATCAGCCTTCCGAACCTGCAACTCTAATGGATTAAGCTCATACTCTGGAACTTCTCGAGGATTCGCAACAGTCATTGGCGTCTTCCTGGTTTTCTAAAATATTGATAAATACGTGAGCAATCAATCCCTCTCATTTTCAAAATAATAAATAAGTACATATGCTCAAAAAGGAAAAAAGAAATGAAATTCATGTTATACCGGAGCTTTAGCTCCTCGAGCCTTCAAAATATTGTACACATCTATATTGCCGTAGTACTTAGCATCGGCACACGCCTGTTCAAACAAAAATCATATAGAATATATATAAACATATTGAAGATATAACATTAGAAATGATTGACCAAACGTTACATTCCAATTTCCACTTTTTCACATAATTAAACTCAAAATTGGAATTCGTTTCCAGGTTTTTAATTTCCTTCTGACCAAACTAGACCAAAAAAGGAAAAGAAATGTGTGTATATATATATATATATATATATATATTACCGTACTCCCCCAGCGATCACGAGCATCAATATTAGCCTTTCTAGTCAATAACAACTTGACAACCTCTACGTGTCCTTCACAAGCAGCAATATGCAAAGCAGTCCTTCCATCCAAATCAATACTATTAACATCAATTCCTTCATTCAACAAATCCTCAACCCCTCTCACATCTCCTCTACACGCCATAAACAAAAGCTGCATCGTAGAGTCAAGATTGTCCGGCACTGTAAACTGTTCATCGTGAACAGGACTCCGCCGTATAGGATCGAGTGAAGATTGTCTTCCAAAGCTAAATCTCAAATTATTCCTCCTCGGATCAAGTGACGACTGCCGTGAGAATTGTCGGCTGAAAGACTTCCTCAACGACCCGGTTGAGAACTGCCGCGAGATTCCTCTCCGTAACTGCGTAGTGATTCCTTCCATTTTTTAAATTATTGTTACTGTTATGTATCGTTTTTGTTTTGATTATTTTCGTTTTCTTTTGCTCTCTCTTTTCTCTCTCTCGTTATGTCTGGTTTGGTTGCTCGATGGATCGAGAGCGACTCGGGAGAGGAGAGTTAAGCTCTCGATATCGAGCGAGGGAAAGAGAGAGGAAAGAAAAGGGGAAAAGAACGAAGTGAGTTACAAGGGAAAAGAAATGAATGATGGAATGGATGGATGGTTTTCGGGATCCGAGCGAAGCGCAAGGGAAAGGGAAAGGGAGCGACAGGAGAGAAGGAGAAAGAGAGGGAGAGAACAATTTGTCGATTCTGAGGAAAAAGCCGTTATAATTTTAATTTTTATTTTATCCAGTGCATGCGCGTGTACGCTGCCTGTATAAAAAACACGGATACGGTCTTCTATTATGCGGTTAATACCTTTTTTTTTTTTTTAAGATGGTTATTTTTGGAAGTTGTTAGATAGGGGCAATTCGATAATATAATTTACTTTATATATTTATACACGTTAAGAAAATAGCAATTAATTTATTTGTATAATTTTTTTATTATACTCATTTTAAATAATACATGAAAAATTATTATATTAGAATAATATATAAGAATTAACGAGGATTATTAAAAATAAAATTAAATTTAATAATGATATAATAGGTAATTTAAAGATTAATTATCAAACAAAAAGAAAAATAACTATATTTTGAAATAAAACAAAAAGAAAAAATGTATTATATTTTTAAAATGAATAAAGTATTTATTTACCTAAACCATAAAAGAAAAGTTAAAAGTTAAAAAGGTATTTATGGTTTCATAACTCGCTCATCCTATCACGCGGTTAATATTTTTTTTTTTTAAAGATAGGTTATTTTTGAAAGTTGTTAGGTAGGGTTTATTCGGTAATATTATCTATTTTAGTGACTTTAACTAAACTATAAGAGGAAAGAAAAGTTAAAATGAAAAATTAAAATTTAAAAGTCAAACTTTAAACATATTTAATATTTCATACATCACTCTATCCTCTAAAAATTATTATAAAAGATATGTTACCAAGTAGAGACATTATTATTAAGTTATGTTATCTAATATTATAAATAATAAAAATAAAGTTTTGAATCGGTCAACACACTAAAAATTAATTTAAAAGCTATTATCGAAACTCAAATTAAATTAATTTTAAATTTTAAATAAAAATTAAAATTGAATTAAATAGTGTAAAAAACATAGGCTAAATTGATTCATTTATTAAATTTAGAACGTCCGTAACTATTCTTTTGAAAATTTTGGATCCATTTTTAAGATTTCACAAAAGTCAAACTAAATCAAAAAAATATCTATTTTACTAAAATCGAACTCAAACTACATGCAATAAAAATTAAACAAAATTAAATTATTTAATGTCAATTAGATGTGGTTTGGTTGGTCTTGAGTTCGAGTTCTCTCAAACATAAGTATTTTCATAAATTTGATAAGTTCATGGGAATGTTACTTATATTGTGTAGTAGGTAATATTATTTCGACTTATCGACCTTTTGATAAATAAAAAAACAAATTATTTTAATTTAATCAAAATATATTCACTCCTAGTTATGAATTTTTCTAATTTTTATAAGTTGTGGAACATTGTATTGCAACCTAATTCATTATAATTAATGAAGAAATAGTCATTAAAAATTTCATTTTGCAATTTTTCTTTCTTTAGCATTCCCTTAAAAAAAAAAAAAAAACGAAAGAATAGAACTCAAAAATTCACGGAAATTCAGTAACATGCAGAAAAAATGGCGACAACGTAAAGTTTACGCAAGTCTGACACGTAATCTGTACACTAATTTAATTTATCATGGAAATGAAAATGTAACAACTTGTTAGTAGAAAATAAACTCTTTTCATTGAGATTACGCAACACTTCAAACAAATAGTACCAACCAAATACCTATGTTGGCATTAGGTTTGACAAACTACATACTTAAGACTTAATAATTTATGATCCGGGAAGAATTTTAAAATTTTAATCATATTTTTTAAAAAATAAAAATGTAATGTTAGGAATAATTTCAAATATGATTTCAATATTATCTTAAATGCACCGCTATGTTTTATAAATCTTTATATAATATAATCGAATATATATTTTAAATGTATATATGCATTTAATATTACTATTTACGCATGAACGAAATTATGAAACTGTCGGTTTTTATTTAAAGAATGGTAAAATCGAAATCTAAACTCTAAAGCAATTTTTAAAGAAATCTAAAATGATTGATTTATTTGGTTTGCTTTTGATTTGGAGTTAAAATTAAATAATTTTAATTTATATAAAAAAACAATAAATAGTAATATTAAGAAATATTAAAGTAATTTAATAAATATTTTTTTCATGTTTTATAATAATAATGTAAGAAGGGAGATGTCTCATATCGGACACATTTCTACTACATAAATTTTTATCAATTTGATGAATTTAAGAGAATTCTCATCTTACCTAAATCTTGTTTCCAACTATTTTAATTATCCAATAAAAAAATTATAAAATAATAAATTAAAATTTTATTTAATAATTTTTCATGTCACAAATTTTTTTATGATTTAAAACTAAAACCACTCATTACAAATCGAAATTAAATTATATACATGCAATTTTGATTTTAGTTTGAAACTAAGAATCTAATTATAGTTGGGTTTCAATTTTGACAAATTTAATTTCCGTTCCAAATCCAACGGAGCCGAACCGTGATTATGCCTATTGCTACTTATCAAAACTAGGTTTTAAGCATCCGCAGGTAAGGATCTGGAAGAAACGATATTGTCGTTTTATGGAACATAAAAAAGGCAAGAGAATATGATGTCGCTTTCCCGTAACCTTGCTTTTTTACCGAAATGACATTGTCCACATTGCCATGCACTGGCACAAGCGAGGGAGACATTGCTCCAACTTTAATGTGAACAAGTGGAAGCTGGCAGCTTAACCAGATAATGAAGATATGGTATGGGCCCACGTGACTGGGCAGTTAGGTCAAATTAATTGCTTAATAATAAATAAATAAATATGATCAATTGAATTTTTAAATAATAGCTATAGATATAGCTTCTGGCAGTGGCCACTCTGCCGCTCCCTCTATTTAATTTCCAAACGTGGTAGAGTCTCATTTGTCAGAGGGCCATGGGTCCCACATAAATATTTATATTTTTGTTCTCATCCTTAAAAAAACAAAAAAAAAAAAAAATCTATATAATCTTTTTAATAATTTCACTTTGAATATTCCACTGCCATCGCTAAAGATGTATTTGATTTAGCAATTTGTCTATTGAATTTAAAAGTAATATATAAATTTACTTAGAAATCAATTTTTTTTATACTTTATCGCTGAATTTGCATAAAAAATAAAAAGCTTATTTAAAAAAATAATTTTACTCCCTCCATTCTAAAATATTTATCTTTATTTTTATTTTTAGATGTTCTAAAATATTTATCTAATTGATTAAAGAGATAATATTTACTTTTACTTTTATATCTCTCGTTATAAATTAATTTTAAATTTTAGAAATAATCATTTTATTTTAAAGGAAGAAAATTAAAAAAAAAGAAAAATATTTTATATGGTGTGACATTATTATTAGTTTGTTTGAAATGTAAGTTTTTATCGGATAATGTTTTTGTGTGAGATCGATAATTTTGCGTCTATAATTCTATCTGAAAATAATTTTTGATACAGTGTTTAGTGATTAAGTCAAATCATTAAATATTAGTATTTTGTGATGTGATGTTGATATAAATGTTTAAAGCTTTAAAAAACGAATTATGAAACATTTGACAATTATTAAAAAAAATAATAATTATTAAAATAATTAATTTTATTCAAGATTACTTGTGAATTTGGTATTGTATTTCATACAAGTAAGAAACTATTAAAAACTGAGTATTTTATTTCTACAGTTGGAACATGATGTCGGCAGTAACATGATCCCAATTTCAATATGTTACACACTTACGACTTTTTATTTATTCATTTATTCATTTTTTATTTTATTATTACAACATTGTAATAGGAAATCCGCAATGGATAGAATAATAATTTATGAATTTATTTGTAAATTCAATCCTGAATGTTGTTTTTTAATATACTCTTAATTTTTAATTTAACTCATTAAATATGTCAATTTATAAAATTAAATCTATTAAGCACTTCAACTTGTAAAATTATTTTATTGAATATTTTAAATTACAAATTAGATCAATTAAACACATATTAAATAGTAAAAAACTATTACTATTATTGCTGAATAAAATAAATACTAAATTGTGGAATTCTTTTAGATTTCGCTTAATCTATTTCCTTAATCTAATCTATTAATAAATCCCTAACTTTAGGTCTTTTTCAAATTGATTCAATTGTAAAATAAAATATCATGACGTGTATATTTAGGGAATAGTCGCTTATGAAAAGGTAGACAATATTATCAAAATTTGAAAGTTCAAATATATAATAGGTCATTCACAAAATTCAAAGTGCCGTAAAATTAAAGCTGTAAAATTCAAAAATAAATTTGTTCATTTGATCATATCATTTGAAACTTGCAAACCAAAATTTTTATAGATTTTTCTAATGTGTCAGAGATTCAAGTTGTGTGCTATTGACTATTATCCCAAAACTTGTAACAACAAACATGCAATGCTCAACCAATACTAAAAAAGGAAAAACATAAGAAATTGCAACAGTCGATCTAAATGTTGTTACACCCAACATTCATGGACTTAAAACCAATATTTTTTTTTGAGCAAATCTAAAGTAGATACCATGTATCTAAGACAAGTGGACTTATAAAAGGTACAATAATACAACAAAAAAGCCAAAGTTTGGTTTCATTCTTGCAAGCTCATAATGACAAAATTTTATATGTGAAAGCGAGCTCATAGATCCCTGAGCTTCATGGAATAATACCATAGCATATGTGCATAACTGCATACATGTTCTAATTGTTCACTAAAGTAAAAGAATATGGAATCATAGTTACGCTTGTTAAACGTGTTTTGCCTGATAAAAACTAATAAAATTACTACTACATGCTATAGATTGTGAAGATAATAGCTAAGCTAATTAAAACTCCAATTCACCAAGTTGTGAGACAAATATCTGTATAGGAACAATTAAGTTTCACTTACCCAAGTGCTTCCCTAATCCAAATTCAAGAGCATCTGCAAATCATGCAGCCATGAAAGTTAAAGAGTTAGTAATTTGTAAACTAGCACAGTGAAAGGAGTACATTATGCATTACCAGATACAGCAGCCAGCATTATGTAATTAAATAGAGCTGAATTCAAAAACCAAAATTGCAAATAACAGCAACAAGTGTGCACATATACAGAGTGCATCGATTTTGGATTTATGAAGATGCAGATATTAAAATTGAACTAATGAAACAGTTTAAACCAACGTCATCCAAAAACATACTTCATTTTATGTGTATATAGCAGACCTAATAATTAATTTCCTGATACGAAACCCAGTGCTACAAAATGAAGGAACAAAATAAAAAAGATCAGTTAGAAGCAGCATCCTGCTTGCGATCTTTATATTTCTTGGCTTTCTTTTGTTTGTTCTTTGGTGCTTGATACAGGCCAAACTTGCCACTCCGCTTCTTTTCTTGATTCCTGCCACATTTAGTTGGCTTGCCCCATGGTGTTTGTGACACTCTCCCAAAAGACCCACTACTTTTGCTCCGACCCTCACCTCCACCATGAGGATGATCAACTGGATTCATTGCCACTCCTCGAACTACTGGTCTTCGACCCAACCATCTGCTCTGCCCAGCCTTCCTGAGCTTCCGAGAATTATGGGTGGCATTTGAGACCCTGCCAATTGTGGCCCTGCACTGAGAATTGAACATTTTTTCAACACCTGAAGGCAGTTTCACCAAACATTCTTTTGATGTCGGCTCTTTCAATATCTTAGCACAAGTTCCTGCAGCTCGAACCAGCTTCCCACCTTGACCTGGGTTCACCTCAATATTGTGGATCAATGTTCCAATGCGCATAGAAGCCAACGGCATGCAACTTCCTACTTGTGCATTGATATCAAGATGAACCATTTGTTTCATCATCTTGTCCCGCAATGTCGGAGTATCAGCTACATCTGTCATAATAATTTTTAGATGAGGGTGAGAAAGTTCATATTTTGTGCTAAAAGCACATCTTAAGAAAATGAAATCAAGCTCTTCAGTATGAAACAACATTATTTTGGACAATACTCGCCAATAAAACCATTTTTATCATCTTATGAAGATTCACGATAAAAGAAAACAAAGAAAAATACAACGAGTTCCTAAATATCTTCTTTTCTATCAAGGAAGAAAACATAGAACATCTATTTTATTTATTTTTCCAGTTTTTAAGTGATCTAAGAGCAAATGAATCAAATACAACCTTTAAAATAAAGAAATAAAACTATCATTCATCCTTGCATTTTCATTCATTATAGTTAATCGCGGTTACTTTTAAATTTTTCGTTTCAACTTTTCCCTTTTCCTCCATTTCCTCAAGAAACACCAAAATACCAAAACCTTTCCTTTTCAGCAGTAAACTTAACATGCATATTCAATCAATTAGATGCCAAATAATCAAACTCAACTTGGAAGAATAGGTATTAGGCAGAGAAATTGAAATTGGGTGAAAAGAAAAAAGTACCAGTGGAGAAGTTGCGCAGAACATTATTGATGGAGGAATGAGAAGAAGAATGCTGAAGAAGCCTGTTCAAGACAGAAGATGCAGCAGCACGAGCTCTCCATAGAGACATTGATTCCTATCAGGTGCGTCTTTAAGATCACTGTTCACAAGGGTTTTAGGGCTCTTCAAGTGGTTGAAAATGACAGCATCTAACAATCCATATTGATAAATTACTATCGTGAGGTTTAATCTAACATACAGATAAGTTTCTGTTATTTTAAAGCTATATTATATGATTCTTGAAAATTAAAATATTCTTCTCAAAATAAATAAAACAATAAAATATTAACTATTTAATTTTTTTACATATGTTGGGTTTGAAGAGTTTTAGACAAGAAATGTTTTAGTGACCTCATGAGGTTTAACCTAGCCATTAATTTTTAAAATTTAAATATATTATCTATTTAATGAATGATATATTCTAAAAAATATATATTTTTATTTACAAAAGTACCCAATAAATTTATGTTTTTGATTTCTACACGAACAAAATAAATTATAAAAATTTTGAAAAATTGTATGAAATCTTCAATTCGAATATGTTTTGATGGTTAATGAAAAAAGTAAAAAATATTTACATTTATTAATAAAATTCTCTATTTCTTTTTTCAAAGCCCGACATCTCAAAAATCCTCAAAATCTCACATAATTATAGCCAATTTCATCAATTGTATATTCTAACTTCATCCATTGCATATCACTTTTTTTGTATGTTCTAATATTATCAATTGTACATAGTACCAAAGGAAAAACCAATATCATAACAAAGAAGGAGATGAGAAAATTGAATTAGAAGGCAATTTCAACGGCCAAGAAGACTGGTTTCAAAGTCGGAAATTAACTATCTCAATGTATGGAATACATACATTGGCCTTGTATAGCGATCAAATCCAAAACAAGCCAAACAAATACATATTAAGAATCAAAGGACTACATAAGTCCTCTTTTAGATAAAAAATTACAGAATGCCACGCATTTCTAAAAGGCCAAATATCCATAAGCTTTATTTTGACGCACATATATATGTAGCTCAACTAGGATTGAAAATCCTGAAGTAACCAGGCAAGAACCCTGTTCTTATGGGACTTAAAATTTTAGTTTTATTCATGTATTTACAGGTGGTCAGAGAAAGTTCAAGTTATTTCAATACCCATTAGCAAGTTACTCGAAGACACATTATCTTTATGAGGCATTTCATCAAACAGATTACGTGCTTTTAATCAGACTACCAAATCTTGCACGGAAATCCACTAAACATTTCCTATACAATCAAATCCAGAACCCATGAGCCTTAATCAAAACACATTACAATCTAATAATTCGTATATAAAAAATTATACTAATAAGCATTGAAGCTAAATGTAATTCCAATACAATCAAGTAATAGAGATTATGATATACCAAGTAAAATTACCTTAAAAAAATTAAAATTTACTCATTGAGTTTTCTCTAACAAGCAAGTGCAAACTTAAAAATTGTTAAAAAAAACAAAAGAGAGAGATTAATGAAAGAAAAAAACGAAATTCTACCTGCTATAGAGGTTTCCGCGGAGCTAGAAAGAGGAATGGTGTCCGAGAGAGAGTTTTTTAGAGCAGTTGCCGTCGGAGTGAAAAGACGGATTAGAACAGAACGACGGGCTACTGGAACGAATAAGATAATGGATGCATTTGTTAGTTTAGCTTTAGGTTTTGAAAACTGCGTAGATCGAGCAACGAGTTGTCGTTGAACCGAGGGGGAGAGAGCCGCAAATAGAAACGACGAGCGTAGCGGGTTTAGTTGCAGAAAGGGTTTTAGAGGCGATTTTTCATGGTGTTTACTATTATTACAGTAGAATTTAACTGTAAAAGGTTAAGGGCAATTTAGGAAATCTAAGTTTTTAGAATCCTGCGGCTATAGCAGCTTCTGATTTTAGCTAGGTGCATGATGACGCATATGATTTTTTGTAGCAAGTGAATTTCTCCTGCTTTTGCGTCGTCTTCTTCATTTCTCGAGCTGTGCTGATCTCTCTATTTCTGCATTCTCATGGCGGCTACATCTTCAACAAGCTTCACAACAATTCACACTCACAAACCCTCTGCTTCTGCTTTTGCTTTGAACTCTGCTTTTGGTGCCCCCTCTTCCTTGGCAATTTCGACATGCACCACCAACCATTACCACCGTAGAAGGAAGCTCGTAGTCTCTGCTACTGCTGCTGATAATCATAACAACATTTCTACTAGTGTATCTTCTTCTTCTATAACTTTATCAAAAAAGTATGTCAATTTCTTCTTCTCTTTGTACAATTTTCTTATGTTTTGATTTCTGATTTGTGTCTTATTGGACTGAAACTGATTAATTCAATTACTCAAATCTAAAATGGGCTGTTAGGTTTGGCTTTCGGTTGTTGTGAAACATGATTGTTTCATTTGGCTAAAGTAATTTAATTATCTAAACCATGAAGACGGTAAATCTGGGATGCTACATTACCTATAAATTTATTTATAGTCATGAATAAGTATTAAATTCTCTTCATCTGGTTGTTTTGATGTGTTTAATTCCGTTTTCTCTCTCTTTTTGGTGACTTCAGGGTTAGGAGACATACTATCTCTGTGTTTGTTGGCGATGAAAGTGGAATGATTAATCGAATTGCAGGGGTTTTTGCGAGAAGGGGATATAATATTGAGTCGCTTGCTGTTGGTCTGAACAAGGATAAGGCCCTTTTCACCATTGTTGTCTCTGGAACTGAAAAAGTGCTACAACAAGTTGTAGAGCAGCTTCAGAAACTTGTCAATGTTTTAAAGGTTGCAACTTGCAATATTATATAGGATTCTCGATTCCAAACTTTTGACCTTTCATTCATGTTAGGGCTTCTAATTTGGATTTTTTCTGGCATTTAGTTTTTTACGTAAGCATATTTACTTCCCTTTGAACAAAGTAGAGTAATCTGGAATTTGGTAACTGAATCACTTTCAACAATGGAAGCGATCAGAGAGAAGTATTATATCACAGATATATTTTTCACTTTACATATAAGAGCAGTATATTGAAAAGTAAAGTGTTTGATCTAAAGAATTAAGAGCGGGAGGTTCTAATTCCTCAATTTCTTATGTTTAATTTGATAGCCAGGTTGAAGATCTCTCCAGTGAGCCACAGGTAGAACGGGAGCTGATGCTTATAAAAGTGAATGCAGATCCTAATTATCGTGCTGAGGTAATTCTTTGGTAGATGAGTGACAATGATCTTCATAATTTTCAAATGCAAACATGTATCAACTCTTGTTACGTTTTATTTCTTTTAATCTCCAGATCAAGTGGTTGGTTGAAATTTTCAGAGCAAAAATTGTGGATATCTCAGAGCACTCAGTCACAATTGAGGTGATGAATTTTGAACTCAGTCAGATTGATGAAAAAAATGGAGCAAATGAACTTAACCACTAAGATTATTCTGTTGTTTATCACATTCACTGGAATAGAGAATTTGTCGTTGGCAGAAAGTCACAACACATTTATTCATGTTTGTAAACAGAGTAAAAATGCATATGAAGGTATATAAATGTACTTATTATGTAAATACAGCCATGATACATAAATCTCATAATTTGTCTGTTATATGAGTGGACCTTAATTGAGATCCAATAGGGATTCCTTGGGTCGTGGTCCAGATTCCTTGTCGGCTTTTTTTTCTCTCAACACTAGGAGTTGCTCATCTGGCTGCTAAGATGGCATCGTGACAATATTTACTATTCAAGCAACTCAGTTGCATAAAAATTGTTGTTCAGGGACCATAGAGCAAAAGCGTATAATTGTAGAAGCATTTAAACATTCCTGGTGTTTTTGACAATTATGGATTAAAAAAAACCATCAGGACTATGCTGTTTCTTGATAATGATAAGATAGATTTGCTACTGAATTTCACTTGATAATATGACTCCATTGCACATGCTTAGCTGTAATAGGCTATTCCTATTATCCTCTAAATTTATATTGTCTTCTGTACTCGATGCTCTTGTTACTACAATAATAGGAAGCTATTGCTGCCTTCAAGGATACATTCTTGGTTATGAACAGAAATTAGGGAATAAAAGAAGATGGTCTAGTATGCTATTAAGTTTGGAATCGAGGTCATGGCTTTAACATCAGGGGTTTTGGGTGGAAAAATTAATAACTTTGGTTGATGCAAATTTTTATTTTATTTTATTTTTTGGAATTGTGAAGTATGATTTTGAGAATAATAAGATCATGTTAGCAAAATCTACCTCATCGACAACATTTTGAGCTCACCACCAGCAAGTCTTTTTTTTTCTGTCTAAGCATCTAATGTGTTTTTACTAATTGAACTTCCATTGCATTTTCAAATTCAATTGTCTTTGTGAAGCCATAAAATTCCTAAATGACAAGTTCTTCTGCAAATGGCTTAGGTAACTGGAGATCCAGGGAAGATGGTTGCTGTTCAGAGAAACCTAAAAAAATTTGGAATCAGAGAAATAGCAAGAACCGGAAAGGTTGTCTTTTAGTTGTCCTTTTCATTGACTTACATTAGTTTGTGTCTGCTTGCAGGTTTTGTTGTTAATTTCTGAACCAATTGCTTTTTAATAGATTGCATTGAGAAGGGAAAAAATGGGTGAATTTGCTCCCTTTTGGCGATTCTCAGCTGCTTCATATCCTGATCTTGGAGAAATAAGGCCTGATGATGCTCCTTTGGGGTCTAAATGCAGAGTAGTCAGAGGTGAAGATGATACGTCCGTGGGGGTATGCATTTCTGCAAGCTTTACTTTTGGTTCTACCAGATGATTATTTCTGTGGCCTTAACATTGATATGTACAGAATTGATTATATAAGGCTAGCATTTAGCTTTTCTTTTTTTCTTTAATCAGCAACAGCAGATCTTTGTACGAGTAAGGTCTTTTGCATACTTCACTTTATGTTCTCGTTGTAATTAGGAATGACAATAGGGCTTTATTGGTGCTTTTGTTCCAAATTTCACCTTGTTAGGGAAAAAAGTGGGGAAAAGTATTGGGCGTGGGCTGGAGTCCATGTTTTATTAAAATCAAATTCTTTTTTATTAAAATCATAATTTCATATATTATCGTGAAATGCTGAATGCATCTATATTAAAATATCAATACTATTTGTTAATATTTGAGGAGAAAATAATAATTCTATAAAATTAGGAATAAATAGTATGTCTTCAAAGATAAACAAGTTCTCTCATATTTATTTATATAAATCAAGTTATAAAATAACAGTATGTTTTTTAAATTGGGGTAGAAATGGGACAACAGCCTAAACCCATCCCTGCCCTCTAGCTTTTATGGGCAGGAATTTCCCTTTGGGCTCCTGCAGTGTGGATAAAGCCAATGGTGTGGTGTTACTGCTATCTCTAAACTGGTTTTCTTACACGGTAATATTTATTATACCCTAATATCTTAGTTTAATATTAGTTCTTTGAAATGAGTTTTCACATGATTCTCACAGGTTGCGCCAGAAGCTTGTCTACATTATTTTTTATCAACATGGCTTTGGCTTATTGTTGAGAATTGCAATGAATACTCTATTCATTAATCATGTTCTAGAACTTTGTTTTGTCAAAGAAATATGTGCTGGATGCTGTTTCCTTGTGCTATTGCAATGCCATATATACTTCACTTTTGTATTCCTATTTTTGTCCATCTAGTAACTGAAGGCTGGATATATGTGTCAATATCAATCTTAGTTTTTATGTATATGTGCTTTTCTTATTCTCACGCATATGTGTACTTGATTTTTTTTATAACTGTGTTAATAGATTGTGCATTTTTACCTTTTCCTGTCCTGTTAATCCAGGGTGATGTTTATCCAGTGGAGCCATCTGATGACTTCAAAGTCGCTCAAGTTCTTGATGCTCATTGGGGTGTTCTCAATGAGGACGATGTAAGAGTGCTTATTTCTGCGTAGAACTTCTGTTTCCTGCAATCTAAGCTTTTTTATTAGGAGTGAAAGGGACAATGCAGTATTAGGAAAAATCCTTCCTCAATTTCTAACATTGAAGATTAGTTGAGTAAGAGTTATTTATTTTGTATATTTATGCTTACTGTTTTCATTTGATTCAATTGCAAAACTTCTTTCTTTCTTTCTGAAATTGAATCTGTGTTACAATGGGGATGGTGCTGTAGAGATATTGCTCCTATTTACATTGATATAATATAGCGAATGTATAAGTACTTGGTTAAATATTTCAGACTACTGGACTTCGATCTCACACTCTATCCATGCTTGTAAATGATGCTCCTGGAGTTCTTAATATTGTGACTGGGGTATTTGCTCGAAGGGGTTATAACATTCAGGTAGGTGCTTTCTTCTCCTCTTTCTCTGTCTCTTCTCCTCTTCCGCTGAAAACATTTAGTCACTCATCTTCTTTGTTTTTTCCATCTGCATTAGAGTTTGGCTGTTGGGCACTCAGAAACTGAGGGCATCTCTCGAATTACAACAGTCGTGCCTGGTACAGATGAATCGATAAGCAAGTTGGTGCAGCAACTATATAAGTTAGTAGAACTTCATGAGGTGAGGAATTTCAGTAATCAGAATGATATGATATATTAGGCAAGTGTATGAGTTTTTATGGGATCTTATCATTTCTTTTGCATAAATCTCTTGTTTAGCCTGTGAAAGACAAACCCTTGTATTACCAATCACACCCTGTCTCCAAGCTTTTACTTCAACCAGAAAGCATGGCAAAAAACTGTCTTTGGACTTTTGACCTAACATGCTTTGCTTCTGAATCACTTATATCCAAAATCAAATAGTTTATTACTTTCAGAGGTTAGAGGCACTTAATGGGTTAGTACAAACGTGTTTATGTTTGTTAACATTTATGTTAAGAAGTTAAGTGTGTTCTGATGAAAACTACTTCAGGTTCAGGATCTTACCCACTTGCCATTTGCTGAACGAGAATTGATGTTGATAAAGATTGCTGTAAATGCTGCTGCTCGGCGTGATGTTCTTGACATTGCTAGCATTTTTAGGGCAAGAGCTGTTGATGTATCAGACCACACAGTAACTCTTGAGGTAAGTAAAATTCATTCATTTTTTCTTTTGTTAACAATAGCTAATATTTGGTTATTACAATCCCGATTCCCCATTTATTTCCTGTCATTTCATCTGCCATGGTTTTGTAAGAGGCTGTCGTGCTGTATAAGTCCCAATCTCATTGCCTTATAATGCTCATTCCAGCTTACAGGAGATTTAGACAAGATGGTTGCACTGCAAAGGTTGTTGGAACCCTATGGTATTTGTGAGGTTTGTTTTACAAATCTTAAATCTTCTGAGTTGGAATTTCGAACTATGCATGTTTCACTGCCAATGGAAACATGTTACTGCAGTTTTCTTTAGATCTACTATAACAAACTCCAAACAGCTTGGGCAGCATTGTTCTGTTCTTTACAACAGTTTTAAACTAATAGAAATCTTACATCACTTTGATGTACGTCTAGTCTGCTTTGTCCTTGTATCTCTCATCTAGTAATATAACATTTATACCTCTTCTTTAGGTGGCAAGAACTGGGAGAATAGCATTGGTGCGTGAATCAGGTGTAGATTCTAAACACCTCCGAGGATATGCTTTTCCTATATAATGAAAACTTGATGTTGCTTTTTTACCTGGCGATGCGGAAACCCCAGTGACGGCAAATTTGTGCCTTGCACATGTAAAAATACAATATGTATTTCATGGACAAGGATAGACCAGTAGTTTGTGAATTTTAGTGGATGAATTAGCATTGCAGCTTCCCAATTTTTGTTGTTTTTAGAACATAGTTCCAGCTACCAATTTTTGTCTTGCTTTTAGAACATTACTTTTCTCTCAGTGTGCCATGTTTATAGGTCAACAGTTGCTTTCAAATTGATATCCTTTTGAAATTTCTTTAATGGCGATCTAGTTATTTATTAATTTTTTGAACTATGATACGGTTATTTCTGTAATTACAATAGTAGGAAATAACATCTTAGTTACTAAGGGTAGCAAAACGTAGCAAAACTTTTGTGAATAGGCTATCAATTCATGGGCTGAAAATGATTCTAAAAATGGCTGAAAGCATAAAAGAATCCCAAGTTCAAAATTTACAGGCCAAATATTTCTTTGTTGTTTTAGCCGTTTCAAAAGAATTGTGAGATGGGATATATTAGGATTAGATGCATGAAATTCAAAAAATCCCTCAAACTAAAAATTAACATTATTGTTTGTACTGCTATTGAGAAGCCACTGTTGAAAATATTAAATAAGAAATCGTTAAGGTTTGTTTATTTTAAGATAGCTTTCGCACGTTTCAACTTGAAAGTCCAAATAACTCGATTTTCTACCCTAAAAAAATAATAATAACAATAATAATAACTCCATTTTCTAATCAAAAGGACAACTTCTATAAGCAACACATCTCCATGAATAAAACAAGTCATAAAGACACAGGAGCAAATATAAACCATTTAAACAGAGGCCAAGACACATTCTCAGGAGCTCTAATGTCTGTAAAGACTAAAAAGTAGACTATAATCATATTATTTTCATTCACGAGCAACAACAACCAACTGTTTTCCAACATTCCGGCCAGTGAATAGTCCTATTAGAGATGTAGGTCCACTCTCAAGTCCTTCAGCTACATCTTCTACATATACAATCTTGCCTTGTTTGATGTAAGGGATAACCATTTCTAGAAATTTGGGATAAAGGTGGTAAAAATCACCAGCCAGGAATCCTTCCATGCGAATTCGTTTCGCAATAATAGATGCTAAGTTGTGTACACCTTCGGGATTTTCAAGATTGTACTGAGAGATCATTCCACAAACAGCAATTCGACCACGAATCCTCATGTTGAGGAGCACTGCATCAAGCATTTTCCCACCAACATTTTCGAAGTAAATATCTATGCCTTCAGGAAAATACCTGCAATCCCAATATAACACTATTGTTAGATATGAATATAAAATGCCAGGAAATGGGAGATAAGAAACAACTATTTGGTTTTGAAATGGCCTATGAACAGCTTTAGAGAGGTGCAACGTTTCCTGTGGCAAGATCACCTGCATTTTCTTTTCAATGCACATTCACTACATTACGTCCAATTTGACCTACATTTTGTTTTCTTAAAACAGAACAACCCAATTAAGTATGTGGTGTCTTTTTGTATATTATAATAGATTTCCAATGAAACTTTATACTAATATAGCAGACTATATCAGACCCAAGCTTGACAATGATACTTAAAATTTTATGTACTTGCCTTTTAAGAGCTGCATCTAAATCTGGCTCTTCCTTGTAATTGAAAGCATCATCGAACCCAAACTTGTTCTTCAGCAGATCAACCTTGTGTTGACAAAATGATAAGGAACAAAAATTAGCAGCCAATAAAAATTTGAAAAAAAAAAAAAGCAGCATAATACATGGCAAGAGAATAAGAATACTAGTTTCTAATTAGTAGTCTGTCTATGCTTTTGTTTCACTTGTTTACTGTAAACAGAGAGCTAAGAGCTTTGCAGTTATGAGCAATACAAAATATTTCCAACTGGATCAAATTAAACTAAACAGACTAAAAGAGTTATTGTATCCATATTATGCTCAAGAGGATAGCATGCATAAGAGGGTTGGACTTGGCTCACCTTCTCTTTAGAGCCAGCGCTTCCAACAACGTAGCAACCCATTAATTTTGCAAATTGCCCAACAATCTGACCAACTGCACCAGATGCTGCTGATACATAAACAAACTCTCCTTTCTTTGGAGAGCAAACCTCATAAAAACCGGCATAGGCAGTCACACCAGGCATACCTAAGAAGCACAAAATAGCAACAATAGTATGAGTTTGACAAAAAGTACGCAGGATTGCTAGAAAATCCCTATTTTCCATGCAACAAAAATTTAAATGTTCCAAATGCAAACACATTATTTCAAATCCTAATTTCACGTACTTAACATTCCAAGTGTCTTGACCAGTAGCAGTAAATGTATGGTTAAAAATATAAACTGACCTAAAATTCCAGTATAGTAGGAAAGAGGTAGATCAGTGTGTTCAATTTTAATTAAAAGCTGTGGTGATGTAATGAGACTATATTCTTCCCACCCAGTAAAACCCCAAGCTAAGTCTCCTTTCTTGTAATTTGGATGTGTAGAATCCAAAACTTTGACCACTCCATATCCATTCATAGGCTGCATAATTCAAAACACCAAGTTACCAAAAGAATCTTACCTTCAATAGAAAAACCAACAAAAGCAGAACTTAAAATTTTCTAGACATTATAAGCAAAGCAAAACAAAATGGGGGAATTAGAAAATTTTGTCAGCATTTTCTGTAAACCTTGATTGTGTAAACCCTCCAACAAATAAGAGAAATGGTAATTGAAAATTCTCCGTTGACCCTAGTTGGTTGGTCCAAAGAGTCTCATCTTATAGGCACTAACAGTTAGTTACATCAAGAAATTTCAGAAATTCCATTCTAACCAACTCCTCCCCATCTCTCTCCCACCCCACACCCCACACAACCCTCCTAGTTTGGGTTGCGGTCCAAAGAGTCTCATCTTATAGGCCACTAACAGTTAGTATACATCAAGAAATTTCACAAAATTCCATTCTAACCAAACTCCTCCCCATTCTCTTCCCTCCCACCCCACACCCCACACAACCCTCCCCCCCTCCCCCCCTCCCCCCCAAAAAAAAAAAAAAAAAAAGGAAAGAAAAAGGAAAATAAAAGAAAAAAAAAAAAAAAAAAGGAAAAGAAAAAGAAAAGAAAAGAAAAGAAAAGGAAAAAAAAACAAGAAGTGGGTATTTTATGAATCACTGACCTTTCCAAGCTCAAAGGAAGGAACAAAGGTAGGGGTATCACGCTTAGTCATGCGACCACGCATATAAGGATCACAAGACAGGTAAAGATTCTTTACCAAAACAGCATCTTTATTGCCTTCTGGAATCTTAAGCCTTATAGAAGAAGTGACGATTTCCATGTCAGATTCCTTTGGAAACCCAGATACATAATTCTTTAATATTACTTGCTTGTTTCTTACTTCATCGGCCATTGTTATTTGATTGGTAGCTCTGTAATTCAGTCTCTCTGTTTTGGTCTTCTCTTCAAAGCAAAATGGAAGTTCTTTAACCCTTTTGTAGGCTTATTATTGATTACTATGGAGTGTGAACAGTGTATCGACCAAATCAGATATTTGCAATGAAAGCGGCTAACTAAAATGGGAAAGCCAACAATCTGATTCTAGAAACCTTTAGATTTCGGTTTATGTTCTTTCTTTCGGTTTTTGGGCTTGGATCAAATTTAGCGGTCCGTTCGGTATATATATATGATTATTAAGATCCCTAAAAATGTCCGTATTAAATTTTTGAATTGAAAAATATTTTTCTTTTAAAAAAATTTGATTTTATTGATTACAAAAATAATTCAATTTTCATTGTTTTATATTAATTTTTTATTTAAATCTAAATTGTATTCAAAAATTATTTTTATGTTCCTTATGTTTTACAAAATATATTAATTCATCTTTGTTTTTTGTACTAATTATTCCATAGTCCTTAACATAAGTCTCCGTCTAACTCTTTAGTTCTTCCGATGAAAAAGCAATACTTTTTCTGTTAATTTTACGTAAAAAAGATAGAAATATTTTCATTAGAAGACTTAGAAATATAATTTTTCTATTTTTAACTACCCTTAATTATAGTATATTATGAGACCCACAAAAAGTAATCAACGGAAACACTGTCAACCTTATCCCTCCCCGTCGGTCAACCTTATCCCTCCCCGTCGGTCCATCCATCGTAAATCCAAATTTCTAATCGAAAGCTCAATACATACGTCAAAGACTATGAAATAATTTATACAAATAGAGGATAAACTAATATATTTTGCAAAACTTTAGGGATTCGAAAATAATTTTTCTTTTATTAAATATAATAAAATATTATATTACATACTACATAATATATATTAAATATAATAAAAATACAATATCTTCAAAGATTTTAACTTTATAGGTAAATTTTTTTTTGAAGGCAAATTTAACTTTATAGGTAAATTTAATTGGTTTTTTATATTAATTTTCTATTTAAATAAAAAATCTATTTGAAAAAAGAAAAAAGTGTGTTATATAATAAAAATAAGATTTAAAGAATATAACATTTTTAAGGATTTAAATATTGGTTAAAAAAATAAAAATAATTTAATAATAAAAATAATTTATTTTAATTAGCTCATTATATTAATTTTTATATAATTTAAAATTTTTATATTGTAATAAAATAAAAATATAATTTATACTAACTAAGGTATAATTTTTTAAGTATTTTATAGAAATTTTTTTAATTAAAAAATAAGATAATTTAATTTATTATAGCATATTAAAAATTTTTACTCATACAAATTTAAAAAATTTTGTTAATGTACCAGGGTGAAAAATATATTAGCATAATAAATAAGGAAAAGAAAAAATTTAATATAAAAGGCGAGTTATGAATAATACCTATAGAAAACGTTGAATTTGATATCTTAATAAATTCTACCATAACCAAAATATAAATTGGCATAATAGTAAAGTAATGGAATTGTCCAATGCTTTTTTTATCTAATTTTTTTTATTTAAATAAATTTCATTTTAATAAATTTTTTTTATCGTTTCATGGTCAAATTTTTTTTAAAATTTAATTTATAATGTTTGTTGTCTCTTATACTTCAAGTTAATTAGCTTTAATTAGTTATATTAATTTTTTATTTAATTTAAATTTTTATTGAATAAAATAAAAAATATATTTTATACTAACTAAGGTATATTTTTAAGTATTTTATAGAAATTTTTTTATTAAAAAATAAAGATAATTTAATTTTGATTAGCAATATTAAATTTTTATATAAATTTAAAATTTGTTAATGTAAGGAAATATATTACATAATAAATAAGGAAAAGAAAAAAATTTAATAAAATAAGGCGGGTAGAAAAACCTATTAGAAAACGTTGATTTTGATATCTAATAAATTCTACCTACCAAAATATAAATTGCAATATATAAAGTAATAATTGTCATGCTTTTTATCTAATTTTTTTATTATAAATTTATTTTATATTTTTTTATCGTTCATAATTTTTTTAAATTTATTTATACATGTTTGTCTATACTTCAAGTTATTACTTTAAGGTAATATAAATTATCATTATTTTTTGTTATCTGTGTTTCATGTTTATATAATAATATGCTTTTTTTGTTTCAATTGGCTATATACAAAAATACTATAATAGCATTTTTTTTCTTTCGAATTTATTGCATAAATATTTCACTTATTAATCAGATTATAAAATTTTAATTTCACACGATATATTTAAATATGAAATGTATACCATTTATACATTATATGTACTTTAATTTTTTAATAATTTATTTAATATATATATTTTTATATCTCAAAATAAGTATACTATATCATATAGCCGAGCAAAGCGGTGAAAACCGTGGAGCAGCTTATAAAATTTAGAAAAAGAGGGACCAGGTCAAAAGAAACGAAACTACACCGGTTGGATGGATAAACTCAACGAGCGCACCATCCAGGTTTAACAGAACCTACATAAAAAACTATGTCGTTTTGGTTATAGGGTTTTCAATTTCCAGTTTCACTCAGAAGCACAAAAGCTAAAGCCGTGAACCGTTCTCTTTTTGTTGCCTCTTGAGTGTTGCCTCATCCTGCTCATCAATCTCTCGCTTCTTCGCACTTTTATGCAAAACTCGAGCTCAATCTGTCCTTTAAACCCTAATCTTTCCAATAGTCATTGCCAACAATAATTAAAAACCTCGCGTATCTCAGGTACTTCCTTTAATAATTTTTGATTTTATGTGATTTGTGGTTTTTGCTTTTTGTTTCGTTTGAAATTGGGTTTTCTGGTTTAGGTTTTCATTTTGCTGAACTTTTTTTAGGTGTGATTTGAACCATTTTAAATTACTTCATTTCTGGTTACCTCCAGATGCATCGGCAATTTTGTCGTTCTCTTTGTACGTTGGATTGTATTTGGAGCCATATTTCTAGAGTTATTGATGCTGGAACTAAACTAGTGACCAATTGCTAATTGACAGCTTTTTTTCAGTTCTTAAAACAGTATTTTTTTGCTTCAGTATGTTAAAGCTTCTATGTAGTCGAGCATTTTCCTGAAGGAGAAACTATCAATTTTGAGCATAGTGACTTTGTCTTTGAGCTGTATGCTTGAATGCACCAAGGAAATGGATCTGTTGAAGGTATTGGTAGGACTATATTAGGTCCTGTAGTGCATGCTAAATACAGGCCTGAGAAAAGCTTGGTTTCCTGTAAAGATTTAGACAGATTAAGGAAAATAGTACGTTCTCTAAATGTTATTGTTTTGTTGATAAATTTGAAGTTTTATCAATTATACTTGACTGATAAAAAATGGCTTTTGGTGTTGTTGAACTTTTGCTCATCTAACAGAGTTCTTTATTAAGGCTACTCTTTGTTTGCTATTTGTAATTTTTTATTTGTAGTTTAAGTCCTGAGAATCTGCTTTGGGTTGGCAAAATACAGCATCGTATTTTCAGCATTACTGGTTTTCTTTGGACACTTTTGCCACTGAAATAATTCCTCAGCTGTAGGTGATTAAATGCTGCTATATTGTAATTTGAGTTGATGACCTCTTGATTATAAGATTGTCATTGTTGCAATATATATATATATATATATTACCTGTTTTAGTGTACGAGTTCAAGCTCGAGCTTGTAAACGAGCTGAGTCTCAACTCAAGTATATCTATCATAAACCGGGCTCAAGCCCTTCACTGCTCGGCTCGACTCAGCTCAATCACAACTCTAGTTTCAATAAAAAACCTAAAGACCTAAACTGACAAATCCATCCATTATCTTACTCATTTCAGCAGTTGCCATCCTCTCTATTCTAATCTTTCTTGATTTCTCCAAGTCTCCGACTCTCTCATCTTGCAAGCCACCATCGACGACTCTTCCATTCCTAGAACAGCCTTTTCACTCTGACGGAAACTGCAGTAAAACGTTCTCCCGTCAGTCACTGCTGCTCTTTTTTAATCCATCTTTCTAGCTCAAGGGTAACCTCTAAACCAAGTGTAATTTTTATTTTTTTTATTAATATCTCTCTTTCATTACTTATTTACATTTTTAATTTTTCACATGCTCATTAGAGAAAACTCTAGAGACAATAAAATTTAATCTTTAGGTAATTGTACTTGGTTTATCATAATCTTTGTCACTTGATCGTATTTAAATTACATTTTAGTGTAACTACTTATACTTAGCTTCAAAGTTCATTGTGACTGCCTGGTGACTTTTGTGGAACTAATTTAGTGTTTTATAATCTTTGTGGAACTAATAAAATATTTATAACGCTTGGGTTATTTAATTTTTTACAAATCAATAACAGTTTTGCTTGAAATGGTCTCACTTTGTAGGCATTGAGAGTTTCTTTTGTGGAAAGATGAGTTTGATTTCTCAAAATGTTGGCTCTAAAAACAGAGACAAGACTAGAAAGGAGGAGACTGATAAACCTGCATTTATGGAAGGAAATAAAGAGGGTGATGGTAGAGAATATGATTTGGTTATATCAAAAGCCAAAAGGAGAAGGAAAGAAAACGAAGAGCTTGATGAAGGAAGGGAAATGAAAAGGTTGGAGAATTTTTTGTTTGGGTCCCTATACTCTCCTATTGAATTTGGAAAAAATGATGAGACTAGGGATGGTTCTGCTTCATTCTTTGTGGACCGTTCGGCAAATAGCGAATTGTCTGTTTATGAGGAGGATTCCGAATTCAATGAGAAAAGTGACCTTGAAGAAGAAACTAAACAAGGGAAAGCTGTATGGGTTGATGATGAAGAGGAAAAGGCCACAATTAATATTTCTAAGATTAATAGGTTAAGAAAACTTAGGAAGGAAGAGGATGAGAGCTTGATTTCAGGTCGGGAATATGTTGCAAGATTAAGGGTTCATCATGCAAAGTTGAATCCAGGAACTGAGTGGGCTCGACCTGGTTTTCAGTCAAGAGATGATAGTGAATCATCAGATGAAGGAAATGGCTTTGCAGCAGCACATGGTTATGAGGATGCTGAATTTTTTAGTGATATTCTTCGAACAAATGAAGATCTTGTAGTGAAGAGCAGGTCGAAACTGTTGCCTGGGCGTCTTGAGTACTCAAGACTTGTTGATGCAAATGCTCAGGATGCATCCAATGGTCCAATAAATTCAGTGCAGTTCCATCGGAATGCACAGTTGCTACTTGCTGCTGGATTAGATCGGAGGCTAAGGTTTTTTCAAATTGATGGTAAACGGAATACAAAAATACAAAGTATCTTCATTGAGGATTGCCCCATTCACAAGGCATCATTCTTACCTGATGGATCACAGGTTGTTATAGCAGGAAGAAGAAAATTCTTTTACAGCTTTGATTTAGTGAAAGCAAAAGTTGATAAAATTGGCCCCTTAGTTGGCAGGGAGGAGAAGAGCTTGGAAGTTTTTGAGGTTTCCCCAGATTCTAGCACGATTGCTTTTGTGGGGAATGAAGGTTATATCTTGTTGGTGTCATCCAAAACAAAGGAGCTTATTGGGACTCTGAAGATGAATGGAACTGCTCGTTCTTTAGCTTTTGCAGATGATGGGCAACAATTATTGAGCCATGGAGGTGATGGACAGGTCTATCACTGGGATTTGAGAACCAGGACATGCATTCATAAGGCTGTTGATGAAGGTTGTATAAAAGGCACAGCACTTTGCAGTTCTCCATATGGAAATTTATTTGCTGCTGGTTCAGATAGTGGCATAGTAAATGTTTACAACAGGGAGGAATTTTTAGGTGGAAAGAGAAAGCCAATCAAGGCAATTGAAAATTTGACCACTAAAGTGGATTTTTTGAAATTTAATTATGATGCTCAGATATTAGCCATTTGCTCACACATGAAGAAGAATAGTTTAAAGTTGATACATGTCCCATCATTTACTACCTTCTCTAACTGGCCTCCTCCAAATAGGTCCCTGCAGTATCCCCGCTGTTTAGATTTCAGTCCTGGTGGAGGTTTCATGGCTGTAGGAAATGCTGCTGGGAAAGTATTGTTATACAAGCTACACCATTACCAGCATGCATAGAAGGTATATGAGAAATGGCAGAACCCCCATTGTTGACCTTAAATCAGGTAGGAAATTCCCTTATTCTGTGAGGTGTTGAGTTGATTGAGGTTCGAAGAGAGTTAGCAAATGTACAAGTGCCACTTATTTTTGCATGCAGGTGCTTCTCAATATCTTGGAGGTTATTAAGGTAGCTTTGTTTTCAAATTTTTGGTTATACATCTGTCAATCAAGTTTTGTTTCAGTAGTCATTTGATGGTTGTAAGATCTTCAGCATTTTCCGGCATCAACTTTAGACATAGAAGAATTTTCTACAATGAATTTTATTAATTTTAAATTACATGTTGTTCTCCTTGTTATGCTTGTTTTTTCTTCATTTAAATTATACCGTTTAATGCTGTTGCTTTTCTTATTTTTATGAGCACTGGAATGTCTGTCGTGAGACGGGGTTTCCAGATACAAATAGTCATGAACTAGATGTAATTAATTCTCACTGTGCACAGTAACTGGTACTAGACTTGTAGCAGAATTGCGATGTTTGATATTTATCTGCAACAAAATTTCTGGACTAAACCATCCTTAGATAGTTGTACTGTTTGTATGTGCTAGCGGAAGAGGAGATTAATTAGGTGCTTTTTACCCCATGGAACCCATCGATCTTATCTATACAAGGGTGTCTGTGCTGAAACAGATGGAAAATTGGCAGATTTTATTCTTTGTAATGGACCTTCTATTTTCCTATTGACAGAATTTTAAAATATCTTTTTCTTTGATTTTTCTGAGATGTGGAGTAACCTGGTGGAATTTTTGTGTGATTTCATGTGATTTTTTGAGGAAAAATCACAAAATACTAGTAAATTTATATATTGCTTGGGTGTTGGAATGCTATTGTTAATTTTTTTGTCTCGGAAGGGAAAGAATAGTTGGCACTGATTTTTGGTAGGACATTCTATTTGTTGAGACATATCACTCACTTATAGACACCTTCAATAAAATAAAGCCACATTAACAATTTATTTTTTTTTTCTACAGGAAAAAATAGTTGAGGAAAAAATAATGAAGAAAAACCCTGAAATTGAAGAAAAACTTGAAACATACCGTATTAGGGAAGGACAAATAGAAAGAAAAAACTAGAAAATGGATTAATAAAGAAAGAAAAAAGAATTATTCTCGTTCTATATTCAGACTAAAAACACAAGGAAAAGGAAAAAAACCATTTTTCTAAAATTTTCCTCTTTTTTATTTTTTCATTTTGTTTCCTTTCCTTTCTAATTTCTAATCCAAATAAGGTGTTACATTCTATTTTGTTTAAGTGAATTTCTGAAAATTTAATCAAATTCAATTGAACTTCATATTTTTAATTGCTTTGCCTGGAAAATAAAAAATTATAATTCAATTCTATGAACTGCATATAACTAAAACCAAATTCTATAATGTTTTTCTTAAATATTGAATAAATATTGAAGAAAGAGAAAATTTGAAGATTTTCCAAGCCGAATTCTGTGGCAATTGGCAAACAAACAACCCCAAATCCCATACATTTACTCGCCAAGACGTATGATCAATTCAATTCTGTTTGTCTCAGTCTGTACAGGCTATAAAGTTATCTTTCCTGTGTGTCAAAAATAGAGATATATCATGGTGAAGCAGTGAGCAATAAGCAAGTGATATTGAAGGACTACGTCCCTGGTTTTCTTCAAGAATCAGATTTCTACATCACAATTGGTTCCATCAAACTCAAGGTCCCATCTGTATAAATGGTGTTCTTGTCAAGAATCTCTAGTTGTCTTGCGATCCCTACATGAGAAACCGAATGAGAAATTTCCACGGCTCATATATCCCACCCTTCAAGCCTGGTTCGGTCGTTCAACTCCTATCCATTTCCGTTGTTATTCTTCTTTTTTTGTTTTTTGTTCGTTTTTGGATGATTCAATTTCTTAAATCCTACTTGCATATAATTGTCGTATTGATTTCTATTGTGAACTGTAATTTTTGGTTGGTTCTGTGATTATTGTTCATGGATAGTTGATATAAATAATGACGTGTAAAGGCATTGAATAGTAATTTTGACTATTGAATAATATACAATATATTACTTCTCTTCTCTTTTAATTCTCTTTTCTTCTCCATAATTCTTCTCCTCTTCTACCACTTTTTTTTCAGTTTTCTATGTCTTTCTCACTAACCAAACAACTGGGTTAGGATTCATATGCCTGAGAATTCTAACAGAACCGTTGTTAGGTATTTCTGTTTTTTCGTTTTTAGTATTCTGAAGTAATTTTATAGCTCTCTAGTTGTATTGTTTTGTCGGTCTACAGTGATTGTAGTTCCTTAACTCTATTAGCTTTAAATTCATATACTAGTTGGTTCTGTTTAAAATCTCTGTATAATTTTTTCTTTAATTTTTTTAAGATTAGTTTCTTTTCTTGGAAAACTTTTATATATACTCTAATTCTCATGCAATAAAAAGAAATTGAACCAAAGTAATAGAATTTTGATTTTGAGATGTTTGAAACAATATATGCAGCCTAAAACTGGCTCGTGGAGTGGCCAAAGTTGTGGATTCAAATCACTCGACTTCAAGAAAGGTGACACAGTAATTGGAATGACTGGGTGGGAAGAGTACAGTCTTATAACAGCAACTGAAACACTTGTTAAAATTCACGAGAAAGATGTGCCTCTTTCTTATTATCTTGGAATTCTTGGTGAGATGTTGCTTCCTTCCCCTCGTTTCCTCCTCTCTTTTATTATGCACTCAATTTATGCAACTAGTTAGATCACTGTTGTTGGTAATGGTTGAAGCTAATTTAATTATTTTATCTTTTTAGGTATGCCTGGTTTGACTGCTTATGTTGGTTCCTACGAGATATGTGCTCCTAAGAAGGGGGAATTTGTCTTCGTTTCAGCTGCTTCTGGTGCAGTTGGTCAGCTTGTCGGGCAGTTCGCAAAATTGACAGGTTGTTATTTTGTTGGCAGTGCTGGAAGCAAGGACAAGGTGATCATCCTTCATGACTGCTCATTTTATTAATTCAATCCATAATATGCCCCTAGGTAGTTTGCAAAATCGACAGGTTGTTATGTGTTTAGGTATCACTTGCTGAATTTGTTCTCTTATTGAATTTGAATATATGTCTCCAATGCAGCGACTTTTTTGTTCTCTGTTTCCCTCTCTATCCAATGTAGTGTGTCCAATCCAAAATGTGTCTAGGGTAGCCTCTACTACCAAATTAGTTTCAGCTTCTCAAAATTCATCACCAACCATAAAATTAAGAATTTTGTGGATGCTTTGGGTGTTTATGATGCTTTGTAAGTAATTGAAAAGGATGGGAATTTGAGGTGCATCTCTAGTTAGAAGCCAGTTGAAAGTTACTATTGTGAATAGAAAAATGGGGGAGAATTCACACATCCAAGTATGCTTACATATTATAAATATTTATGGTATGATCTATTATTCTACTGCGATCGCCTTTTTTCTTTTTGCTTAGCATTTAACAACAATATTAAGTTACTTTTAGATTTGCATGCTATATTATTTGTTATCCACGTGACTTCTGTACTTTTTTTTTTTAAACTGGTACAAGCCATTGGTTGAAATACTAGTTAAATTTTATTGTTTCAGGAAGTTTACTTTATATATCTAATACCAGTTTAGCAATTTTCAGTTTACTTGCATAGAAAAAATTTATACAACACAGAAAATATATATCATCAATTAATAAAGTCTTAAGTGGGAATACATCTAAAAATTCATTGAAGGGTTCTGAGGTATTTTTTTTGCAGTTAGGTCTTTTCTATGCATAACCAATGCATCCTAAAATTAGCATGGAATTGTAATTCCGAGTAGCAGGTAAAATTCTTCTCAAGGATATATTCTATCTTGCACAGTGCTTATTCATGGATAAACGCCATTGAGGTATGGTATATGATGATCTGTCAAATTAAGAAAGCAGCCTCATTAACTAGTTCCTCATTTTTATTTGTGTGAATGCAAGGTTGATCTATTGACGATAAGTTTGGTTTTGATGATGCTTTCAACTACAAGGAAGAGCCAGACTTGGATGCAGCTTTGAAATGGTTAATAACAAAATTTGCTGAACTGAAATCTATATATGGAGTCTCAGTCAGAAATTTAGAAAGAAATCAAGAAGGTCTGATGATCAAATCTATGGTTTTAAAGCCTTAATGAAGGCATCGCTTCTTCCTCTTTAGCCTTAAAATTCGTAGTTATTAGGATACAGACTATATACTTTTTTTTGTCCTTAATGATCAAGTTATTTAGTGTTAAAATATGGTTTCAATGCTATGTGGCAGGTAGTTCCCTGAAGGCCTAGACATATATTTTGAAAATGTTAGGAAAGATGCTGGATGCAGTTCTACCAAACATGAGGGTCCATGGAAGAATTTCAGTTTGTGGAATGATCTCACAATACAACCTTGAGCAGCCAGAAGGTGTGCACAACTTGATGCATCTCGTTTCAAAACGAATTCGAATGGAAGAATTCCTAGTTCTTGATTACTTTCACATGCATTCCAAATATCTGGAAATGGTTTTGCCTGTCATCCAAGAAGAAAAAATTGTGTATGTAGAAGATAGAGCAGAAGGGCTTGAGAGTGGCCTAGCAGCTCTAATAGGGCTCTTCACAGGCCACAACATTGGGAAACAGGTGGTTGCTGTTGCTCAAGAATGACTTAACTCAAATCTTGTACCTGGAAATCAAATTAGGATGTCTAATTGTCATGCTGAGCATATATAAATACTGAGGTGTAAAAGTAACTCTACTGTACATTTTCATGATTAATAAAATTTAAGCGCTTGAACATCTTGGTAATTGTTTCAACTTTCAATTACATGAATCCAATAAAAAAGAAATCTCCAGGTTGGATCTTCAGGGTTTTATAAGGATCCATTACATAAGAAGATGGAGATGCAGGAAGAAGGAACACTGAAAAAACTACTCTTTCTTAAAGCATATTGTTTTTCTCTCTCCTATAACTTGATCTGAAACCAAGACCATGAAGAACCAATATGCCCATTTCCTCCAGTCACACTCAAAATTACGAAATACTCAAATTATGTGCGGAAGAGGTTGATCGACTGCTTGAATCCACGGAAAGATGCTGCCAATCGCGCGCTCTCTGTCCGTCTTCTTTGCCGCTGCAATTTCTATTTCGATAATTAGGGATTTATTCTTCAATTATCCAACTACTATTACATATTTCTTTTTCATTTCAAAATTATTTAATTACTTTCTTTTTTCACTTTTGACACGTATCCTACACGCGCATTTTCCAGACACAAGCTAGGTTTATTTATCTGGCCAATGTTATGCGAGTTGGTGTGGAAAATGTCACAAGCTGGGTTTTGTTTTCTTCCTTTATTTGTAAGTTAGGGGCTAAAGTGGCCATTATTTCTTCCTTCCTCTGTGTTCATAGATAGAGATTGATGCAACAATGGAGAGTGATCATGGTGAAGTAGTGAGCAATAAGCAAGTGATATTGAAGAACTACGTGCCTGGTTTCCTTCAAGAATCAGATTTCTATATCAGAACTGATTCTGTAAAACTCAAGGTCCCATCTGGTACAAATGGTGTTCTTGTCAAGAATCTCTACCTGTCTTGCGATCCCTACATGAGAATCCGAATGCGAAACCTCCACGACTCATATTTCCCACCCTTCAAGCTTGGTTCGGTTAGTTAAACTCCTACACATTTCCGTTTCTTCTCTTTATCTCTTTTAATTGTTTGCTGTTTCCTTTTTGGAGAGTTTAATTTCTTAAAATTTCAAAGATTTATCAGAATTTTGGTTTTTTTTTATTATTCTGAAGTAATTTTATAGCTCTTTAGAAGTATTACCTTATCAGTATACAGTGATAGTAGTTCCATAACCCAATAGGTAGTAGCTTAATTCAATTCATAGAGTAACTGGGTTTGTTTGCAATCTCTATTTAAAAGTTAAACTTTTTTTTTTTTTTTTTTTTTTTTTTTTTTTTTTTTTTGTTTTCTTCTCTTTATTTGTAAGTTTAGAAGGGCTATAAGTATGGCCATTATTTCTTCCTTCCTCTGTGTTTCATGGATTAGAGATTTGAATGCATACAAAGTGGGAGAAGTGATCCATGGTGTAAGTATAGTAGACAAATAAGACAAGTGGATATTGAAGAAACTATCGTGCCTGGTGTTCCTCTTCAAAAAGAATCAGATTTCTATATCAGACTGATTCTGTAAACTCAGGTCCATTCTGGTACACATAATGGTGTTGCTTGTCAAAGTAAATCTCTACCTGTACTTGTCGATCCCTACATGAGAATCGAATGCAGAAAACCTCCAACGACTGCATGATTTCCTCTCTCACACCCTTCAATGCTTGGGTTCGGTTAGTTAAGATCTCTATCAACACATTTCCGTTTCTTCTCTGTTATCTCTCTTTAATTTGTTTGCTGGTTTCCTTTTTTTGGAGGAGTTTAATTTTCTTAAAATTTCAAAGATTTTAATCAGAATTTTGGTTTTTTTTTAAATTATTCTGAAGTAATGTTTATAGCTCTTTAAGTATTGAAACTTATCAGTAATACGAGTGATAGTAGTTCCATAACCCAATAGGTAGTAAGGCTTAATTCAATTCATAGAGTAACTGGGTTTGGTTTGCATCTTCTAATTTAAAAGGTTAAAACTTTTTTTTTTTTTTTTTTTTTTTTTTTTTTTTTTTTTTTTTTTTAAAGGTTAGGTTTTTTATTGCAAGTCTTTTACTGTTTGTCTTTTTTATAAAAAATGGAACCAAAGGAATTTGGATTTTTGATGTTTTGCAATTATGGCGCTTTCTGGGTGGGTGTAGTTGTGGATTCGTCATCCAGACTTCAAAGAATGGTGTTTAGTGTAGGCATGAACTGGAGTGGTGAGGATAGTCTTATAACAGCAAACTGAGATGCTTTCTAAAATTCATGAGAAAGATGTGCCCTAATTATTATATCTTTGGAAATTCTTGGTAACATTGTTCTTCCTTCCCTCACTCCTCTTCTTTTTTTAATTATGCAACTCAATTTTATGAAGCTAATTATTTTTTTTTTTTTTTTTTTTTTTTTTTTTTTTTTTTTTTAAGGTTTAGGTTTTTTATTGCAAGAACTCTTTTACTGTATTTCTTATCCAATAAAAAAATGGAACCAAAGGAATTGAGATTTTGAGATGTTTGAAACAATATATGCAGCCTATTACTGGGCGTGGGGTGGCTAAAGTTGTGGATTCAAGTCATCCAGACTTCAAGAATGGTGATTTAGTGTTAGGCATGACTGGGTGGGAAGAGTACAGTCTTATAACAGCAACTGAGATGCTTTCTAAAATTCATGAGAAAGATGTGCCTCTTTCTTATTATCTTGGAATTCTTGGTAACATGTTGCTTCCTTCCCACTCACCTCCTCTTCTCTTTTATTATGCACTCAATTTATGAACCTAATTAGATCACTGTTGTTGGTCATGGTTGAAGCTAATTTAATTGATTTTTATACATTTAGGTATGCCTGGTTTGACTGCTTATGCCGGTTTTTATGAGATATGCTCTCCTAAGAAGGGGGAGTTTGTCTTTGTTTCAACAGCTTCTGGTGCAGTTGGTCAGCTTGTCGGGCAATTTGCAAAATTGACAGGTTGTTATGTTGTTGGCAGTGCTGGAAGCAAAGACAAGGTGAGCATCCTTCGTGAATGTTCATTTTATTTAATCCATAATTTGTCCCTAGTATCACTTGCTGAATTCCGATACTTGTTCTCTTACTGAATTTGAATATTTGTCATTGTCCAATGCAAAGACCTTTTGGTCTCTGTTCCCTTCTCTATCCAGCGTATTGTGTCCAATCTACAATGTGTTTGGGGCAGCCTCTACTGGCATTGTTGTTTAGTTTCTCAAATTCACCATCAACCATAAAACTAAATAATTTGTATGCTTTGTAGCATTTTATGATGCTTTTAAAAGTAATTGAAATGAATGGGATTACAAATTGCATTTCTAGTTATTGGGAAATAGTGCAATGACACATCTTCAGCGATGGTGCTTTCTGAGTTGTGAAGTGGGTGAAAAGGACTATCATATTTGGGGTAGAAGCCAGTTGAAAGTTACTACATAGTGAATAGGAAAATGGGGGATAATGCACCATATATCAAAGTGGCGTGGCGTTTCACAGTGCGAGGTTGAATGATCATTCTTCTTTTCCCAGAATTAAACTTGCAATCCCATAAATAGCCTCTACAAGAACTTCTCTAGCAACTTCCTAGGAGTTAAGCTATTGAGTAGTACAAAACTGATTACATTTCAATCATTTTTGAGAAAGATTAAAGATTATGTAACTCACAGAAATAACAATTTTTTTTGTTAAAAGCTCACAAACACATTCATTGACATGCCAGTAAACCAGATTTGATTCCCTTTGTTTTTGTTCTTTTTGTCTCTTTATGAATGTCTGTCATGCATATAAATTTCTGTCATACATGGATATGGAGAATCAGATGATTCCACAGTCTGAAGTTCTTCGAGGATTATAGATTTGATTCCACAGGATGATTCCAAAATCAGATGAAATTTTGGATGCAGTCTTGTTAGCCAAGGTAATGCATATTTTACTTTTTATTAAGCTGAAACTGGAAGTGAAACAATAGCACATACTTACGTTTAGAGACGGGTGGAGGGTGGATAGTGGGTGACTGGGTGCTTTCTTATAATCAAATTCTGATTTCTGTTAATTGATGATATGTGATTTGGATACTGTTTTAATTTCATCCTGTGCACAAACTCACAAATTGAATAAATTATTGAACTAGTACGGGTATAAGAGATAAATGTAAAGGTAAAATACATCTGAGGTATCTTTAAATTATACTTTCACTCCTGTAGGTTGAGAAAGTATGCAGAAACTACGGATATTATAAATTAAAGTTTATTATATTACTGTGGTTATCTTTTTTTTTTTTCCCATTTATTATTTAACATAAATAGTAGCTTGTAGATTTGCATACTGTATTATTTGTCATCCATGTGCTATAATGCAAGCTTAAGGTTGAAATCCTAGTTAGGTTTTATTGGTTCAGGACGTTTATTTTTTATGCCTTATACGAGTTTAGCAATTTTCACTTCATATGCACAGGAAAAATTTATACAAAATAGAAAGTTTGTATCATAAATTAATAAAGTTTAAATGGAGGATAAACTTTCAGTAAAGGGTGCTGGGATTATTTTTTTTTATTTTTTTTTTCCTTTTAGACCTTTTTTATGCATAACAAAATACATCCTAAAGTTAGCATGGAATTGTAATTCCTAGAAGCAGGTAAAATTGCAAGTTCTGAAGGATGTATCCTATCTTGCACAATGCTTATTCATGGATAAGCCATCAGGGCGTATGATGGACTGTCAAATTAAACAAGCTGCGTCATTAACTAGGTTATTGTTTTTGTTTATGTGAATTCAAGGTTGAGCTATTGAAGAATAAATTTGGGTTTGATGATGCTTTTAACTACAAGGAAGAGCCAGACTTGGAGGCAGCTTTGAAAAGGTTAGCAACAAAATTTGCCAAACTGAAATCTGTGTATCGAGTCTCTGTCAAATAACTTAGAAAGAATGAATCAAGAAGTTCAAATGATCAAATTTACGATTTTTAAGCCTTAGTGAATGCATTTCATGTTCCTTTTCAGCCTTAAAATTCCAAGTTCAAGAGATTCATGAGTTTATTTCTCTCCTAGTTGTTCATGGTTTACCAGTGCATTTAACAATGGCAAGCAACTGCCTAATCAGTTAGGATTACAAGCTACTCTTTTTTTCTTGTCCTTTAATAACCATTTATTTACTGTTAAAAAATGGTTCCAATGCTACGTGGCAGGTACTTCCCTGAAGGTATAGACATTTATTTTGAAAATGTTGGAGGAAAGATGCTTGATGCAGTTCTACCAAACATGAGTATCCGTGGACGAATTTCGGTGTGTGGTATGATCTCACAATACAACCTTGAGCAGCCAGAAGGCGTGCACAACTTGATGCATCTTGTTTCCAAACGAATTCGCATGGAAGGATTCATGGTTCGTGATTACTTTCATCTGCACTCGCAATATCTGGAAATGGTTTTGCCTCTCATCAAAGAAGGAAAAATTGTTTATGTAGAAGATACAGCAGAAGGGCTTGAGAGTGGCCCAGCAGCTCTAATAGGGCTCTTCACAGGCCGCAACATTGGGAAACAGGTGGTTGCTGTTACTGAGGAATAACTTAACCTTATGTGCAGCATCTATTATGTAACTTGGATTTTATCTGCACCTAGTTAACCAGCTTATTGTGCAGTTGAACTGCTTGATTGTGGATATTGCAAGAAGAATAAAAAGTGGTCAGCTGTATATTTCTAGTTAGCAAGACTCACATAAAACTACTTGAAATCTGGTACCAGAAAGTGTCAAGGAACTGAAAATTATTGAAAGAAAGATCAAGAGAAAACAGAGTTTTAAGATCGAAAATCCAACTTGGGACTAAAAATTCTGAAAAATAATTGTACGACAAATCGAGAATGGCAAGTGAAGAAAAATTGATATGGACTAGTGGAGAGAAATGACTAAATTGACACCTTTACAAGCTCAAGAACATGGCCAGCAGAATTGTTGCAAATAACTCTGGACCAACTGCAACAGTTTCATTGTCAATTTTCCAAGAAGCTAACTGGTTTGCAGGATCAGCAAGATTATGCTTCAGTTTCAAAAGAGCTTCTCTTTCGCTCTTAATACAAACTGAATTGCAGAATCCAAGATTAATGGTTGATGTAATGAGAAACCAAAGAATTAGACTCTTTTTTGACATTTTCTCTCCCTTTTTATAACTTGAAATTTCTATATTTGGCTCCATAGCTTAACCTTGTAAATGGATTGCAATTTATGATTGAAAAAAAATTACTAGACCTTGCGGATACCCAAACGTGCACGACATTGTGCTTTCTTGTCGTAGAAAACAGAGTTGCTGTTTCATTTAGGTCCATAGAAAATCGGCATATACCCAGGAAAATGGAACGCAAGGAAATAATATACAGTTGACATGAAAGCAACTAATTTATGAATTTCCCTGCACGTCGCCTGACTATTAATTTAGACTGAATACCAAGTTTTTGACTCTTGTTTACAGGAAAAAAAAAAAGGCTATTCCTTTTTAACTTGCATGAGAATAATCTTAAATTTATTGGCAAATGACTTGGAATTTCTGAAGCAAATTTATCCTTGAGCAACTATTACCACTTGCTTTCCCACATTTTTGCCACTAAAAATTCCCACCAGAGCTGCTGGACAGCTCTCAAGGCCTTCAACTAGGTCTTCTACATACACCATCTTCCTTTCTCTTATGTAAGGCAACATTATGTCTAAGAACTTGGGAAAGAAATGGTAATGATCAGTGACAACAAATCCTACCAAGTGAAGCCTTTTATAAATAATGCACATTAGGTTTTTTATGCCTTGAGGTTGATCAAGAGTGTACTGTGAAATCATTCCACACTGAGCAATGCGGCCATGGATCCTCATGTTCAGTAGTACTGCATCGAGCATATTTCCTCCAACATTCTCGAAACATATGTCAATGCCTTCAGGAAAGTACCTAGAAAACAATCCAATACAGCAGCAAAAATGACATATTATGAACAATCTTAGCTAGTATATATGGGATCCAGTTTTAATGATCTAACCTTTTCAAAGCTTGGTCGAAGTTCTTTTCTTCTTTGTAGTTGAAAGCCTCATCAAACCCAAGTTTGTTCTTCAATACATCAACCTTGAATGGGAAAATATATGAGAAAAAGAACTTAGATCTCTTGTTGAAATTGTATCCATGCAGGTAAATTTAAAAGTTGGGAAGCCATTAGACTTTTTTCTTGTAAAGTTCAAATGATAATTTATGTGTTACAGTCAATATTCAATACCTTTTCTTTACTTCCTGCACTACCCACCACATAACAACCCATCAATTTTGCAAGTTGTCCGACAACCTGGCCTGTAGCACCAAATGCTGAGGAAATGAAAACCCTTTCTCCTTTCTTTGGAGAACAAAGCTCATTAAACCCAACATAAGCTGTCAAACCTGGCATCCCTATATTATATATGAAATAAAAGGAAAAGAAAGAAAAAAAATCCAACAAAGTAAATTTTATTCAAACAATTCTACAATGATACTCAAAAATAAAAATTGATAAAAATAATTGAGAGAAAGATGTATACCAAGGATTCCCAAATAGTAGGAAAGGGGTACATCTGTATGATGAATTTTAAAGAGAGTTTCAGGTTCTGTAATGAGACAGAACTCTTCCCATCCTGTCGTTCCCCAAACTAGGTCATCTTTCTTGAAATCTGGATTTCCAGAATCCATTACTCTACCTACTCCATAACTTGTCATCACCTGCAATTTTCACTAATTATAGTTACTTTAATTGTTAATCCAATTAATTAAAGAGATAATTAATTACTTACAGAACCAGGAGGGTAGGAAGAGAAGTAATCAGGATTGTCAATTCTTGTGGATCGAATATACTGGTAAGGATCTATTGATAAGTAAAGGATTTTGACAAGAACTGCATTAGATCCTTCTGGAATCTTCAGCTTTATGGGATCATTTGTTATGAACATGTCTGATTCTTTGGGGAAGCCATGAATGAAGTCTTTGAGTTTCACCCTCTTGTTGTTGACCTCTTCTCCTACATCTACATCTCCGGTCTCCATTGTTTGCTCTGATCTTTAGAAAGATTAAAACTCAGTTTCTTTCCTTTTGTTTCTCATAATTTTTTTTCCACTGTTATATCGTATCGCTATCATTGTCACTGTCACTGATGATAAGATTATTTTTGTCCATTATGCTTTAATAATTGAAATTGATTCACAACCATAACATTGAATAATGATGTATTTGCTTTATTAAAAAGTTCATACAAAAACAGAACCATTTGGATGTACCGAATTAAATGAGTTCGTTGGATCCAATTTTCTGTCAGACTTGAAAATTACTCACTGGAGTATTGAAAATTCAAACGGTGCAACCCGATTTACATTTTGACCAGTACCATCTACAATGAAAAAGCTAACAAAAAGGTTTATCTGTATTATAAAATAGTTAACAAATAAAAATTGTTACGCAAGTTAGTTTTAAACAGTCCTATACCCTAAATCCTATTTCCAAAACTTTAAAATTTTGCTCTGTAAATTTCGAAAATTTTCCTTTAATTCAACATAAACTAATAAAGTATTTAACCCATAAATCTTTATTTTTTTTATTTACTAAAAATTCTAATGGGTAAAAATAGCATTGGACTGCACAACATAGATATGTAGCTCTCCCCTAATCTACAAATTAGTAAAAATATTTATAGTTTAGAGGACTGAAATCCAAGATCTCCCCATTTTACAATCTCATCAAAAGAAAACTAACCAGACTCCAATTGATCTGCCACAAGTTTTTATTTTCATAATCAAAGAAAATTATAATAAACTTACAAGTGACAACCCCTTGTCTTAGGTATGAGAGTCACCAAAAACAAGCAGAGATTAATAAACTTTCGAACTAAGAAAAACTAATTTTCGCAAAATCAATCACTAGCAACAACAACTACTCCTTTTCCAGTACTTTGGCCAGTAAAAAGCCTTTCTAAGGCTTCAGGTCCACTCTCAATGCCTTGGTTAACTTCTTCCATGTGTACTATTTTTCCTTCTCTTACATAAGGCACCACATGATCCAAGAACTTGGAATATAAGTGATTATAATCATAAACTAAAAATCCTTCCATCCGAATTCTCTTATATACGATCTGCATCAAATTGGTTACACCTTCAGGATGTTCAAGATCATACTGAGAGATCATTCCACACGCAGCGATTCTGCCATGAACTCTCATGTTTAGTAGCACTGCGTCGAGCATTTTGCCTCCCACATTCTCAAAATATATGTCAATACCATTTGGAAAGTACCTGTAATGAGAATACCGAATATCAATTTCAATAGCTACCTTATTATATTTATTTATTTTCTAATATGGAAATTAATTAACCTTTTCAGAGCTGCATCGAAGTCCTTCTCTTCCTTGTAATTGAAAGCTTCATCAAATCCTAACTTGTCCTTTAGAATATCAACCTGTTTTGAGGCCAGAAAATTCAAGAATCAGCGGTACACAACCATCCCATCATATAATTATTCTATATTTGGTATATGAAAATTTGGATTCAAGATGCTCAATTATATATAAATCAATAAGATTATATCTGATGATTCGCATTTAATTACTTTAGTTTCGAAATTATGTTGAAAATATAATACCTTTTCCTTGCTTCCAGCACTGCCAACAACATAACAGCCCATTAGCTTGGCTAATTGCCCTACAATCTGACCAATAGCACCATATGCTGATGATATGAACACATGTTCTCCTTTCTTAGGAGCACATATTTCATAGAACCCAACATAAGCAGTGTGGCCAGGCATCCCTTCATTTGATATTTTTTTTAAAAAAAAAATCAAAATGTTAGTAATAATATATTTTATGCATAATTAAATCTTGACACTCATTTTCTTATTTATATCTCAAGTATTATTTGTTAAGATTCGGGAAATACCAAAAATATAAAGGATGGAATGCTAACTCGCGAATTGATTTGCACTAATTTTTTAGCGTTAGTTGGTAATCTCTTACCCATTCATTCATCTCTATCCTTTTCAATTTGCAATGTTATTATTAAATTTTTTTACGTGTATCCATTCGGTTCTAGTAAGAATTTCCCAGAAAGAAACACTTACCAAGAAGTCCAGTATAATAAGAAAGAGGCACATCAGTGTGTTGGATCTTTACAAGGGCATCAAGGTCTGTTAAGAGACTATACTCTTCCCATTTTGTTGGGCCCCAGACCAAGTCTCCTTCCTTGAAATCTTCAGTGCCTGAATCCACAACTTTTGCTACTCCATATCCAACTACTGGCTGTTTGTTACATAATCACCATGGAAAGATATAATACAAAACACTGATGACTAATCTGGGTAATGAAGCCAAACTTAAGATGACTGAAAATCAAGAATCAAATTATCTATATATATATATATATATATATACTTACAGATTGGGTAGCAAAGGAGTAGAAAAGGCGATCATGCTTCTTTTCCTTGACACCGCGCATGTAAGGATCGCAAGACAAGTAGAGATTCTTAACAAGAACAGCTTTTGTTCCTTTTGGAACTTTGAGCGATATGGTGGTTGTTGTAATGTACATATCAGATGCTTTTGGCAACCCATATATTTCTTCTCTGCAAATCACCTGCTTGTTGCTTATCACTTCCTCACTTGACATTTTGTTAGTGTTTTTGGATATATTATCATATCCAGAGCATATGTCTCTTTTATACTAGTTGAAGATGATGTCTACATCTATTTGATTGCCATATGTTTATGTTCAAATGGTTACACCTAAAAAAAAAACAAGTATCAGCTATAATAAAAAATTCTGGCGGCTTTTGGCTTGCCCATATATTTTCACTTCTCTGACCAAACTCTACCTGGTTGTTGTGCTTTATCTCAACTTTCCTCATCTCTGACACTTTTTGTTAGTGTCTTTTGGATATATTATCATATCTTCTCATGAGCATATGTCTCTTTTATTTATCTAGCCTGGAAGCATGATGTCTCACATCTACTTTGTGTTTTTGGATATATTATCATATCCAGAGCATATGTCTCTTTTATACTAGTTGAAGATGATGTCTACATCTATTTGATTGCCATATGTTTATGTTCAAATGGTTACACCTAAAAAAAAAACAAGTATCAGCTATAATAAAAAATTCTGGCGGCTATCTTGGTTTAGGAGAAGTAACGTGGAAGCACCTGAAGCTTAATAATTATTTTATCAAAAGACGGGGAAAAAAAATCTAGGCGGCTTCTAAGTTTTATTTTCATTTTTTAATAACTCCAAATATTTTATTAAAAAGAGAAGAAACCAGTACATGCACACAGATGAAAAAATAGAAAAATTTATATTATATATCTATTCATATATCAAATCATTTAAAAATAATTTTGAAACTCAAATAATAATATTTTTTTGTCGTTTATTAAAAAAAATTTAAAAAATTCCTCTTTTAATTGGAAGGGAGTAGGGCGAATCCACACATAAAAAATAAAAAAACTGACCTCAAGAAAAGGTGCCGAACTATAAAAATAACTGGGTAATCATGATTTAAGGTAAACCTTTTTAGTGCTAATTACCGGTGTTCGCAGCTGTCAAGACAGATGGCTTGGTATGGAAGACCTTGATCATCTTTCAAATTTTAAATTATTTAAATTCTAAATATATAATTTATTGATCAAAGATCATAGGAGCATATCTACGTTGAATATAGACAAGTCTTATTTTGAAATTTTAATATCTTATGTGAATATATGTATATAATAACTTGATGCATAAATTATTTAAATTCTAAATATATAATTTATTGATCAAAGATCATAGGAGCATATCTACGTTGAATATAGACAAGTCTTATTTTGAAATTTTAATATCTTATGTGAATATATGTATATAATAACTTGATGCATTATCTTACTTATGCTTCCAAATAGTAGGTTTTTACTCGATAAAATTTGAGTAATTAAATTAGTTAATTGCAGAAACCTCCATGTAAATCTGTTGAATGATTGTCTACTTGTCAAGGATGCCTGCACCCAATTCAATCATCATTTATTTATTTTTTATTTTTCATCACATAAATTAAATATCAGGTACCTTCATCATTGTCTAAGTATTACTAGCTACTACTTTGTTTTTTCATGGCTAAATAAATTGAAGAGTGCAAATAATATCTTGCCCGAATAATATGACTGATGTCCTGAAACTAATTATTATTAGTATTTCGTATTATTATTATTAGTATTTCGTATTTTCATAACTCCGTGAGTTGCAATTGGGTTAGATTCACCTATGACACCTAAACTACAGGAGTAATCAAATTGTTGTATCCAAATTTTATTTTTTTTAGTAGTGAAAGAGGAAATTCAAATCTGTATTTATTATTAGGTCGTACATGTGTATGTAAGAATCACGAAATAGGTAGAGACTCTTAACAAGAAAAGCTTTTGATCATTTTGAAACTTTGAGCGATTTGGTGGTCGTATATGTATATATGGGAATCCTTTTGGATTAAATTATTGAATTTTTTTTTTTTGGACAAGGCAAATTATTGAAGTTGCTTCATATGTATCTGACAAATTGAGTAAAATTTCTAATTTATTTCTATAAAAATTAGATAAGTATCATCTTTGTTTCATTATACATATTTTCTATCTATTATAAAAAGCAATAATATATATATATATATATTAACAATAAATAAAACACAACTAATTATATATATATATAATTAACAATAAATAAAACACAACTAATAATTGTGTGTTATGTCTCTCATTTTTGATTCGATTAAATATAGATACAATTCAGTTTTCTAGTTTTTTTACAATTTTGAATTTTCACATTAGTTTTTTTTAGTTGAGTTTAATAACATTCGACTATTTATTAGTAACACTCGGTTGGACGGAGCCTTAGAGGGGCTATGTGGTTGTGCCCCCCGGCTCCCCGTGACTAAAATTTTCTTTAAATAGAAATACCCAGCTCAAAATAGATTTGAATTTATTTTTTTTTTTATTTATTGCCCCCCAAATTAGTAAGAATTTTTTGTGTCGGATATTCCCCCTTAATACTTCCTATGAAAATATTGTTTAGACCTGTTAATTTCAATTTCGTGGGGACTCCGAAATCACTGCGCAAATGACATGGCAGAATAATGAAAGAAAAAGAGGAAGAGAAGGCTGAACACTCGCGTAGAATAACATCTTTTAGAAGCAAGCTTAGATATAGGTATATATAAGAACTTTGCGCAAAGAGGAATTAGAACACCAATGTTAAGGAAATCTTATCAGAAAAATAGCAGAAACGCAAGGAGGCTAATATATCTGGAAGAACAGCGAAGGGACAGGAAAACCATTTCATTATATATATAATGAGTAGAATAGAAAAATTCACATAAAGGATTCGATCAACTTCAACGATATTGAAACTACAACCCTATCTCTGTTTTTCGCAACATTTTGATCCGTGATAAAATGCCCTGCAATGAGCTTGCGAAGGGGCTTTCTCCAGGGCCTTCAACACATAGTTCCATCCAGCATGATATGTTCATCTTTCACTTCTTAATAGAAGGCATATAAAGTTCCAAGAACTCTAATGAAGTAGAATAAGAAAATTACACAAGGATTCATCACTCACGATGAACTACAACCACCTGTTTTCCAACATTTTGACCGTGAAAAAGCCCTGCAAGAGCTGCAGGGCCTTTCTCCAGGCCTTCAACAATATCCTCCACATATGTTATCTTTCCTTCTCTAATAGAAGGCAATATAAAGTCCAAGAACTTGGCATATTCCTTAAAGTACTCAATAACTACAAACCCTTCTATACGAACACGCTTATAAACAATAGACATCAAATTATGAACCCCTTCAAGTTCCTCGCGATTGTACTGTGAGATCATTCCGCACGCAGCCACACGGCCATGGACTCTCATGTTCAGAAGCACTGCATCTAACATTTTGCCCCCAACATTTTCGAAATAGATGTCAATGCCTTCAGGGAAGTATCTATATATAGCAATTCAAAAAAATCAGTTGTGAAGTTATAAATATAAATTTTGTATCTAATAGTTGAGAAGCTAATATATAATTTTCTTTAACAGTCAACCTTTTCAAAGCAGCATTCAAGTCATGCTCCTCTTTGTAATTGAAAGCCTCATCAAATCCAAAATTGTTCTTCAATAAATCAACCTAAATTTTACATGTTAAATAAAAGTGAGTAATTTATTTATTTTTAAATTGGGATTATAGAATAAGGATAACAGTGAATAGAATGACCTTTTGTTGAGTTCCAGCACTTCCAACAACATAACAACCCATCAACTTTGCAAATTGTCCGACAAGCTGACCAACTGCACCTGCTGCTGCTGAAATGAAAACATACTCTCCTTTCTTTGGACAACAAACCTCATAAAAGCCTACATAAGCTGTCAATCCAGGCATACCTAAAATAGACATATAAAAAGGAAATTACTGAACAATGAGTGAAAAAGGTTGCCAAAATTTAAATCTCTCTTCTCTTGCCATTTGACGCAGGAAATTGATAGTTGGGCAACTTTCTCTTTTTTGTTTAAATAAATAAATAAATAAAAATTTGAATATTAACGAGACATGCCTCCCCCATATAGCTTACCAAGAATTCCAGTATAGTATGAAAGGGGAACATCAGTGTGCTGAATTCTGAAGAGGGGTATTTCAGGTGTGATAACAATTAGACTATACTCTTCCCATCCGGTCATTCCCCATACTAAATCACCTTCTTTAAACTCTGGGTGCCTTGATTCCAGTACTTTGCCCACTCCAAACCCAGTTAGCGGCTGCAAGATTTCACCAACAACAAAGTTTATATGTGCAAAAGAAGCAACTTGAGCAATCAATCCATAATACGGAAAAAGTTAGACTAAATTTTATTTATATCATAAAAGGATTAACATTTCAGAATTTTATAGTTCAATTGACTTTTACTTACTGCATTCTTGGCAACCAAACAGAAGCCAGATCAGAAAGAGTAGAGAGCTTACAGAGCCAGGTGTGTAGGAAGGGAATATGCTAATATTCTGATTCTCCATCATCTTGATTCGCATGTACGGATCACAGGAGAGATAGAGATTCTTTACAAGAATCCCATTGGAGCCATCCTCACGCACCTTCAGCTTTATACTACCATTTATCACTTGCATGTCTGATTCTTTAGGGAAACTAGTCACGTAGTCTCTGAAAATAACCTGCTTGTTGCTTACTAATTCTCCACCACCAGTCGCCATTGTTAATCTGCTAATATCTAGGCAGGGAAGTTAAACTGAGGCTGTCTCCTTTTTCTTTTCTTTTATTTGGGTATGTCAAGGAAGCTTTCAAAGTAATCTTTTTTTATCCACGAAGATGGGTCTATGAATGCGGTTGGTTTGAGTTCATTGCTTCTTTTGGTCGTGGATAGGCATGGCCGGTTAAGCGAACCTCCAGGTTCCAGTTTACTGAATTACCGGTTCAATTAGTTTAAAATTTTGAACCGGAATCAACTCTTGAACCTTCAGTTCCGATTTGATTTCGGTTTCACATGGGTCCGGTACAGTTCCGATGAACCGACGGTTCAAATTACAGTTCCGATTCGGTTTCGGTTTACGTAAATTTTTAAAAAAATTAATAAAATTAATAAAAATTTGATTCCGAATTCATAAATAAATAATAATTTTAAAACGTTTAAATTTTATTAAATAAATAAATTATTATAAAATTTTAAAAGAAAAACTTCTATTAACCAACTTAGATCTATTATTACATTAAATTTACAAATTTTATTAATTCACTAATATAGAAAATTATAATATTTTTATTTTGGACTTTCATTAAATTAAAATTAAAAAATTTAATTTAGTTGCCTACGTATCCGGGTGGAAATTGGAGGAAATCAAAGCCTATGTAATTTTTTTTTTATTACAATGGAAAATAATCTCCCAATTATTATAATTAAATTTATTTATAGGTGTCACTAGTCGCCGTTAATGAGTTGGAAATCAAAAGTCACATATTATATAATTTGAATTAAATGTAACTCTTTTTTCCTACAATTTAAAGTTTTTTTTTTTTTTTTTTTTACAAATCAATATTTTTTTATTACAGGATGGAAAATAATCTAGCCGATTTATTTTATATTAAATTTATCTTATAGAGTGTCAACTAGGTGCGCCGTTAATGTAGTGGAAATCAAAAGTCACAAGTATTTTATATAATTGAATTAAATGTGAACTCATTTTTTCCTACAATTTATATAAGTTTTTTTTTTTTTTTTTTTTTTACAAATCAACTATTCATGTATCATTTTTTGTTTTAAAATCACAATCATAGTGTTTTTTTTTTTTACAAATCAACTATTCATGTATCATTTTTTGTACAAATTAAATCAAATCATGTGTACTTTTTTCACCACATTTTATAAATTATGTACCATTGTGTATTTCTCTTCACCATAAATCAAATCAAGTGATATAAATCTTTTTCTAAAAATTTTAAACTACAATTTTGTTTGTGCATCCGTTTCGAACTGGATTGGAACCGCCAGTTACTACCGGTTTCGGGTTGATTCAGGTTTATATTTAATATTCACATGAATTTTAACTCATCCTTAAATTACCAGTTTCAATTTAAAATTTTAAACCACCAGTTTCAATCTAATTTCGATTCGTATATAATACGATTCGATTTCGATTCGAACTGAAGCGGTAGCCACGCATAGTTGTGGATGAGAAGATTTTGGATTGATACCTACTCGAGCTACCAGCCACTTGTTATTGCTTTATCGTGTGTTTTTTTCCCCCTCGTATTGTTTTTTTTTTTTTAATTTTCATTTTTTACTTGCTTTCGATCCGTCATTTTTATATATGGCCTGGCCTTTAAAAATAACTTATGCTTGCTGATTGACGGAGATTTCAGTCCACAAAAATAAAAATCTTGAAGAAGTAAGAATCCTTTTCACCTTTTATTTTCTTTTCTTAAAGAACCCTTTTCACATTTATAAGTACATGACCTAATATAACTGATTGAATTATTAATTTAATGCTCCATCAATTTTCCCCTCTTTTTCGATAAATAAATTAAAATGTTTCTAAGATTTTAATTTATATATTTTTTTTGGTATTATCCGGAAATGTAATCCCCTCGGCTCATAGAGTGTAAAGGTTTTTAGAATAAGATTACTCACTTCAGACAGCTATAGAGGTTGCGGATAACTGATAATAAATGAACAATAAGTGTTTAGTAAAAGATGTACCAAACTGTCACGACCCGATTCCATGGGCCGGACCGGCACTAGGGCCCAGGTAAGCTTAAGGCTCCCGAGGCCCGTAGTAAGCCTGAAACACTAAAATCCAATGGGCCGGACCGGCACTAGGGCCCAGGTAAGTTAAGGCTCCCAGAGCCATATCGTAGTAGAGCCTGAAAACACTATAATAATTTGGCTTAATCTCAATATAAAGTTTTGCAGATATTCAGACCCATATTACTAAAAAAAGTAAATCCTCAGAGATTTATTTCATCTTAGCCCAAATTTATCTTCTACAAAATTCCCACAGTCGGGCCCTGAATTTAGCAAATTTACATCACGTTTGCTAGAGTATAGGCATCGACAAGAAAATCATTTCGTCTAATAGTGATATATTTCCCACGACTAAGTGTAAGATTAAATTTTTAGCAATCTTAGCGGAAGTCATGAACTTATTTGGGAATATACATAAGCATTTTTTATAGCACATATAAATACATAGATAAATAATTTATATGAACTAGGTGAAATATATATTCTTTATAGCCCTGGCGGTGAAGAAACTTAGCTGAATTGAATAAATTACGATTAAATTTAAAAGAGTTAATTTTTATTTCCTTTGAAAAATTTAAACAGAACATGTGTGTTTTTTAAGGGAATAATAATTATGTTCGCATACCCATCACACGGCTAGTCACGCATATGGATGTTATAACAAATATTCAATCTGTCATCCGGTACTAGTTATGATGCTCACCGGCAAAGATTACCTAGATCACATCAAATTGAACACTATCACCATGCACTCACAATCCATTAACATTCTTCTATAATTCACACACGGTGGATAAATTAGTACTCTAGTTAGGCGCCACCTGAAACCCCAAGAGCCGTCACTTCACACGATTTGTGCTCGCCCTCTTGATACATGTGCCACCTCATGGGAGACCGATCACCCCATACGGCCAACTGGTGTCAGTAATCCGTTACTTGACCGGAAGTCCTCTTCAATTGTTTTTTTTTTTTTTTTTTTTTTTCCACTCTCTCGTTTTCTTTCCATATCGACAGGAGGCAACCCGTTGGTTCTCCATCCAATCTAGATCATGCAAGTGCTCTCACAATCAGGAAGGCACCTCTGCTGGGTTACAATCAAATCTAGATATATCCAATGTGCTACGCTTGAAACAACAAGAAGCCGATCCTGTAGATATCCCCATATAATTTCTATTATTTCTATCAGGTGCACAAGGGTGGCGCCGATTTCCCATTTCATCCGGAGCCGACAGAAGTCAAAAGTATTCATATCTTATTCAGGATCCAACATCACAAGGACCGTCGAACTCAACAACCCATTGGTGGTCCACTTCATCCCCAATTTCACACAGATAACAAAGAATAAGCATCAAAAATCACAACACAAATTAATGCAAACAATATAGTCAATTAAGGTGCAGAACATATGAATCAGATTGGAAGACAACGTAATGCAAAATGCACAAACTAGACACCATTCAAGTGCGAATTTAAGATAAATAAATAAAATAAAATTTAATATTTAAGAAAATAAACCAAACAATTAATAGTAATATTATATAAATAATGGAATTAAATATAATAATTGAAATTTAAATTCGATAGAATAATAATTGGAAAATAATTATAAAAATATAATGTAGTAGCAACTCGTATTTAAATATTAATGAAAGTCATAGAATTAATCTAATAGACTTAGTTAATTTTATTCATTACTTAAACTAGTCTAAGTTCTAATCGAAATTAACAAGATTTAATTTGGGTAAATGCAATTTCCCCTTTAAGAAATACTGTTGACTACCCGCTCACACCTGTTTTAAAATATCAAAATATTTCATATCATATTAAGTTTAAACTTTTGATCCACACAGTCCCATCCGCCATCGAGTCAATTCAATTCAAATCAATTCATACCCATCCAGCCTTCAAATTAATATATCATCCATTCAACCAAAATTTACATAATTTAAAAAAGTACCATTCAAAACTTATTCGTAGGAATATTATCAATAATATCATTTGCTTAAGGTTATAAACAATATCATTAAAACATTTATTAAAGTTCGTAAGACATAACTATTATGAACTTAATTATTTACAATTAAATGTACAATTTAATAATTTTCTTATTTGATTTAACTCAAACTCGGAAACTTAACATATAACTTAAAGCTTCATAAAATCTCCGTCTTAACAATAAAAAATACTCACTTCTTATGAGTGATTCGCCTAAAGAGTTTTACAATTAGAAAAACGTGTAAGAAATTTGCAAGGAATATTGGCTAATCAGAAGCAGAAACACAAGACTAAACCATACATATAAAGAGATATTTTGAAACAACATAAGAGTATTGAAAATATAAATATATTTACATACATCTGTTTCCATACCAATTATTTAAAATGGTACGAAGTACCTGAAATAGCTACTGCGCCTAAGAAAAATATATTTTTGCTTAAACTTGAGCTCATATCGCATTAAGAACTTGGTTTATGACTTCGCATATTCATCCCAAACACTATAATTCAAGAAATCAACTATATAATTACTGCTAGCTCAAGGATTTCAAGATTTCCTATTTAGTACCCATAATATATCCCACGGTTTTGCACATTTTTTTTTTTTATTTATAAAAATTCAGTTTATAACTCATTCAAATTGGAAACAATTCAATTCCTCCTACCTAGGATATCGAGAACTTGACCATATAGCTAACTAGTTGTTTTTAAGCTAAAGAATGCTTATTTCTTCACAAGGATTTATAATAAACGCAATAATCATAGATTCGTTCTTTATATATAGCTTAAAGATTAATGCTTAATGATATCACTAGGATTTATAAACGCTTTTATTAATACTAACCATCCACAAATATAGATAATAAACGCAATAAATCTAACCATCCCAATAATAGGATATTCATTTATTATATACCGATTTCAAGAAGCTCAAAAATTCATAAATTTTCCTGATTAACCATGTCGCTCTAAACATGTTAGCTAGAATTTTATGAATTCCTGCAAATTATCATAACAAGAGTACTAGCTAAGAATAATGTTAAGCTGTCATTAATTCATGCATAGGTTATATTTTTCTCATTACTTAACATAAAATATCCGCTTGTATCTCATGCTTAAACTTATTCCATTAACATTAGCTAATTATTGATATAATCTCTTAACTTTAGAGAGAATCAAATTTTCCATAACAAAAAAATGGTATGGACACAGTAGAGAAGCTAGGGATATAGATTTAATTTGTTAATAGGTTTTTATTCATCACGATTCAAAACTCCATCTATTATCTATGATCAAGTGGAATTCTTAAATTTAAAGTAGGAGTTTGAAAGGTGGGATTGACTTCGACTCAGCGTGGAAAAATGCAAAAATCTTTCAGAACCAACATGAAGGTGAAAGGCAGGTTACGCGACATAGTCTCGAGTTTGAAATTGGAATCGCGAACTACGCTCTTTGTGGATTTCCATGCTTCGCTCAGAACGGAGAGACGAAGAAGGAGAGGGAGAAGCTCGCTGTCGATGAAGGGGAGGACTGGAACCGTTCGGTGGTGACAAGGTCGCCGGAAAATCAGTGGAGTTGCAATGCAACTTCCCGATCGAATGAATCGCAGGCTTCCTGCGACAGCCGCGCTATCCAGAGACAACAGAGGTGAGGGAGAGAAAGAGCGGCACGGGGAACGGCGGCGGGAGGCGATGGGAACGGCGCTGGCTTCAGGTGACCCGAAAAAGCGAAAGGAAAGCGAGAGGGTGGAGGTCGACGCCGCTGGAAGAAGAAGAAAAGAAAAAGAAAAGAAAAAAAAGAAAAGAAAAAAGCATGATTAGGGTGACGAGCGTCGACGCCGCTAGGAAGAAGAAGAAAAAAAAAAAAAGAAAAGGAAAAGAAAAGAAAGAGCTAATTCTTATAAAGCTTCGTAGACCATTCCGGTTCGATTCGGAAGCCGGTTTGTATTCTAAATTCGTATGATTTGGCTCAATTGTTATGGTCTTTATCGGAGTTTTCGCTTGTGATTTTCGAAAAATCGAATGGTATTTACGGGTATCCAGTTTAAGACAATAATAAAATACTAGCTGGGGTCTTAATCCTCATTGAGTTTTGGAAATAAAGATTTTTAGTGTTGTATAATCTCATTGGTTGAAATAAAAAATTTAGTTTTTAAATGAAAATTCTACGAAATTAAATTTTCGGGTCGTTTCACAAACTATTGCTCTTAATATGTAAAATGACAAATAAGAACATATTGTTAAATAAATTTAAATTTACACATAAACTATTTCTAATGAATTAAATAAATGAAAAAATAAAAAAATATTAAATTATTAATCTTAATTAATAAAATATATGAGAATGTTAATAAAACCTATTTAATTATTATCTTCTTTTTGACATTAAATTATGAGCAATTTGGCTACGTAAAATATTAATATGAACTGCTTCAATTTTTGGTTGAGTTTCTTCTAGCTGAATGTCATTTGTATTACTAAATATTAAATGGCATAAAATTAAGATCTTAATCTAATCGAACTAATGCTGGATTTGCCAATACTTTTCTCCGAACATAATTATCGGTTGTTATATATGTAATTACAATACCTTTATGTATATGAAATGAGTATGTAGGCGCTAGTCATAATATCTTTCGTCTTACTTTATAACCTTTAAAAGTTCTTTCAACGCAATTGATGTGTTATTTTTATAATATTTTTAATATAGTTTTTATTAAGATTTTTAATATTTTTAATTACTTTAATTAGTTTTTATTTAATTTTATTTATGTTTTTGTAATATTTTATTTAATTTACATTTAAGTTAGTTTGTGTATTTTAATTTTATTTAATGTTTGTGTAGTTCAAAATTTTCCGGTTTGGATTTAATTTTATTTATGTTTTTGTTCAAAATTTCCTTGAATCATATTTCACTTGATATCGAGGAATTTTGTAGGATTTTTTATAGAAAACTAGCCAAAAATGCAGAAAAACTTCCATCAAACTTCAGAGCAAACTGACGAGTTATTGTTGCACTTTCTCTTTGATCAAGAATGGAATATGACTTTTGGTTTTCTCTCACAGCAATGGTATAGTTAACATAGGTTAATTTAGTCTTTTCCAGGAAAAATTAGGGTATTTCCATCTTTTTAAATGGAGTTAATGGAAAAATGAAAGAAATTGGATGGAAAGACCAATTAATTCAGCGGTGGTAAACCTTAGAACTAATAATTAATATTATCAAAATACAAAGATGATTTAGTTAATTTGATTAAATGTGGAACTAAATAATAATTTTCTCTAATTTATATAACTAATGTGGGTGGTATACTATTGAGCCATAAATAAACAAAATTTTCATTTTTATGCTTCAAAAATCATAGCTCTCGCCTTAAACAGAGGAATCAAAGGCTAAAATGAAATAGCAGTACCATGGACTGACATTTTTGAGGTTTGCATGAACCACTCTGTTTTGAACTTCTCTCTTCTTTTGTTTTTAATTCTCACCCTCTCTCTTACTTTCCCAAGATAATAATTGTTAAAATAAGATGTTTGCTAAATACAATTATATAATTAATTACTTCAGCTTAAGCAATGTGATAACCAGAAATGGGTTTTATTATTACTCAAAAATCTGAAATCTGCTTCTGAACAGAAAATTACAGCCCTTTGTATGGCACACGTCTGAAATCTGCTTCTGAACAGAAAATTACAGCCCTTTGTATGGCACACGTCAAGCCAGAATAAGGTTTAATACATAAAATCTTCTCTTTTTTTATTTTTCTTTTTCTTTTTTTCAGTACAGACATACTTAAATAACACACAAATATGAAATTGCCAGAGTACAATAGAACTTTATTCCTGCATTAACAGATAATCCAAAAAGTAGGCAAAATCACTCATGAGCAAGTGCTACAACCTGTTTTCCAACGTTCCGGCCGCTGAAAAGGCCCAGCAGTGCAGAAGGACCATTCTCAATGCCTTCAGCTATGTCCTCCACATAAGTAATCTTCCAATAAGTAATTCTTGCCTACTCTCTAATGTGAGGCAGAACAAACGTCCAAGAACTTAGAATACTGGCTTGGAAGTATCACACATTAAAATCCTTGTATGTCGAACTCGTTTTATAAAAATCCTTGTATTCGAACTCGTTTATAAACAATTGTCATCAAATTGTGCACTCCTTCTGGGTGCTCCAGATTGTACTGAGAAATCATTCCGCAGGCAGCGACTCGGCCATGGGTCCTCAAGTTCAGAAGAACTGCATCAAGCATTTTTCCTCCAACATTCTCAAAGTAAATGTCAATGCCTTCAGGAAAATATCTGGAGAATGGAATTTAATGAGTTCTATTACATATTAGATGGCTCTGAGAAATTTTGTACGGAGATTACATTAGTCTCACCAATATGTGGTAAGAAGTTTTCTCATGGTTGTGGTCACACAATTTCAGTTATAAAAAAAACAAAAGTATTTCACTGGAATGCACAATTTTATCATGACGTATGTTTGTCATAGATAAGAGCCACCAAGAAATGTTGGCACAGCATGGGCAAGATACCAGATTTTCATATTTTAGTTTTACATATTCCTGTTACGGTACATATTGTTCTACCAATATTTGAATAATAGGAAGACGTATATATTAATTGTAGGCAAGCAAAGATCCCCAAAAAATTAAAATAAATGGGAATTATGTCAAACAAAGAACTTAAAATTTTCCATCAAGTTTGAGAGGAATGTTTTTAACTTTTTCTTAAATAACACACACTGACCTTTTCAATGCTGCATCCCAGTCTTGCTCCTCTTTATAATTGAAAGCAGCATCGAAACCAAACTTGTTCGTCAATAAGTCAATCTTTATGTGAGACAAACCAGAACAAAATTAAATGAGTTCAGCATGTTTAATCATCATTGAAACCAAACTTGTTCTTCATAAAAAACCATCCAATCACTACATTTAATAAAGAACAGACATAATACAAAATATATACTATATGCAAAATGCAGAAAGTGATCATACAATAGAACTTTGGCAAGTAAATAGGTTAAATGACGATTAGGATGATAATTCTTGATTCTTTTCATGTAACAAGTCATTCAATAAGAAATGAAGATGAACCAAAGATGGAAGTGTGCTCTTCATAGTGATTCACCTTTTGTTGACTTCCAGCGCTGCCCACAACATAGCAACCCATCAACTTTGCAAACTGCCCAACAAGCTGACCAACTGCACCCGACGCTGCTGAAATGTAGACACGTTCTCCTTCTTTAGGAGAACAAATATCTTGCAGACCGAAGTAAAATGGTACGACACCGTTCTCCTTCTTTAGAGAACAAATAACTCTTGGGCAGACCGAAGTGAAGCAGTGGAATGCCCAGGCATACCTATTACAAACAACGAAATACAGTTAAAATTTACTAAACCATCAATACTCCTAACCAGACAAAGAGACCGATATTTAAACATTGGTTGAAATTTTTGTCCCGGACTGGTTTCTATTAACAGCAACAAAGTAGTCTGGAATCTTGTATAAAACACAACTTTTCACAGTCTCAGATTGTTTAGCGTATACAGTTCTAGATTACTATTTATAAAGAAAAGCTACAAGTTTGAGAACCTTTCAATAGAAATTTTGATTAGAGAATCAACCAAATGATGCAAAAATAAGAAAATTCCCAATCAATCCTTCAATTAATCTAAACTATCATAACCAAAGAACTGATAATTCTAAATTCGACTAGAGATTGACAAAAATTACAGAAAACTCCATAGATACCCAAAATCCTAATTTAACTCTGCATACAATAGTCAAATAACACCTCATCAATAACACCTCAATTTCATCAATAAGTCCTAACCAATCCTGACCAGAAAAGGAAAAGAAATTCCACCAGTAGCAAAAGTCCTAACCAATAAAAATTCCAAGTATCATAAACTGAAGAAAGAACTTACCAAGTAGTCCAGCGTAGTAGGAAAGGGGAATATCTGTATGGAGGATTTTAAAGTAGCTTTCAGGTTTTGTTAAAAGACTATACTCTTCCCAACTTATAACTCCCCATAACAAGTCACCTTTCTTGAAGTCAGGATGCCCTGAATCCACCACTTTAGCCACTGCAAATCCACTTATTGGCTTTTTTTTTTTTCAAAAAAAAAAAAAAAAAAAAAAAAAAGAACAGACAGAACAAGACAAAGCCACTAGATGACGGGCCCTATTTCAAATTTGGGTACTAATTTCACATACAAAATCATCAATTCTCTCAAACCATCAATAACAAACATTTTTTTTTTTTTTTAAAAAAAAAAAAAAAAAAAAAGAAGAGAAGAAAGGACTAATAAATAATAAAACAATTTACAAACGATGAGAAGAAAAGGTATTCAGAGAACAAAAACAGAGCAATTCAATTGATGTAGTAATTTCACATCAAAATCATCATATTTTCCATCACATTTATAAGAAATTAATACAACCCCAGAAACAAACAACTATAATTGGTTCCAAAAAAACCCAAAAATAAATAATAACACAATTTATAAAATATAAAGAAAAATGGATTGAGAGAAATTACAGAGCCAGGAGTGAAAGGAGCGAATTCGGTATCATCAGCCGGGCCATTACTCATGGGGCCATTACTCATCTGCGACCACGCATATAAGGATCACAAGACAAGTAGAGATTCTTGACCAAAACAGCTTTACTTCCTTCTGGTACTTTAAGCTTTAAGCTTAATAGAAGTAGTGTTTATGTACAAGTCAGATTCATTAGGAAACCCAGTCACATGGTTCTTTAATATCACCTGCTTATTGCTCACTACCTCGCCTTCGTTCGCCATTGCTTCTATTTTCTGTTTCTGAGTACTTCTTTCTATAAATGACCTTATCTTTTCTGACTTCTACTGATAGTTTCTGGAAAGTTGATAAGAAGAGGAAAGCATTATAAACGTGAATTTCGTCAGTTGGGGCAAAAGGAATACAGAAACAGGTATGCAATAACTCACATATACGACGTAATGCATGATATCTTTGATTTGACATTTTAAAGATGTTTTGTTTTACTGGAAATTACTATTACATCCATTATCTACTAAATACAACTACTCAGTACCTTAATTTTTTGATATGCTTTTAAGAATCCTTATATTGCGTCACAATTTTAGTCATTCCATTCAATTTTATCTAATTAGGGTAAAAAAAAAAAAAAGGATGAAATTTCATTTTAAAAATACCCCTGTGTTCTTTTTTTAGGAAGAAATATGAATTTTATTAATGGATATCTAAAAATAAGAACCAAATATATATTTTCATAAATTTTTACATTAAATCATTCATTTGATTTTGGTACTAGAAATTGATTTTTTTGTAGTGGACCATATATTTGATTTTATTATTAAAAATTTATTTTAATTATTTGATTTTATTATTAAAAATTTATTTTAATAAATATTAAATTTGAGGTTTCATTTAATTTATAAAAAACTATCTTCAAGAAATATTTATCTCAATAAACAATAACGTAGAAAAAAATATCACCAAATATTTTAAACATTGATATTATTCACTAATAACAAAACAAAAATTTATCCAGAGGAATAATTTTAATTAAGGTCACAATTATTTATAAATTGCAAAATATTAAAAATATTTTCAACATGATTAAGCATCCAAAGTTAAATAAAAACATCACAAAAAAATAAGATTCCTAATAAAAATTTAAACCATTTCCAAAATTTGCCATTTATTTCCAAAAGAAAATTGAAAGTTTTTTTTTTTTTTTTTTCAAGTCTATCAAAACCATCTCTTTAACCTGTTAGATCAATCTGTTTCTGCCACTTATTTTCAAAAGAAATCTGAAAGTTTTATTTTTAATATCTACAATATCAGAACCATCTCTTCAATCACTAGATGAAAAAAAAAAAAAAAAAAAAAAAAAAAAAAAACAAAAGCACCGGTTACATCAATCTATTTCTTCTTCCTCTAATCCATCTCCTCCCAATCATAAATTGGATTATAGATACAACGATCCCGTTGGCTTGAAAACAATGAAGATAAATGCTCTTGATTTGTCTCCTAAACAGTTGGTGAAAATATAACCAAAACACAGAAAACTATGTGATATCAATTTATCTCTTCATAAAAGAAGATTAGTGATAAATTGGGTTTGTACAAAAAAAGAAACGTACAAGGAACTAAGAGAGAGAAAAAGGAAAATAAAGTTGTTGGAGAGAGAGAAAATTACTTGAAATGAAAATAGTAAGATTATTTAAATAATTTTATATTTATTTAATGGACAAAATATATTAAATTAGACGAAAGGACTAAATGTACACCGGAATAAAAATATATTGACTTCAAAAAGCATTTAAAAAAATGCTGAGACTGACTAAAACTGTATTTTCAAATGTATAAGAATATAATAATAATTTTCCCTTTGTATTACGCTATTTTCTTGATTCCACGGTTTCCATTAGTAGTAATAGTAAGAGGAATGAATGTTAACTGGTTAGTGCGTTATGATGGGTTTCACTAGAAGTGACTGCTTAGAGCGCATTATGACGGGTTTCATGGGAAGTATTTCAACTTTATGAACACATAAGATATCAATTTCAATTTATAATTTAAAAGTGTTGGGATTAATTTGTTGGAATTAATGCTCTGATACCATTTGTTGGATATCAGCGCAGTGATAAATTTCAAGATTGGTTAATAATTTATAACATAAAAAATAATAACAGGAAAGGCAACCAAAATAATATTAACACACAACACCAAATATAATTGTATTAATAAGAAGCAAATATTCACAAAGTTTAAGGAAAGAATTACTTACTTGGTTTTTGCTTGGTGTTTGCTTGGTTTTTACAAATGAGAGGAGGGATGGTATTTATAGACATTTCCACCTCCTCAATGTACGGATAAGATTTGTTTACAAAAATGGACGGTCTAGATTACAAGGAACATTTATAGACATTTCCACCTCCTCAATGTACGGATAAGATTTGTTTACAAAAATGGACGGTCTAGATTACAAGGAACATTCTAGAGTTAGGTAAGATAGTTTCATTACATCTCATGTGTGGAGAATTGTGGAATATTCTAGAATGTGGGCTTGGACCTCTAACTTTGGGCTTGGGGTTTTAGGCTTTAAGCTTGCCAAGTATTTATATTATTGTAGTAACCCATTTTGGTGGTTATCTTTTCTAAATTAATCAGTGATATTTTAATACTCTCCCTCAATGATTAATTTCTCTTTCTTCATCATTCTCAACTGTTGGCGAAAATACTTATATGTTTATTATTGTTTATATAAGACGTCTAATAGTATGTAATAATACACTAAATTATGCAATAAGGTCAATTCTTGTCTTTTAATAATATTTATTAAATTCGTAATTATTTTTTATATAACGGAGATGACTCAATCAAACCAAATTTCCTATATTAGATTGCAGGAACGTTATTATACTTTCGTTTATTTATTTTCATTAATTTATTTAAAAAATTTTTATTTTATATAAAATTATTATATTTTGTTTTTGATTAAGAATTCCATTTTATTAGTATACATAAAATTTCTGTGAATATATAGTAATTACGATATTAAATTTACTATGTTTGATTTATTATATTTTGCTAGACATTGTTTTTAAAATTTTTAATTACATTTTTAATATTTATACATAATTGCATTACCTTTTTGCAATTTATCATTCCATTATTATTAATCAAAATAAATAAATAAATAAATACACAATGGAATACTCAACCATCGTCAACCAATACGGGTGAAATTGTTTATTGCATCTAACGGGTGAAAAGAATTTTTGGTTTATTGCATCTAACGGGTGAAAAGAATTTTTGATTTTTTAGTAATTGATAAGATATAGTTTGATTTTTTTAGTAACCCAACTATTTGCCCAATCCTAATTACATGGGCTAAATTCATATCACCTGCTTGTTGCTTATCACTTCCTCAGTTGACATTTTGTTAGTGTGTTTTTGGATATATTATCATTTCCAGAGCATATGTCTCTTTTATACTAGTTGAAGATGATGTCTACATCTATTATTGATTGTCATACGTTTATGTTCAAATGGTTATACCTTAAAAAAACAAATATCAGCTATAATAAAAAATTCTGGCGGCTATCTTGGTTTAGGAGAAGTAAGAGGGGGAAAAAAAAAATCTAGGCGGCTTCGAAGTTTTATTTTCATTTTTGAATAACTCCAAAAAATTTATTAAAAAGAGAAGAAGCCAGTACATGCACACAGATGAAAAAATAGAAAAATTTATTTTATGTATCTATTCATACATTATGTATTTATTTTATGGTGGTTGTTGTAATGTACATATCAGATGCTTTTGGCAACCCATATATTTCTTCTCTGCAAATCACCTGCTTGTTGCTTATCACTTCCTCACTTGACATTTTGTTAGTGTTTTTGGATATATTATCATATCCAGAGCATATGTCTCTTTTATACTAGTTGAAGATGATGTCTACATCTATTTGATTGCCATATGTTTATGTTCAAATGGTTACACCTAAAAAAAAAACAAGTATCAGCTATAATAAAAAATTCTGGCGGCTCTAATAATAAAAAATTCTGGCGGCTATCTTGGTTTAGGAGAGTAACGTGGAAGCACTGAAGCTTAATAAATTATTTTATCAAAAGACGGGAAAAAAATCTAGGCGGCTTCTAAGTTTTATTTGTTTTATTTTCATTTTTGAATAACTCCAAATATTTTATTAAAAGAGGAAAAATCATTACATGCACACATATGAGAATATTGAATTGAAAAATATATATACTTTTTTTTTTCTATTCATACATCAAATTAATTAAAAATAATTTTTAAATTTAAAAAATAATATTTTTACTGTTTATTAAAAAAAGAAAAATTTTAAAAATCTCTCTTTTAATTGGAAGGGAACATGGCGAATCCACCCATGCAAAATAAAAAAACTGACTTCAAGAAAAAGTACCAAATTGTAAAAATATTTGGGTTAAACACGATTTAGGGTAAATCTTTTTAATATTAATCGATATTTATAACCTTCAAGACAGATGACTTGATTCGAAAGATCTTGACCATCTTTTAAATTTAAAATTATTTAAATTCTAAATATATAATTTACTAATCAAAGGCTATAGGAGCGCACATGTATAGATGATAAACTATATTGGATATTTACAAATTTTATTTTCAAATTTTAATATCTTAGGTGAATGTATGTATATAACTTGATGCATTGTCTTACTTATGCTTCCAAACAGTAGGTTTTTACTCGGTAAAATTTCAGTAATTAAATTAATTAATTGCAGAAACCTCAATGAAAATCTGTTAAATGATTGTCTACTTGTCAAGGACGCCTGCACCCAATTCAATCATCATTTCCTTTTTTTTTTCTTATCACATAAATTAAATATGAGGTACCTTCAACGTTGTCTAATTATTACTAGCTACTACTTTGTTTTTTCCATGAGTAAATAAATTGAAGAGTGCAAATAATATCTTGCCCGAATGATAAGACTGATGTCCTGAAACTAATTATTATTAGTATTTCGTATTTTCATAAATCAGTGAATTGCAATGGCGGTTAATTTCACCTATGATGACTGAATTACAGGAGTAATTAAATTATTGTATCTAAAATTTAAATTTTTTTTTTTTAGTAATAAAAGAGGAGATTCGAACTTATTTTTTTTTTAGTAATAAAAGAGGAGATTCGAACTTATATTTATTGTTAGGCCGTACATGTGTATATAAGGATCACAAGATAAGTAGAGATTCTTAACGGGAAGAGTTTTTCATCTTTTAGAAACTCCGAGCGATTTGGTGATAAATGGGAATCCTTTTGAATCAAATTATTGAATTTTTTTTTTAAGAAGGCAAATTATTGAAGTTGATACATATTTATCTGACAAATTGAGTAAAATTTCTAATTTCTTTCTATAAAAATTAGATATTATCATCCTTATTTGATTATACATATTTTCTATCTATTATAAAAAGCAATATATATATCGACATATTAACAATAAATAAAACACAACTAATTTGCTTTTCTCTCTATTTTGATTCGGTTCGATTATTGAAAATTCAGTTTTCTATTTTTTCAATTAGTTTTATAAGTTGAGTTTAATATGATAGTTACAATGACACGCTGACGGAGCTAGGGGGACGGAGCTAGGGGGCAGGGGTGGCCGCCCCGCTCCCCATTAAAATTTTTTAAAAGAGATACCCACAAAATATTGAATTTTTTTTTATTTTGCCCTTCCAAAAATAGTAAATTTGTCGATTTCCCTTTAAAGTATAGAAATATGTTTTAGCCCCTTAATTTCAATTCCGTGGCTCAATCAACTGCAATGACATGCAATATAGAAAATAGGAAGAGAAGGCTGATGCGTAGAAAACATCTCTAGAAGAAGCATATATATTATATATATATATATATATATATATATATATATATATATAATATATATAATATATATAAACCTTGCAAGAGAATTAGAACACATGTAAGGGAAATCTTATCAGAAAAACTGAAACAAAGGCTAATATATCCTGAAGAACAGCAGAAGGGACAGGAAAACCATTTCATTATTATATTTAATGAAGTAGAATAAGAAAATTACACAAGGATTCATCACTCACGATGAACTACAACCACCTGTTTTCCAACATTTTGACCGTGAAAAAGCCTTGCAAGAGCTGCAGGGCCTTTCTCCAGGCCTTCAACAATATCCTCCACATATGTTATCTTTCCTTCTCTAATAGAAGGCAATATAAATATAAAGTCCAAGACTTGGCAATACTTCCTTAAGTACTTCTCAAACCCTTCTATACGAACACGCTTATAAACAGTAGACATCAAATTATTAACCCCTTCAAGCTCCTCAAGATTGTACTGTGAGATCATTCAGCAAGCAGCCACACGGCCATGGACTCTCATGATCAGAAGCACCGCATCTAACATTTTGCCCCCAACATTTTCGAAATAGATGTCAATGCCTTCAGGGAAGTATCTATATTTTAGCAATTCAAAAAAAAAATCAGTTGTGAAGTTATAAATATAATTTTGTCATCAAATAGTTGAGAAGCTAATAAATAATTTTCTTTAACAGTCAACCTTTTCAAAGCAGCATTCAAGTCAAGCATTCAAGTCCAGGTGTTAAAGTTTACAGCTACAGCTCCATTGAAGAAATTTGATGCAAGGTTGTTGATAGTTTTTGGAGGTATTTGTTTAAAAGTCATTTAGATTTTGTTGTAGTTCAACGAAGTAGTTGAACTCTGCTTTTAGGTAGGTTTGGTGAACAACCTTCCTTGAACTTATGGAAGGTTGGTGAACCAAACTTTATGACTAAGCTTCTATAGCTATAAATGTTTATATTATGCTTGTAATGGAAAATATGAAGAAGTGAATATTTTGTTTTTCACACTTACAAAATCTGCAGTTTTTTTTTTCATTTTCTGCATGAATTTCCTTCTCTTTCTTAAATTTTCTGCTCTTCTAACCAACAAGTGGTAAAATAAATCAGAGCAACCTTGATCCAAAGGGCTTGTGTGTGTGTTGAGTGAATCATAGAAGAAAGCCACCAAATAAACCAGAATTTTGTTGGAAGTTTTTCTGTTTATTTGCTTTTCTGCACATGGCTTCCAGCACCTGTCTCCTTTCACAACACTCATTTTAATGGGGAAACTTTCATGTTTTGGTCGTGAAGATGAGAGCTTATTTCAAGGGGCTTGGATTATGGCAGTAGTGGAGGAAAACAGAGTACCTCACCTCTTAATTCAAAATCAACCCTTCAGCGAGATTAAACAACATGAAGAATGAGTTTGCTAAGGCTGCCAAAAGCTCTGTCCTATATTCCATGCATCTGTTGCAGATCCTATCTTCACCCAAGATTAATGACATGTGAGACAGCAACATGAAGCTTGGAGAAAGTTAGTATCATGGATCTGAAAAAACTAGATAGATGCAGGTATTTAATTTAAGAAAAGAATTTGAAATGTTGAAAATGAAGGACAATGAAAATGTGAAAGATTATGTTGATAGAGTTATGAAAATTGTAAACCAAATTCGATTGTTGGGAGAAGTTGGGAGAAGAGTTAGAAGAGAAGAGAATTATGGAGAAAGTTATGGTGACTCTCCCTGAAAAATTTGAAGCCAAGATTTCTTCTCTTGAAGAAACTTAGGGACATGTCACAAATATCATTGAATGTGCTTTCAAATGCTCTACAAGCTGTAGAACAAAGAAAAGCTTATAGGGAAGAAGAAACCATTGAAGAGAAGGCTCTTGTTGTGACTCATAAAACAAAAATACAAGAAGGAGGTTCAAGAGGCCAGCAAACTGACAGAAAACCAAAAATAAAGAAGAATTTCAGAAAAAATTGGAGGGCTGGTTCAGACCTGGAGCTGAATGTAAGGTTTGTAAGCAATTTGGTCACACTGAGAAAGTTTGTTTTACAAACCAGAATCAACAAACACAAGCCCATCATGCACAATTCACCAAAAATTCTGAAAAGTATGAAGAGCAACTATTTGCTGCAAAAGAAATCGAAAAATGTGATGTCTTAATTGAAGCTAAAGAAACATGGCTTGTTGATAGTGGCTGCACTAACAATGAAATTGAAGAATGTGGTGTCCCTCAATTGAAGCTAAAGAAGCATGCTTGTTGATAGTGGCTGCACTAACCACAATGACACCAAACTGGATGAATTTCGATAGCTTGGTACAAACTATTCTTCAAAAGTAGACCTTGGAGATGGTAGGCTTGTTTGATGTCCAAAGGCTAAAGGAGATGTGATTGTACAACTCCTTCAGGTACAAGCTTGTTTCCGATGTTCCTTTTACGTACCGGAACTAAATCAAAGCTTGTTTTCGGTTGGTCACCTTGCTGGATAAGAATTATAGTTTGCTATTTAAAGATAAACTTGTGAAATAAGTGATCTTCTGGCTCAAAGTTATTTGCTGTCAAATGAAAACGGAGAAGCTTTTCCTCTAAATTTTGAAGAGACTTCGAGAAGAATCTTGCTTGAGTCTAAAAGAAGAATCTGATTTTGTGGCATAAAGCAGACTTTGTCACACCAATCTCAATTCATTAAAATGCTTGCAATCCAAGAAGTTTAGTTGCTGATTTGCCATCTATAGTTGAAGAAGACAGCAGTATATGTGGAAAATATATATGTCAGTTAGGCAAACTCAGCCAAACACCATTTCCATCTGATCAAGCATGGAGAGCTTCTATGTGAATTAATACACACTGATGTGTGTGGCCCTATGAGTGTCTCATCTTACAATGGCAGCAAGTATTTTCTATTGTTTATTGATGACTACACCAGATTCTGGTGGGTATATTTCCTCCAATTCAAATCTGAAGTTTTCAAAATGTTCTTGAAGTTTAAATCAATGGTAGAGAATCAAGTTGGCTTCCCAATCAAGATTTTAAGAGCTGATAATGGGGCTGAATTTACATCCAATCAATTCAAGCAATATTTGCAAGAAGCAGGCATTCACCATCAATTAACAG